AGCCTTCGGGTTCCGCACTTGACATCATCCGCCACATTCCGTGAGTCGAGCACTCTACCTGTGACAACAGACAGAGGGCTATCCCTGGTTGTCGTCGAAGGCAAAAGTCGGATGAAAAGGTACGAAAGTTAAAGTTCGCTGGCTTCAATTGAGTTGAACATCAACAACTCCGGCGATGACAAAGACTTTGGACAGCTCGGCAACTTCTCCGTTGACGATCTTGAGAGCTGTTGTGGGCATGTTGTAACAACTTAACATCGAGTCCTTTCGGATGATGGCCGGTTGGCCCAATGGCAAGGCGTCTGACTACGATCCACCGTGGAATCAGGAGATTCTGGGTTCGACCCCCAGGCTGGTCAAGTTCAATTTTTGCTGTTCGGCGCATTGAGCCTCGAGTTGTGCTTGACGCCATAGTGATGCTTAGGGCACAATTTTTTGATGCCTCCACGGGAGGTAAGGTACCCACATGACCGTTTTGCCTATTGTGGGCCGAAGCACGGTTCGTTGGTTGTTCCTTGAGTCGAAGGAAAAGCTTGCGTTCACCGTATCGTAAGTATGCAACGGCGGGAGTTGCGCAAGGAGGCTCAGTCGACAATAGGCGAAGTTCCGACGCGTTAACGTTTGTACGCGGCCGTTGCATTGGGCCTACGCGTGCCTGGCAGCGTGCGTCACTGGGGATCCGTGACCATCGAATCAGACCAGCGTCTGTCAACTGATCGAGTGCGAGAACGAGCATATTTCATCGTGATAAGATTCTGGGGAACTGACGGCTCGAAGCCAAGGGATGCTCGTATCCCGTCGGCACAGCCGCTCCGTCGGCGGCCGTGAGAGGCCGGCATCGCCGTGGGCCCCTGGTCGGCACGGTCGGCTTGTGGGAGACGTCTTGGCTGCCAACATACCCAGGGCTTGACATTCAGGGATGATGACCAGGGCGTCATCTGTGGCTTGGCCCGATTCGGGACATCGGTCGACTGCAATCGTGAGCAAAGTCCCGAGGTGCACTTGGACGGCAAAACCACACCACATCACAACGCCGATTCGCGATGTTCTCGCGGGTTTCTTTATGTACGGGTGTCCAAGGCACGACGGCATACGCTTCAATATAAGAGAGACGATCACCAACCAGCGCATAAAGTAAAATCAAACTTTAATAACCGGCAAGTGGAACCACTCACTGCCATCAATCCATGACAAGAACCAATCTCCTCTTGGTGCCTGACTCGTATCTCGACCAGGGTTCTGGTTTCAACCGGGAGTCAGGGATCATGCAGGCCCCCACACATTTTGGAATTTCCCCTGGCTAACAAGCCACAGGAGACTGCGATCACGACAGACGTCAACGGAACGCGGATGAGCCAGGTTGGTCCCTCCGGTCACTGGGTCAAAAGTGCCCCTAATCCCGCACTGGCCGACTCTCCGGGTCTTCTCCCCTTTGGGCTGAGAGGAGAACTGGAGGTTCAAGGATCTTTATCAATACACGTACCTGGTGCTGGCCAAGTGAACCGTGCCATCTCCAGTCCGGCAGCAGAGGGAAAGACGTTGGTCCCTTTTCAAGTAGTGTAGTCCCCGTGCCCCCTCCTCCACACTGGCCTACCTAAAACTCTTTCTTCGTCCCATATCGTCAGTCGACCTGAACAGCACAGCCATCCCGCCAGTAAACGTGTCACGAGAAAATCATATTCGAGGGAAACATCCAATGTTGGGAAGAGACTTGGTCAAGGCGTCGTCCTCCTGCTAGAGAAACAAACAAAGGTTTTCGGCGCGCCGTGCGTCGAATGAAGCGACCGAAAATGGCCTCGAGGCATCGAACCCGAATCCTACCGCCATCGTCACTCCTCATCTCATACCTCGCGTCAACAGCTCAGGCCGCATTCACCAATGACTTTTCCGCGTATCCTTCGTCAGCGCGGGCATGTCTCTACAAGGCCGCGGACGCGTCCGGTTGCACAGGTGACACGGTGACCGAAATGAACCACTGTCTCTGCGGTAATGGGGGAAATTTCGTGACATCGACCGCGTCATGTGTCGCCTCGACGGATCACGACGAGCTGGATGATGTTTACGAGATGCTTTTGACGTCTTGCACAGACTCGAAAACGCCATTGGGTGTCTCACAGGCAGAGTTTCTCTCGACCGGCAGCTCGAGTTCGTCATCTTCATCAACAATGAGCTCAACATCCACGACTTCATCAAGCTCATCAACGACATCATTCATTCCATTAACGACATACAAGAGCGTAGCGAACGGAGTGACGGTAACGGTTACGAAGGGGATTGAATCGGTACCGACCGGGACGAATGTTGGAAAGGGGAGCAGCAGCAGCGACACGTCGGACTCGAGTTCGGGTGATGGGCCTGGCCACACCGCCCTGGCGGCTGGTCTTGTCGGAGGAATCGCAATTGTTCTGGCTATCCTGGCGTTCCTTTGCTACCGCAAGAGGAAACAGAAGCAGCAGCGTGAGGCCGGTGCCGGGCCGGGTGGAAAGTTCGCGGCCTTGTCCAGCGCGACAAGCCTTACGACCATGAGCTCGCCTCCTCAAAATAATGCAACTGCTGCAGCAACGACTCAGTACCACAACGTCAACGATCAACGACCCGGTACCGCCGGCACAATGCAGATTGCCGCCACTCCGGGATGGCATCAACACGAACATCAACAACAATATCAACAAGGAAACCTTAGCCCGCAACACTGGCAACAGCAAAACACACACGGCCAAGGTTCAGGATCATGGCCATCGCCCGTATCGAATGGAGCAACAGGCACTTGGGGAGGACACGGAGTGTCACCCGTCTCTCAATATCCTCCTGGCACGTCCCATGGATCATCACCGTCGATGCAGAACGGAACCTGGAACGGCCAGTCTTCGACCGCGAGAGACCTCACCTGGAATGCCCAAGCCCAGAACAACACCTGGAACCCCCAAACATCACCACCAAACGGAACTTGGAACGCGCAAGCTATGCCTGTTCCTGTTCCCGCCCCTATGCCCCATCCCTCCAACTCAGCAACATCTCCGGTCTTCGAACTTCCCGGAGACAACATGCAAGCCGTTGAGGCAGACTCTACACCAATCGGTCCCGCCCAGCCGGCACCAACACAGCAACATCACAATCATTACCAACACTACGCACAACCATCATCATCAATACAAAATACGCCACAAATGGCAACTGCACATCCAGCACAACCCGCACCTGCGCATCACGGCATGAACAGGCAGGTGGATGATGCACTGCAAATATCACAAGTAGAATTACCGCCGCCACGGTACACGGGACCATCAAGCCCAGATTGGGTCAGCGAGGACAAGAAGTTCGGATGATGGGAGAAAATCTCTTGGCGAGATAGCTTTTCAGCATAATGATATTTTATTAATCCTTGTAATACTAGACTTCAGGCATCACTGCCGTCATGATGCCTAAGACAAAATTTACAACCTTTCATCACTAAGCAAAGCGGATTCATCAAGTTCACCCTGCGGCCAAGTGTTGTCACGTCTCAGTTGCTCTCCTGATGTCGCAGATGCTGACTTCCACCGAGGCAGTGTTTGGCTCGACTCCACGATCGTCACTTTTCGCTCCATGTTGGACCTCCTGTTCGTCCTGGTTGTGGCCGTCGGCTGAATTTCCTTGTCTGCCTTGTGTGCACGAGCCCAGTGAACCCTGGTCCAATGCAAATCATATAATTATCAGTATTTGCCAATTACGGATGCACATTTCCAGTCCCTCACGACTGAGGCTCAATAACGGCCGGGTCCATTCAGGGGCCGGGCAACCATGGCGGGGCGGTGGGAGATGCTCGTGCCACTTGTCACACAGTGAACCCAGCCTCATCGCGACGATCTCTAGATCCCACCGTTTATTACGGGGAGCAATCCAATAATTGGCGCCAAGCACTCGTTTACGGAGATAACATCAGCCCAAGGTGGCCGGAGAAGGCTCTGAGGGCTGAAGATCTATGGATAGGGCGCATTCCGAACTTTGACCGCTGCAGAGCGGTAAATAAAAGTATGGAGTTATGCTGCTGACAGCAAATGATAATAGAGTGTCGCGATTCAACAGCAATGAAGGCAAAAATATGTCCTCGGAAAGGCTCGAACTCTCGACCTTTGGATGTCCCTGCCTTCAGACAGAGTCATATTGAGTAATATGAGACCAACGCTCTACCGACTGAGCCACGAAGACAATTGACTGGTGGATGCAGCCATAACATGGCTTAAGAATGGATGGGTCTCTGACTCATTGTTGGTGGAGAACCCTTGGGGAGCCTCACCGACGTCTGTTTGGTCAGTGGCGCTTGAAAAGCGTTGAATGCGATAGATTCAGTCTGGGGAAAAGTATTAAGAGGCTTGCAATGGAGGATGTGAGACAAACGCTTCGACATGCGATCGGGGATGCTAGCGTCATCCCGCCCCAAGACCGGTTGAGCAAGTCGGAAGACGGAAAAGACGCGGGTGCTGCGACTAGTCACAGGCTCGCTCTTTGTGTTAAAAAGAACTTGATGGCTGTGCTTTGAGTCTGATATCACGGCCTCAAAAGTTGTCGCGACGGGTGCCAGGCAAGGCAGCCCTACGGCCACAACGTGTCTCTCACAGACAACCTCTAATGATCCCGTTAGCAAGACATCTGTCCCTTTTCATCGCGAAAGAGGCCTCTTGTCAGCCTTACCCAGCCACAGAATGCGGGTTTCGTGTTCCATACGCGCGTCTTCAAGACGCTAGCGAATCCTTTGGTGGTGATTGGACCGGTCCTCTGGGGCTGAGCTGCATGAGAGCGGCGCAGAATTCCTGCCTGGATCGAGGAAAAGTCCCCAATCACGTCCGAGTCGGGTCATCATTCCACCACCACACAATAGATCACCAGAGGAGTCGGGTACCCTTGTCTTTGGATTTAACCATAAATCACCTCCGACGACCGAGCGAGGTGCCAAGCCCCATATTTGGGAAAATACCCATTATCGATTGAACCGGGAGTGCTGGCCGACGACGCAAGCAATCATGGCGATGTCCGGTTTCTCTACCACGGCGGTGACGTCCAGCTGTGACGACATCTCCCATCGGTCCCTTTCAACGTCTGCGGAGCTTGATACCCTTCTCAAAGGCATCGATCCAGGAAGCATAGCTGCTCAGCACCTGATTTCGCTGTCTGCGAAGCTCGACCAGTTCAAGCAGACCACGGAGCAGCTGCGGCAATCGCTGACAGATGCCTCGGCCATGTCGCCGGGGCTCCGAAATGCCATGTCCATCTCCATTCAGCCATGCGCCGATGGTGCAGCGATCGTCGACAAGCAGATTCGGAGACTTGATCCGGGGAACGTAATCGGTATCAACCCAGATGTCGTTATCCAGTATGAGAACTATCACACGGCGAACACTCGCCTGTTTACCCAGTTCATCCAGGTGCTTCTTATGTGAGTCTGTGACGTTGCTCGTTCGTAATTCTGCCGCTAAGACTGTTCTGAAGACCTACCGTGAACGAGCAAGACTCTCAGCTCTCGGCCCCCGACGGCCACCGACTGTTGGAGAACGCCGTGGAAGCTTCTCAAATTGTTCTCACCCGAAGTGACATACTTGACAACTCTGGTGAAGCAGGCCAGTCGGTGACGGATGCAGGAATGCCTGATGAGGAGGTTGTTAGCGTACAAGCAACCGAGCTGCCCCCAGACTACGGCTCTGGGAAGCCAGATAAGGGGAAGAAGAAAGCCGCTGGCCACTTCTTGTCTTCGCTGTCAAACTCTTTTAAAGCAATGACTGCCGGTCTGCGACCGAAGCCTGAGCCGATGGTCATTGCCATATGTCAAGCTGCCAAAGACGGTGACATGGGACACCTCAAAGGTTTCGTTTCGCAAGGTGTCAACATCAACGGCCAGAACGATGAGGGATACACACCACTTATCTGTGCAATTCGCGCCAATCATCTAACAGCAGTCAAATTTCTAATCTCGGCCGGGGCTGATAAGTCCTCGAAAGATTCGGCCAGCGGCAAGCGCAAGCCGCCCCTATTCCACGCGGCTGAGTGCGGACTTGTACCTATTGCAGAGTATCTCATCAGCCAAGGCGCAGACATGAAGGAGCGATCTTGGTCGGGTCAGGCCTTCTTCATCGAGGTTGCCAACAGCGACCAACTAGACATCATCAGACTGTTTCTGTCTCGTGGCTGCGATGCCAACATGATGGCCATTAGTGGTCGGAGCATCTTTGTCCATGCCGTTCAGAAAGGAAGCCTTGCTCACATGAAGCTTCTCCAAGAATACGGTGCTGATGTCAATGCCCGAGACATTACGGGTCAACCAAGCTTGCACATGGCGTTAGGTCAGAACCGTCTAGACATTGTTGCATGGCTTCTCGAGCACGGCGCCAACCCAAACGTTACCAACATAACCGGCGACACAATGATCGTATCGGCACTTCACAAGAAGAACTACGAGTTGGTAAAGATCCTCCTCACTCGGGGTGCCGATCCGAACGCAACGGGTCTGATGGGGAAAGGCATCCTATGGACCATGTTGCAGAGTAAGGACATGGAAGACGGCATCAAGGCAGATCTTGTTAGCGCCCTGCTTGATCGAGGGGCCGACCCGAACCAGACCGATAACTGGGGAGAATCCATCATGTCTCTGGTTGTGACGCTCGGCAACACGGACTTACTTCGCACGTTCTTGGCTCACGGCGGAAATCCGAACAAGAAAATCAAGGACGACACATTTCTTCTTTACGCCATCGATCGGGGTCGATTCGAACACGTCAAGATGCTACTCAAACATGGCGCTGACGTCAACGGAGCGGATAATAAGGGTAGAGTACCGCTCTTGGAGGCTCTGCAAATGGACAATCAGCCATTGGTGGAGGTGTTACTCCAGTTTGGTGCTGATCCAAACAAAATGGGACAGATCAGGCCGTTGGTGTTGGCGAAGCTCGTGGGGAACAGGGAGGTCGTCCAGATGTTGACCGAGAGGGGAGCTGAAGGCCCAAAGAAACGCGTGGCTGAGAGCACTCCAGCGGCTCCGGCATCACCAGTAGCTCCCAGAAGAGCGAGCGCCATAGTACCACCGCAAAGCCCAACATCGCCAGGAAGAGCCGATATGCCACCACCATACACCGAAGCAGGTGTTTCGAAAGACCCTGCCGTGGTTGGTAGGCGCCGTTAGGCGTTGGTGTGAACGTGCTCAATAGTCGACTACCTAATGTCACGTGAAATAGTATGCACCCAAGGAAGTTCATTAGATTCTACAAGGGAATCGCCGTGGAGTGAGGACACGAATGGATTTAGCACTTGCCGGCGGGATGCTGTTTGTAATGATTATACCGACTCAATCAGGGGTCGTTGCGTTAGGCTATGGCAGCAAAACCTTGACTAATTGATGACACTGCATTCATTTCTGCCCTCGGAGGCCCATTGAGCCTATTGTGTCAATTGCCTGGCGAATGTGTAATGCACACTATTGCTTGAGATACGTTTACTTGGTTCCGGTCAGTCTGGAGGTATCGGAACGAACCTAGTTCGATGACCCAACTCAACAGAAGGGCTCGAAAGAGTCGAAATGCTGATGACACAGAACTCTGAGTTTATCCTTTTAGGATTGTGTACTTTCTTCCACCCAAGCTTCGCAACGTTATGGCAGAAGTCTTTGAGATATTTCCGAGTGTTTCCAAGGTGGAATCAAGCAGATTTCTTTGGAGACTGGGTAAGACAGAAACCTACCACTGCTTATTAGTGACAGAAACGGTCGGAGATGCCCATCTCATCATGTGGGCTGATATTGATGACCGACTTACACTCTTACGACTGCCCACATGAAAAGCTTTTCTGCCACAGTTATGGTGATTGGGGGTAAACAATTGATGTACGATGCATTTACTGTTTTCCGTCTGAGTATGCTTTGGAGGTACATATGTCAATAATGGTTTAACAGCGGAGTCCTTGTATAGGCCGGGGAGTAAATACCCTGCATGCGGAAACTGACAGACGTCATCATGCATCAATCATCCCGCTGGACGGGGAATTAGGAGCAACGGTATATCCGCACTGTTTTGGGCGTCAAACAAAATAACAACTGCACAGATGTGGAAGCTCTGAGACAAAATCGTTCTCTTGTCCATCCCGGCAACTCGCGGCAGCGGCCAAGCTCTGTTCCTTCATTATGGCAACAGGGCTATTAAGTATGCATAACCTTCCGGTGCGTCAGTAGTTGAGTTGCCTGCCGTTAGCATTACTGAATCTGAGGAAGCGAGAGGACGCTATGATCACCATCGACACCGCAGTTTTTCACCTGAAATAACGCATGTAGCAGGCGTAGACGAACACAAGGGAACCTTGGAGAAAAGCCGAGCGGTACGAACCCGATCAGATGACTGGGATGAAAGCTTACACACATTATCCAATCCTCTTTGGTCAACTGGTTATTCAGCAACTTAATCATGCACAAACTTCCGGAGCTGTCCAGGGCGGAGCTGCGATCTGCGAGCGGAAATCTTGGCGAATACGCCAGCCATGAGAGTGGAAAGATTGCCCGATACGTAAGAAAACCTTCCGCTGGAAATAGTCGGCTATAATATCAGAAGAGATCCAATATCACATCATGCAGAAAAGCTGCGAGCGGCCTGGGAGTGGGAGGGTTTGGTCACAGCCTGGAGCGTTTTGACCAAGCTTTTAACAAGGGAAGACTCAGCCGCCCACCGGCGAAACACGCGCAAGAACACTGCGCTAAGCTTCGATCTCTTCTAAAATTCCGTTTGAGTTTGCTGCCCAGCACTGTATGGTATTTGTATGGCATGTTCAGATCATGTCCTAAAGACTTCGCGTGCTCGTATGCGCCCCACCAACTCGACGTGCCAATGAGACTTCCGGGTAAAGTAGTAATCGCATAACGTAGAGGCCAATAGATAGATTAATTCCGCACCAGGTTTGAGCCCCTGAATACTACATGACCTCAACCTTTCATGGCCGTTCTGATGATCTTCTCCAACCCCTCCCTGTCTATTGGCTCAATACCAAGCAATTTGTTGTCTGTTTCCGGGAAGTAACCACCCCATCCTTTGCCAAGAAAAGCCCGGTTAATGAACATCTCAACTACTTCCTCGCTATGATCACCCTGGGCCCATCGCTCCAGAGCAGTCTTTTCCAAGTCTTCCGTTCGACAGTGCTTGATATCCCATTCGGCGGCAGGATCAATCGTCTTCGCAATGCTGAGAATCTCATTCTGCGTGGTTTCAACGCTGCTGATCTTGACTGGACGATTGGCAGTCTCCTCTAGATGAGTAAAGATGCCAATCACAGCCTGCCCAATGTGAGGCATGGTCGTTGCGTTGAAGAGAATATCTCCACCATCCTTAATGAGAGCTTTCTTCTTCTCGACGTCGACGAGAAAGTTCAGGGCATATCCCGGGGCCAGGAATGAGACGTTCATGATGATGGTGTAAGAGAAAGAGGGTTTCTGAGCAACCTTCTCATCCAAATACTTCCGAATGGCAATCTTGGGTTGGTAAATGGGGAAAGCCGCAAGCTTTGGGTTCTTGGTATCATTGCCATACTCAGATGGAATCATACGACGAATACCAGCGTTGAAGGCTGCGTCAACCACATTCTTTTGGATGTGGATAGCGTGGAACGCTAGAGCTGACACGAGGGCATCCTGACCGCGGAGTGCGGCTTCTATGCTGGGTACTGACTCGTAGTCAACCTCCTTCACTGTAACGTTTGCGGGGAACTGATGCCCAGACCCTGCGCGGGTAAGAACGGTGAGCTCAAAAAGATCCGACTTCAAGAGAACATCAAGAAGCACACGTCCGAGGAAGCCATTGGCCTAACAGCAGAGGACTCGTCAGCTCCGGGCTAGAAGTAACGTCCGCTCGCCGAGCAGAGGCTTAGATGACTTACACCTGCGAGGACGACTTTTTTAATTGGGGCAGACATGGAATCGTGGGAGTTTGGTGTTGTTACGGGTGGGAAAGCTGGGGGCGGAGCGGCTTGAGACGGGGATTCGAGGAAAGATGAAGCCGAAGCAAAATTTGTGGTCAATGGGCTGTTGAATTTTTCTTTGGGAGTAGACCGAGTATAGCAACTGTATTTAACAACATCGGGTACTATGTTTTGTATTCTTCAACTCATGTCAATGACACTTTCCTGTCAGACTCAATGTCTCGCCCTGTGTCACGCCAGGATGATCGTACCGCTCGGGTCAACCCACACTTTAAGGTTCACCGGGACGGCCTGTCGGGCGGACGGCCCTGACGCTTGGTGGTGTCCTGCCCGTTTGGAAATCCCGCAGTTGTTCGAGGCAGTGTAGCCGATCTGCCAAGGAAGAGTGCTTATCGAATGACATGGGTAGCGGCTAGATCCAGTTGTGAAGCGTATGCTGGCACAGTGTAACGGCTCCCATCGTATGATTAAACACTGAAGGACAGGATGATGCCAAACGACCTCACAACCAGGAACATTGATAGCATCCCGGAGGGACCCAGCTGCATGGTATGCTGACCAGGACGGGGAGAGATGTATGGTAAGGCTTGGGTATCAATATGTTGTTGTCAGAACCGGGCTCTGACACGTCATGTGAGTATTGGGTCCACGATTCGGATTGAAGTATGGATAAACGAAGAGGTCGGAATTAAATGCCGTTATGGTGGGGACCAAGGATCAAAAGAATCTGCTTCTAGATGGTACCTAGATGGCTACAGAAGAACGCTGAGGTCGTGAGCTTGTATCAAGAGTAAGGAAACCATATAAATGCCCTGACATCCTCCGCGGATACTTTGAGGCTGCTTTGCCATGACAAGCTGAGCTTTCTGAAGGCTTTATAACACATAAGAAACATCGCCTTTATCTTTGACGCTGCGCGTTATTAATCATGTTGTTGCCTGTTATTACTCTCGTTGCGTCTCTAGCAACTGTTGTGTATTCTCTCTATGTCATAATTACCACACACATCCTCCGCCGTCGTATGAGGAAGGAATATGGCTGTCTTCCACCCAAGAAACTGCCTCAGAAGGATCCCTTCCTGGGAACCGACGTCGTTTTTCAGAACCTCGCTGCTGCGAAGAAGTTTGGATTCCTTGCTTTGTTGAAGAAGCGCCATGCAGAGCAAGGACAGACATTTACCACAAACACCTACTTCAGGTAAGTTTCCAGTCTACTGTCAACTCGCATCCACTTACACAATTCTGCAGAACGACGATAAACACCTGCGACCCTCGGCTCATCCAGACTGTTCTGTCTAACCAGTTCGAAGATTTCGGAATGGGTCCTTTGAGACGGAAGAGCGCATCACCTCTCCTTGGGCGTGGAATCTTTACGACCGACAATGAGATCTGGGCCCATCAGCGAGCTCTCATTCGACCGAGCTTCATTCGAGCTCAGGTTACCGACTTCAGCATTTTTGAGACGCACGTGGACCAGCTTATTCAGCTCATTGCTCGCGAGAACTACACTGTCGACTTGCAGCAGCTTTTTTTCCGCATGGTTAGTCTTTTTCCGCCCACGATGCTCGATGCGACTGAGCCTAATTCCATTAACCTTATTTAGGTTCTCGACTCTAACAGTGAATACCTGTTTGGAGAGTCTGTCGGCTTGATGTCCGACAATGCCTCCGATTCCGCACACACTTTCCATCACGCACTCGACTATGCCCAGCAGGGTACCATTCTTCGACTTCGATTGGGCAACTTGATGGTCGCCCATAGGGATGCCAAGTTCAGGGAATCGTGCCGCATCGTCCATGCCTACGCCGATAAATTTGTGAAGCAGGCTTTAGAATTTCGACAGCGTGAACTCATGTTCCCTACCGAGAAGAAGGACGAGTACACCCGCCAGAAGTACGTCTTCCTCAACGAGCTGGCCAAGGACACGGACAACCCCATCATGCTACGAGACCAAATCGTCAACATGCTGCTCGCAGCGCGCGACACAACCGCAGGACTTCTTGCTTTCACATTCTTCATGCTGGCTCGCAAACCAGAGGTTTGGAAGAAGCTCAGAGCTGATGTGCTTGAGCATTACACCGAGCCCCTTACCTACGATGCTGTTCAGGAGATGACGTATCTTCGTTTTGTCTTGCAAGAAAGTGAGTCGGCCCATGATTCAATCGCTAGGTATTCCTACTGACACCAACAAGCTCTCCGCCTTTTCCCTCCTATTGCGACGAACAGCCGCATGGCGAACAAGGACTGCGTTATTCCGGTTGGGGGTGGTCCCGACGGACGTTCTCCCATGTTTGTTGCCAAGAACAATGTGGTTACATACAGCACGTTCGTGATGCATCGCCGACCCGAGCTCTTCGGCCCCGATGCTGAAGAATTCATTCCTGAGCGCTGGGAGACTTTCCGTCCTGGCTGGGAATACCTGCCCTTCAATGGCGGCCCGCGCGTTTGCCCTGGTCAGAAATTCGCGCTCACCGAGTCGTCTTACACGGTTGCAAGGTTGCTGCATGCCTTTTCCGGCATCGAAAACTTGGATCCGACTGAATGGCGCGAGCAACTGACCTTGTCCCTGACACTGAACAACGGAGTCAAGGTGCGCCTCCACCCAGAGGCTTAGGAGCCATAGAGTCGTGTTGTAGATTGCCAAGAACAAAAGCAAGTTTTGGTTGACTACCCTTATGTCTAGCCATTTTTTACGATAGAGAAAATATATTGCAAACGTCGTATGACCTGATCCAGATACTGTGAACAAAGTGCCAAGATTCTGTGTATTCAGTAACCCACCATATGCAAACGCAACTCAGACAACGAATCGTACACCGCTTCTGGATTGGCTAGTCAAAGTTCATAGAACATCCGGTTATCATTTCTTTGCACATTGTAGAAATATCACAAAGAGATGTTTTGCATTTCGATGAAACCACATCCCATGCGCTTGCAGTCAAATGTCGTTCCAAGACCATGCAAGATGGACTTGGTATCGGCAGGCAACTTAATGATCGCCTTCGCTTGTCTTCAGCTTAATCACCACCTATTGGTAGGCTTCCAGAAGGGGCACCGGAACGATGGCGCTAGGCTAAAACGGCTTAAAATGGCGGTTCAGTGAGCCAAGACAGGGTCACAATATAATAGAGTTGTGGATAATTGCAGGGATTCGGTCAGCGTAACAAGACCACGACGTGTCTCGGTTGACGACGCTCACCGCCATCGCATATGTGATGTTCAATTTAGTACGGGACCTCTCGTCCCAAATTTAGATGATACTCTTGGGTTCCTGTGGTCTCGAACGATGATGTATCGGCCTTACAGCCGCAACCTCGCCTAGAGTTTCCCTACAGGGAAACGATTTCAAGAGAATGTTTTAACTTGCCGTTTAACCATCCCAGGCCCACTGTAGCAGCGTGGGTAGAAGTCACAGGCTGACGAAATACCACCAATGCCAGCTGCTATCCTCAGCACATAAGAACAAGGGATGTGCTAGTTGTCATAGGATAAACGGCCAACTGTTAACTAGGAGCGCTGGCGCCCTGCAAACTTTAAAAATATGTAGCGGGGTAGCGTTGCTTAAGACCCCCCCTCCACCGGGACCGAGTCAGCTAGAGCTAAGCGACCGTCTCGGCCAGAGTCATTAACTCCCCGGCTCCTTTGCGGGCCGCTTGCTTCATTCAAGATGAGATCCTTGGTTAAAATAAGGTTTACAGTCCCGCCTTCCAGATGCTAGGCATGATTCTCCAGCTGCTCGAGCCTCGCTTCGCCCGTCCGAAGTGAAAACTAAGTACGTAAAAGAAACAGCTACCCCGTCTCACTCTATGATTATCCGCTCTGGCGAAGGCATCGTACCAGCCAAGACTCTGGGCAAATGCGCTTGGCTGTGGTGCCTGCGACACCTCGGTGGACAATCGTACAATGTTGCATTGGATTCGGACAAGATGAGGTAAAAGAGGCAATGTAATCACGAAGTTGTTTTAGTAAGCGGTCATTGAACTGCGTAGTTGTCTCCTTTTCTTTCAAGAATACGCAAACGATTCAGTCTTCTACGTATGCCTATTACCCGCCGTCTAGGAGCTGAGTTTGACTTCCCTCGGGCCTTTCACACAATCCCCCCGCACAAGCACAGCCGATTGTTCCGGAACTAGCGTGTTCATGACTCTCAAAGAAACGCAAATCCGGAATTTGTTTGTTTCGTTTCACCGTTGAATTCTCCACCTCACTTCAAATACACGATCGAATTATGTGCGGAATAACGGCGGCTATCACTCTCAGAAGAGGGGCTTCTAGTAATGGAGTGAACGGTACTAATGGTACCAATGGCACCAACGGAAAAGCCGAGCATGCTCACAGTGAAAGAAGCAATGCCGAAACGCTTCGCAGCCAGCTCGAGAAGAGCCTCGAGACTATCGTTCATCGTGGCCCTGATGCGTCCGGCATCTGGATCAGTGAGGATGGGGCTATAGGTACGTGTGATTGGCCCTCGAACTGAGAAAAGAGCCTAACATTCTACACATAGGCTTGGGACACAGACGCCTTGCAATAAACGATCTGTCCCCAGATGGAGTGCAGCCCATGCACAGCGACGATGCAAAGATCCATGCGGTTGTCAATGGAGAGATATACGATCATGACGCCCTTAGGGAGCGATGTATCAAGGAGCATGGGTACAGGTTCAAAGGCCACTGTGATAGCGAAGTCCTAATTGCCCTTTACAAGATCCATGGCGCCCCAGGGTTCTTCGAATATCTTCGAGGAGAGTTTTCTTTCGTCATCTTCGATGAAAGAGACGGCCGCGTCATTACCGCCCGGGATCGATTTGGCATCAAGCCCATGTTCTGGACCATTCACGGAGAGGATGCCAGAAAACGCTTGCTATTAACCTCAGAAATGAAAGGCTTCCTAGCTCTGGGCTGGCAACCTGAGTGGAATGTCTATGGTCTCATCAGCGGATCTTCTCTTCAAGCCGAGAACACGGTATTTAAGGGCGTATGGAAATTGAACCCTGGGACATGGATGGAGATCTCCCGGGACGGTCAGATTCAACACCACCAATATTGGGACCCGGAGTACAAAGATAAGGTCAGTGATGCTATACGCCGTCTTCAACCGTGAAAATTCTCACTGACATCCAATCCAGCATGACGTAGAGAATCGCACTCTTGATGAAATCATTTTGGAAGTTCGGAAACGCATTATAGAAGCGACCAAGCTTCGCCTTCGCGCTGATGTGCCTGTTGGCATCTATCTCTCAGGTGGTATTGATTCGTCAATTATCGCAGGCATAGTGACCAAATTGGTTCGCGAGGAAGGCGTTCTGCTGGGGAACCAAGATGCAACAAAGAGAATAGCATGCTTCACCATTCAATTCCCGGAAACATCGGGATTCAATGAGGCCGGTTAGTACATTCCTAGTGCCAAAAAGCAGTTGTCCAGGGATTCTTGAACTGGCTGACACCTCACACAGATATTGCCGAGAGATCAGCCGAATGGCTGGGCGTGCAGATCATCAAAAAGGACATGAACGAAACCGAGTTGGCCAACAATTTTGCTGATGCAATCTATCACGTTGAGCATCACCACTTTGATCTTAACACGGTGGGGAAGTTCTGTTTGTCTACTTTGCCAAGGCAGTATGGTGTGCCGGTTGTCCTTACCGGAGAAGGCGCAGATGAACACTTTGCTGGCTACCCTTTCCTGTTACCAGACTTTCTTCTGGAGCCGGATCATGCATGGCCATCTTCTACCTTAAATAAGAACAACGAGGTGCGTGAAGGCATGCATCGAGAGATGACGGAAGATATTACGAAAATGTTCGACAGAATCGGTATGTTCGACCATGGCTGGAAGGATAAGTCTCAACATGGACTCGCAGTTGGGAATAATGCCATGAGATGGCAACCAAGCAAAGACTTGTTTGCGCCTTGGGTCAAGGAGAAGTACGCAAGCCTAGACATGAGGGAGACCGTTGCTGCCTCGGTGCCGGCTGAGATCCGTAAGAAGATGGACGAAAGTTGGCACCCACTGCACTCCTCTCTCTGGGTCTACACCAAATCGCCGCTTGCTAACATGATCCTAACCTGCTTGGGGGATCGCACTGAAATGGCGCACAGTGTCGAGGCTCGGCCACCTTTCTTGGATCATCACTTGGCCGAGTACGTCAATGCCCTGCCTCCAAGCCTCAAAATTGCGTACAACCAGGCCGAAGGCGAGGCTGTAGGCACTGGCGCGAGTCTCTGGTGGAAGAATCTCAGTGCAGCGCGACAGTCGTTGAGCGAGAAGTGGATTCTCAAAGAGGCTGGAAAGCCATTTATTACACAGGAACTGTACGAACGGCGCAAGCACCCCTATTCGGCTCCTGTCAAATGGCCTCGTGGTGGCCCTCTGCATCAGATGATGGAGCGACTGATCACCAAGGAGAGCATTGAGAATTTGGGATTCATAGAATGGGAGGACGCGCGAAGCTGGCTGGAGACAGGTTTTGGAGATGAGGCTGATCCGCGGTCGTTTAGAAAGTTGGTTGTCACCGGCTCTTGGGTGGTTCTGAGCCAAAGGTTCGGTGTAAAGAAGGCTGTCAAGGAGCCATGGGCAAACGGCATGCGAAGGGTGTGCGTCTGATACAATGGATTTTAAAGGCCAGGAATGGAACGAAATCAAAAGGAAACGCGCACTTATACTTTTAGAACTTGTGGTCTGCTTTGAAAATAAGGGGGAATGACCAAAAAAGCAACTGTGCATCATTTTACCGATGGATCGTTGTTCAAAAAGTGCCCTAGAAGCGAAAGTTCTTCCTGACCAGCTTGGAAAGAAAACACGGCAGATATCCTGCTCGTGATTGGTCTCAGTTGCTTCAGTTCACAGAGCAACTGAAGAGGAAGGATCAGGATGAATCAAACAAACTTGGCTGGGCAGGGATTGGTTATGCGAGAGAATCTCGCTTACCATATGATCCAGTCAGACTCGAAAACAAATCTTGGCTTGCATATTTGAATGGCGTTGCGCGCCTAGCAAGTCAGAAGATGACGAAAATCGAACGCGCCGTGCCGTGCTGTGCCGCAAGGGAAATTGACACCCGCATCTTGTGACAGCAAGCCGAGGTCGCGGCGTTCAATAGAAAACCACTTATGGCCCTTAGGGCAGTAACGCATACTGTGAAAGTTTTGTTTCCCTGTACATTTATTTCTTGGCACTGCCCTCGATAGCAAAGCTTGCGAGGATCTGGAAAAGAAGTCTGCGACAATGAAGCATAATATTTGGTTCATGGCAGGCTTGATAACCCTCGGTAGGTCTTCGGAGTTGAGCAACTCCTATGTCTGTCTTGAATACGCTACTGACGTGTATACAAGGACTGTGCACCATACTGGATTGTGCGACTTCAGGCGAGCTATTGGAAAGAGAGTTGATCCGCTCGCAAGATGAAGCCGACTTGCTGAGCAACTGCGACACGATTTCTGGAAGATTTTACGTGGCCACCGAATCTGGGGAATCTGGTAACGTCACTATTTCACTACCGAATTTGGTCAAAGTGAACGGGACTCTATTTATCGACAACGATACCTCTTTCTCCGCTCCAAAACTTAGAGAGGTTACAGGGTCATTTTCGCCTAGCGGGCGAGACTCGCTCCCACTGTTGGAGACTGTCGGCCAAACTCTTTTCATCACGATGACAGATGTACCATCACTATCGTTCCCGAGTCTGGTTCGTATAGGCTCGTTTTTCTTTGATGGGGTTTATGGCCTTAAGAACATCACATGGGGTCCAGCCGGCTTTCCCGCCATAACAGAAAGGTCAGGAGACATCAGAATTCACGAGACAGACATCGACAACGTTGACTGGGTCTTCAACAAAGATCGGGACTATGGAATCATCTCCATTCATGGTCAAAACATCAAGAAAATTACCGTCACTGCCCATAACATCGATCGATTGGATATTACGGGATATGGTAGCGATAGGGAAGTTGAGGTAACATTCGATATGCCTCCCGTGGAAGGCAGACTACACAGCAAGATCAACACTTTAGCTCTGAACGGAGTCCGAAGCTTGAAATACATAGAGCCTCCGTCTTCAGTTGGGCATTTGTCTGTGCAGAGGTGTAGCCTGATTCGCCTGGATATCCCTTTTCAGGTTAGCGATTACCTCTTTATCCGCGACAACCAGCAACTGGTCAACCTGTTTTACGGCGTAAACTGGAGAAACTACGGTGATGCTAGTGGAAGATACGATGCGGGGACTATCTACATCGTGGAGAATCCGGCTCTAGTAATGGACTTCAACACAACTGACTCCGTTACCAACGAATCCACTGGCGCTTGGCGATGGCCTCAAAGGAACATGGATAAGCTCGTCATGAAGGATTCGAAATGGTCCACGGGGTTTTTGTGAGTTCTTCCGTTTAATCCAAATGAACTCAGCATGACCTGATGATTAATTTATGTAGCAATGGTCTACTCGAGGGGTACTCTCAAGTTGAAGATTTTCAGGTTGATTCTTATGATCAAGCCTTTTCGTGCAAAGCTCTGGGCGATGAATATGTCACTCCGAAAGGCGGAAGACCTGTATTCACAGGAAGCTACAGTTGTGAGCATAATGGCACCCATTTCTACCCTGACACGGACTCTGGAGGTACAGGCTATCGATGCTCTCCTTGGTTGGGAGCTTCATTATTGGCGTTGATGGGCTTCATGATAGCGTTGTAGTGTTAGATTTTCATGAAATCATGGAGGAAAGAACTTCGAGTTATAGGTGCACATATGAAAATCTGATTTATCTGATATGCAACTCAAATGTGGGATTAGGATCAAGCTACATAGCATTTAAGTACAGTCAGGGACTAGGGATTATTGAGAATCAGTAGAGATTCAGACCTCATTGTGATTGAGGCTCAGTCGTGCAGGAAACAACAGTGACTAGCAGTGGCGTAGTCAAGGTCATTTTCCACGACTTGAAGCAGAGTGACTTCAGTTGAGGTCATCAGCGTTCTCCACCTCAACGCCGTTAGTCTCACCATCAACATCCTCGCCATCAACATCTTCACCGTCGACATTCTGGTTGTCGACTTCCTCGGTCTCCTGGCGGCGCCAAGAGCCCTTCTTGCCTCCATTGTTGCCATACTTGTCGTCGTTCTTGTTGCCTCCCTTGTTGGCACCCTTGTTGTCCCAGACACCCTTGTCACCGCCCTTGTTGTTGTCCTTGTCGTCGTTCCTCTTGTCGTCCCACTGATCGCCCTTGTCCTCGTTCTTGTTGTCATCGTCGCCATTGTTCTTGTTCTTGTTGTTGTCATCGTTCTTCTGGTTGTACTTGTCGTCATCCTTCTGGTTCTTGCCATTTCCCTGGTTGTTGTTCCATTGATCACCCTTGTTGTCGCCCTTGTTGCCAGACTGACCGTTGTCGCCGCCGCCGTTCTTGTTTCCCCAGACGTCAACCTTGTTTCCACCCTTGTTACCATACTGCTCATCCTTGCAGTTACCCTTGAGGTTCCAGAAGGTACGCTTGCACTGCTTAGAGAAAGTACGAGTGACGAGTTCAGCGCCAGTCATGGCCTATGAAGATTGTTAGCTTACAAACAGCCTTGTAGACATAGAAATGATGGTGAGCTCAGACTTACCGCATTACCCTCAGCGCGGACCTGAAAGTCAATTGACGTTAGCCAAGAGCTCTGTATACCAATGCTGGAACCAATGAGGATTCCTTGGAACGGATGTACTCACCTCGACAAGCCCACCCTGAGAAGGCTCAGCGACAGGGGCAGCAAGAGCAGTGGCGGCGAAGAAAGCCATGCCAACGGTGGCAACCTGACCGAAAGTAGGGACATGCATTTTGATAGTTGTTGAAAAGGTTTCTTGTAAAAGAGAGTGATTTTGAGCGAATGTGGGGTTTTAAGCGAGAGACTGTAGAGAAGTGTGATCTGGAGAGTGAGTGTGATGATGAAAATAAGAAAAACCTGTTGGCAGGGGATTTCAAGTCTCTTTTATACAGGAGATTCATTGCTTGACGAGCCTGATGAGCAGTCGGCTAGGGAATTGATGCTGGATCTTTGAAAACACGAAGCGTTTGCGTGAGAATCTAGCGCGTTCTGTAAGACCAAAGGCCTAAGCATCCCCAAATCGAGGCCGATGCTTTTAGCTCGTCCGTGTGGGGTGGAGGTTAGTGCATGGCAAACAGAAGCTTTTCCGGGATCAGCTAGAAGATCCGAGATTTTGGTTCTAGACAAGTTTTGCTCAGCGTTGAACTTCAAGGCAAAGCCACGCGAGCTCCCTAATCTGGCGAAAACCTCGGGTTAGCGCCACTGATCCTCAGAGTTGGAAAAAGTCTAGACCACCTGGAATTGAAACAAAAGGTGTCCTGAATAGAACCAGGGAAGTGGTTGACAGTGCCATCTTAAGATAGTGGTCTGTCACCTAGAGCCCGAATGTTATCCGGAACGACGAGCTTCACGAGACAGATAGACTGTCTCTGACTGAAATATCTACAAGAGCGTGGGTAATATGAGATTTCTTTAGTCTTACTCCGCACTCCAGATGGCCCTTATAGTGACATGGATAGTTGATTACCCGGACATTGATTAAAAAGCATCGCAAGGTGAGCTCGTGTTCTAGGCCCGATGTCTCAATACCGGTAGTGTGGAAAGGAAGCGCCTCCCAGCTGAGAGGATGTTATGCCAAAGCAACCCCATCCGTGAGCCACCCCGCCTGAATCAACAGTGCGAGAGCTGAAAAATGGTGGAAATAGAAACGAGCCGTGCGAGAGAGGAGATGCGGGATGGCGCTACTAAGAAGCTTAATTGAAAACACTAAGCGCGCTTACCTGGGCCGGCGCGGCGTTGGTGCGGTGCTTCCCGTTCGGGTGGTTTCGGGAGGTATTTTAAGATACTCCGTGCGAAATGGCACCTCACATATATACTTCATCGTGTTTGCTGAAAGCATAATAGTCATCAGCAAAGATTATGTCGGCACATTCGTCGTCTATGGCAATTGAACTTGAGATTTGTAACATATCTGACGACGGTGGCAAATGCCGGTGAGATCCCAGGGTGTGAAGATCGGACCAACTTTCAGCGGCGCATGAACAATTCGGATATGCAGATAAATGGAGCTAGTATCACCAATCAACGGCATTGTGACTTTATATTTTTGACGATGGTTTGTTCGGAGCAGTGGAATCTTCCGTTGTCTCGGTCTTGACTTATTTTCGGATTGAGTGGAAGATTGGACCGAATCCTTGCCGCCAGACGCCACATTTGCCTCCGCATTGATCCGCCCATAGCCTGACGGGCCTCAGCTTACGTTGGCTAGCCGTGATGAGGATTCCAAAAAACAATATCATCGTCCCAGTTTCTATGACTGACCTAACGATACATGGAGGTTTCAGGGGCTGAAGCCCGCGCTCATCTCAGCATTAACCATTGAACGGTGAATGCAAGTGTCTTCATAACGACTTTTGGTGATACTTAGAGTGTGTATTACTTAGAGTGTGAATGATGTGTTGTCAACAAGAAAGTCTACATCGCTTGTTGGGTTCAATGAGCAAGCGACTTTTGATGTACGGCGGGAGTAAGCAAAATCCTAGGCCTCAAAACCACGTCATTACTCTTCTACCAGGTTATTTCGGTCACTTGAGTTGAATTAGCAACGGAGAATATTGAGAGTAGACAGTATAATAACTTACGGTAGCTCGAAGTCAGGCAAAAACCAGGACAAAACCAGCGCTGGCGCCGAAGCTCCGACGGCTGTATATACCATATATCTCATAACATCGGAAAACTGGTGAGAGGTAAGCTGAGATGATTGTGTGAACATTGAAATGGAATCATTCCTTACGGCATGATTAATCGCAGTCCTCTCAGGAGTGCCCCACGCAGGCGCAGTTCCAACGATCGAATCGAAGAGCGAATCGACAAGCTGTCTTGAGGCCCCGTTGCCGAGATACCTGTACAAAGCCGGCTTGAATGTATTCGTGTAGATGCCCCCGGCTATGCATGCGCCAATACTGCCTCCAATAATGGAGAAGCAGATGACTAGAGCGGTGATCTGTGGCATCTCGCGGTGAGGAACGACGACCTGGGCAGGAACTAAGACCGATAGTTGCATGATGCCAGAGCCTAGACCCTGAATGATTTGGACGACAAAAAGCTCCGCAACCGAGTTGTCTGCACCTCTTAGGCGAATCATGACACCGTACCCGATCATACGAATGACTGCGGCCGAAATGAGAAGCCACTTATACCGCCTGGTGTAGGCCATGGCCAGACCGGCTATGATGCCCATGACACATTGCATGACGCCATTAGTATACTGAAAGAATGTCGCATCCCGCGCGGAGAAACCACGGGCAACTGTGGACCAAGAGTAGAGATAGGTGTGAGTGCAAGAGAATCCGATGGAATCGCTAGCGATGAGAAAAAGACACAAAACGATTGTCCTGTTACGGAAGTAATGCCCTGGCATAATCGGATGCTTTGCCAGGAACTTCTCGTACATGGGTAGCAGAATAAGGATAAAGCCGCCCAGGATGATAAGTGCGATGATGTATGGGGTTTGCCAAGCACTTGCGCTTCCAGCAGCGAGTGTCAGTGGCAGTAGAACCATGGCGATACCCGCAGACAGTAAAGCTGAGCCGCCAAGGTCAATCTGAGAACAGAAGCTGTACAATGTCATCTTCTGAGATGGCGCCAAGCCTTCCTGCTTTGCCTTCCGCTGGAAGTAGAGCAGAGTCGAAATAATGAATGCGCCGCCGATGGGCATGAGAATTGCAAACATGCCAATTCCCCAGCGCCAGCCAATGCCACCGGGCCTAACCACGTCTTCGATGATGAATGCTGCTGCCCACGGAGTAATCAAGAAAGGGAAGAACGAAAAGCTGATAGCAAAGCCACGCCACCTTGCCGTAGTGATGTCGGCGATGACAATATCATTCATTATGTTTGTCCCAGACTGGCCGACAGTGTAGAAAATGGCCCCAGCGGCGTAAGAGTCGAAGCCATGAGAGGAAGCCATCAAAATGTAGCCTAGCACATAGAACGAAATCGTCATGATGTATGTCTGTCCTCTGCCAATGACATTGGATACCTTTGCCACTGGGGGCTTGATGACGGCAAAGACGATACCATTAGCTGTGCCGAGTGTTGCCAAATTGGAGAGTGCCGAAAAAGATGACGTCGCATAGTTATTGTAGATAGCAACGGTGGTGTTGTCGAATTCGCTATCACGGATGAGCTTTTCCTCATGGACAAAATCGGTATTGAGCACGTACTACACAATCATAATGAGAGCCAACCCGGTGATAACGAGCCATCTTCCTTTCTTTCCCCATATTGCCTGTACTGCTTCGATCGTGCCGACTCCGGACTCTACCAGCTCGGAAGACCTAATCTTGTCGTCGGCATCGGGGTCGTCGACCCCGTCATCCGTCTTGCCAGCCGCCTCCACGTCGTTGGCAGTCCGCGGAACTGTGATGCTATCGTCGGCGGCTTGCTCGGACGGCCGAGAGTCCGAGCGGAACTGGCCTTTCAACGAAGTGATGAAGCGCATCGCGACTCGTCGTTCGGCTACTTGGTGCCGGAAAGACGGATTGAAGTCGGGCTGCGGACGAACTGTTCGCGGTCCGAGTAGAAAGATGCGGCGACTTTAACAAACTTTGAGTCAAGACTGCGCGTAAGCATGCCGGCGCCTTGCCCAAAGTTGCCTTTTGAGACGATCCCCGCCCTCCCAACAAGAAGTCAGTCTGCGGCACGTTGATGCGCAGATACCACCTATCACAGGGATCGGCTCATTGACAACCGACAACCGTCCAGACAGAGTTTGGTGCGGCCCGGGAAGACATCCCGCTGTTGTTATCTACCGCTCGACTCAGAGGCAGCGCGGGGTTGCGCGGGGTGAGCCAACCTATCACAATGAAGACGTTGTCATCGTACATGGTCTTGTGATAACATTGCTGATAGCAGTTTGATTCATGAGCCGTTGCGACTCGTCCGATACTTGGTGGGATTGTTTTCCATGTCTCGTGTCACTCATCCATGCTTCCCGAGGCATGATGAAATGATAGCATTCCAGAACCGATAGCTTGCGATAAGGTTGGTCGTCAATGGGATGGACCCTGGAAATTAGATCTGTTGAGCGGTGCCGAACGGGAGAATCCACCCTTATTGCGCCGCAATTTAGATATTTGCCGACATTAACGGCCGATGGCGGCTTCGAGAATGGAGCACGCGGGCCCGGCACCCAAGATGGAGTCGTGGGTCCCGGTCGGCGGTGACTGGCATTTAGTCGATGAACCCGGCTCAAGGATCGCTGAAGTACTGGGAGCTCCTGAACATCAAAGATAGAACGTTGAAACATCTCAACGAGTAAGTGTAAACGTGGCTAATTGAGACGGCCAGGAACTGACACAGGGGCATGTTCTTTTCCGTGCAGCAGAAACCTTCTTCACTCTGCCGATAGCCAAGACGCAGATAATCAGATGAAAAAGATAATGCAAGCGTGGCTCAAGTAGGCAATCTCGAACGTCTTTCTTATCTCCCGACCGACTTGTACGAGTCGGGCCATGGGCCAAGAAGCTCGAAGGATGCGCTAACCCCGAAGAAGCGAGACACCTGGTACACCATCTGCTTGTCTCCGGCCACATGGTCAGCGATCCGGAAAAAAGGACCCCCACAGAATAGACCAGTTGTAAAACAAGTCAGCCAGAGGATATCTTCTTCTGAGCCGGCTGGTGCTCTGCTTTTCCCCTTTTATTTTCTTGTGCCTCTCCTAAAACAGCGGGCGGGGACTGCAAGCGCAATATCATCCTCATCGATTTTAAGATGGACACTAAACTTGCGGTCGAATTTTCGGCTCCCACTCAAGTGGCCCGGCCCAGATCCAAGTGCAAGGCAGCGGTCACCGCTGCTGCGCTCTCGGCTCTCGGGCTGGTGGCGCTTTTCAAGGGTAGCTTCGTTCCGTCCCCATGGCCTACTTCCACACACCGACAGGCTCACGAGCCCCACGGTTCCGCAGGTTGGAGTTGGTCAAGCGTACGTAATGAGTTGTGATAAAACCGTGAGCATTGAGTACTAACACACTACAATCTTCAGATCAAGCCAAGCAGGACCCTTGAGTGGCATGAGTGCTTTGAAGACGGAGGATTTGACTGTGCTAGACTTGATGTCAGTTCTCAAGTTCCCTTCAAGAGAAGATGGTGGTGCTAATTGGCTCCGAAAGCTCCCTATGAATTGGCTGGAACCATCCGATGACCGCAGAGTTGTTGTTGCGGTTTCTAGAATACGTGCTACAGACAAGTCCAACTACAAAGGCCCCGTGTTCTTCAACCCTGGTGTAAGCGATATCGCGTGGAACTTCAGACAGCTGGGTTAACTTTTAGGTTAGGGACCCGGCGGCTCTGGAGTTTGGTCTTTGAAACACCACGGCAAATACTTGCAGGAGATTATCGGCGAGAACCATGTGCGTTGTAACTCCCGGATAGGTGGTTGACGCCCGATATCATGCTAATACCTATCTTTTAGGATCTGATCAGCTTCGACCCAAGAGGCAGTGAGTTGTACATGACCTAAGAGTAAAGTCTTCCGGGACCTAACGCAAGCTAGTTGGCGCGTCTATTCCCCGGATTGAGTGCTGGTCTTCCCCACAGAAACGCCAAACTTGGGGCATGCAAGACCCAGGCCTACCCGATGCTCATGAGGGTGCCTTAGCTGAAAGCTTTGTCAGAGGGGCGGCGTATTCTCAGGCATGTGAGAATGCCATGAATGGCTCGGGTATTCTTGAGCATATTGGTACCGTATCTCACGTTCGAGACATGCTTGAGATAGTCCACCAGACTGGATACGACAAGCTGAAGTACTGGGGCTTTAGCTACGGCACGATAATTGGAGGAGTCTTCGCATCCATGTACCCCGACAAAGTCGAGCGTATGGTCAACGATGGCAACGTGGATCTCAGGGAGTGGTTCAATTCCCAGCACATAAACTTCTTGAGGGACACGGATAAGGTCTTGTATGCCTTCTACGAGTTCTGCTACCAGGCCGGCCCTGACAGATGTGCCTTCTACGCAACATCCTCGCAAGCGATTGAGGAGAGGTTCAACAAGCTCCTCTCGGACATCAAGGCGCTTCCCATCGTCATCAATGCAGATGAGAAGACTGGACCAGACGTGCCGTCTGTGGTAACGTACTCGAAGGTCAAGATCCTCCTTTCCTCCGTTCTCTATGAGCCACAGTACCAGTTTGAGAATTTTGCCAAGATTCTCGCTGCTCTGGAGAGGAGAGATGGAAGGCCTTACTACGAGCACTACAACCCCAACAAGCCCTCAACTGCCCCGCTTTGCGCCCCGAGGCCGGTGTCTCCATTTGAGCCCTTCCCTGAGATACTGGACGGCACACCCGACGCTTTTCCAGTCATCATGTGTGCTGATCATCCACCAGTGCATGACCTGACATTGGAGGAGGTCAAGAGACAGTCAGAAGAGTTGATTGGGCTCAGCCCAGCTACTGGTTCAATCAACGTCCCATTCCCTATTACCTGCAACCAGAGAAACATCCGTCCGCGATGGAGATTTGATGGTAGGTTTTTTGACTTAAGGTAGCCCATTTGAGCAGGTCCGTCAACTAAACACGCTACAGGACCTTTCGAGGGCAAGACAAAGCATCCTATTTTGTTTATCGCCAACAAATTCGACAACATCACGCCTCTAGTTAGCGCCCGCAACAACAGCGCCGGCTTTCCTGGCTCTACAGTCTTGGTCCAGAACTCATATGGCGTAAGTATGCCGATGCACGCGGATGTTGCAGTATCATTTCATTAACGTATCATTAACAGCACACAACTCTTGCCGCACCATCCAAGTGCACCAAAGGCTACATCAAGGCCTACTTCCAGAATGGAACTCTGCCCGAAGCCGGCGCAGAGTGTGAGGGAGACTCTTATCCATTCGCGGAACCAGTAGGGACCGAGATGCGCGTGTTCAAATCGTCTATGCACTTCTAAGTACACTTTCGTCACGAGTAACGCCCGAGAACTTGAATAGAAGTAGAAGTCTGTCTCCAGATACAACTGTAGATTTTGAAGATGATTAGAGATAAACTGTCGTTATACATTGCCAGACATACTTAGTACTTGTATGGAGAAAGTCCTGATTATCAGGTTGCAGAGATTCAATAAATTGATTAAACACACTGTACTGAGGGGGAATCGTAGTAATATGTACCTGGCTCTCTCTCATACTTGCTCACCATCGTATTTCCTTCACCTTTAGGACGTTCGGCCAGCCTCTCTAACGTCTCGGAGTGCTTGCTGGCAGCTCGTGCGCCACGCTGTCATCCGGAGCATCACTTCTGACCGGGCTGTACCCAAAACGTTCTTGAGATGATGCGTCCATCTCCACGGGCTTCGACACAGAATCCAACTCTCGGAGCTCCATCTCAGAGCTTTCCATTTCTGCTGGTGTAGGTGTCGAGTCCAACTCATTCACACCTTGTCTGAGAATTTTCTGCTCTATCGCATGGCTTCTGTCCACGCCACCAATTTTATTGGAACCTGTGTTGCTCGGGCTGGACTTTCTTCCAAAATTGCCTCTTGCCTCCGTGAACCATAGCACTGCCTTGTCAAAGACATCGGCTGGCGCCAACGGACCTTGTTTTCGCTTTCTACGACGACGGCATATCCACAATGCTGCCGCGACGGCAGCGACTGCCCCGACCGCGATCCCTGCAATCCCGCTTTTCGTCACACCTTTATCTTCGACGGCATCTTCTGTGACTGTGGAGCGTACCGCCCAAGACCGGCTCCAGGTAGTCTGGAATGTCGTGGCCGAGTTAGACTTCACCACGGAGTCGTCGAACCTCTGCACAACGCTCTGTTCAATGCTTGGGCCAGGGGCCTGAGCAATGTACATGACCCCCTTCTCGTAGTCAACAGCCATAAATGCAGCCTGCAGAAATGCCCGTCCTAGCTGACCAGCATTCGAAGCTCGGGAATCTGTTGACTTGCAAGGGAAATAGTTGACGGGGAATTCCACCAGGGGTGGCTCGAGAGTCAGATTGAGGAGCTTGAAGGGGACTTTGATCGTGTAGTTTGTTGCCGTCTTATCCGACAGAACGAATCCAAGGTAGGCAGTTGAATTGATGAAATCACCAACCGAGCCGATGCGGGTTGACTCCCACAAGTAGAGGCCAGTGTCATTATGAAACCGCAGTCCCAGATTTTCCGCTATCCCTTCGCATATCCCCGGTTGAAGATAGATATAGGGAGACACGGGGTTAGGCATGACTGTAGCAGATCCAGTTGCCCCCCGGAGGATATCGTTGTAGTTTGTGCCGTTCGTATCTCCAGGGTCGACCCAAAAGCTGCCGTTCGATCTTGCAGGAAATCCGGAAGCTTCCCCAGTTTCGACTCCCATGAACACGTCTCGAAGGAAAACTTGTGGAAAGCCAACTTCCATCGAGAACGTTCCAACATTGCCAAGCACTCTGTTCTGCTCGTAGCCGCCAAGAACCAATGACCCAGGTAGTTTGAGTGCCGCGCTGCCAATGTGAAGGCTCCATGCTGCTCGATCGATCTTTCCCTCTGCTTTCAATTGCTCCAAGAGACCAGGAGCTGCTTGATGCGGCTGTGTGCGGTACTTTTGTGGTCCCAGACCAAGAAATCCTACTTTTGACGGCTCGCTGGCGGCGCCGGCGTATACATCCATCCACTTGTTACCACCACTAATGGTGGCATTGAAGTTCAGATCGCTGCTTCCGAGTGAATAACCGATTGTGAGATTGTCGACGTAGACCTCCCCAAAGTAATCTCCTCCAGTATACAAGTAGCTTTGCCAAGTGTCAAAGTACGCACTACTACCATTCAATGGCTTCGCAGAGTAACTAGGACTCCAACTCCCGCCCACTTCGTTCATTAACATCTCCGTATAGCTCGAGCCACTAGGCCACAGTGGTATTCGGTCTTTTTCGGTCGTCACCATGACAGCTTGCCATGGGCCATCGGGGCCAATCTTCGCATTCGGAAAATTTGAGTAATCGGTCGTCCATGTGAGTATGAGTTGTGAATCGACAGTTGAAGCTGCGATGAGCAACGCAAAGAAGTGCAAGATTTTCATGGCGTTACCCAAGAACTACCACTTCTGAGAGAAGATGAATGGCCAGTGACGAAGAGATCAAATTGACGACGCAACTTGGTAGGAACAGCTTTCGCGTCTGCAGACTGTTGAAGTTGATGGGGTAAACATGACAACCCAGCACCCGCGCAGAAAAGGGGCAGGTGAATCCTTCGAATCCCAAAAGTGGCACCGTTCCCATATTAGAAAATCGCCCCATCACAGGCAACGAAGTTGGCTAGGATCCCATTCCATTTGGACCAATTTGAGCGAATAATCATCAGCGAAAATGAAGTGTAGGTTTAAAGGATCTCGCGGGCTTTTCTCCTCTGACTTGTGTAATAAAAATTTGACTCTGAAGATACGAGCAACCGTCCCTTTGTGAAATGCCCTCGTGGTCTTGGAACTCGTGCTGGATGAGTTACACCAAATAAGGTACACGTCGAAACTAGCTACGCAATCACGTTCACAGGGCAGGTGCGTATATCCAGACTTATCGCTTAACCAGCATGCCTCCGTATTGTGATACATCATCAAGGAATCAGTCAGTTTACACCATTAGCGAGTGTAAAATTGACATCCAATATAAGATTATCGAATTATAAACCCGCCCTCTCTAAAAAAAAAAAGAGAGCATTACTCCGTCGAGCCCACCAGCTTGCCGGCCACGGTTCATAACTGTCACCAAGGCCTGGCGCGATATGCAGTTTATTCTGCGATTGAATATTGGAAGTTTACTGCAAGTATCCAATAGAAACTGACTTATTTCAAGGAAAAGTTGCTGAAAGGTTCAGGTTATCCAGCCACACCCTCAAATCATGTCCTCAGATTATTGTGGTCATTTACGATACACAATTCGCGCATGATCAGTTGCGGTAGCCCAGGTCAAAAACAAGTACAAGATGATGTAATGATTCTTATTTTCAGACCTCAGCTCTTTTCAATGACCCTCATGATATCTCGTGACTTTGTCCTCACTGATGACGAAAACAACACTCATGTTCCTTCCGGCTAGACTCTCACCGCATATCTTACAAGTTCCCAGCCATGTGCAAGGAGGAAATATTATCCACGTTGATTGGAGACTCCTCGTCTCCTCACCGCCAATCTGAATAGAATGTACGGACGCTCAGTCCCTAAGCTCTTCGCCAGCGCGTGACCAGACGACCGCCTCGAACGGATAGTCTGTAGATCATCCGCTGGTAGATGTACCGGGAGCCGGATTCAGCGATACATGTGGACACTCGACACTTCCATAGCGGTTCTGTGTAGTGCCAGACCAGAAGCCTCGTGTCCAAAGGTCGCAGTTGGGTTGACGAGTGACAGTGAAGGTCCATTCCAGGTTGCCGTCCAGTCCGCCGCAGATAACATCACGCGCACCAGGATCATCGCAAGGAGTCAGATCGAGGAGCTCCGCGCAGACAGCATCTTTGTTGTCGACTCCGGTTGCCGTGACTGTATAAGTGGTCCATATGACGTCCCCATAAGCGTCACATTCGGCTGCCAATGCGATGGTGGAAAGGCTGAGAATAGATAGAAGAGTAGTGAAGGGCTTCATGTTGTTTCTTATTATGTTGATGGGGTGATGAGTTATTTGGACTGCCGAGAATTGAGCTAGTCCTCAAAGGATTGTCGGAAATAGCGAATGATGGTGGAACTATGAAGCGGTGAATCCTCTAAATGGACATAAGAAGGATCTTATATGAATTGACCAAAATGAAATGTAGCCTACCTACGTGCGGGTTCCATGTTACATCAGATAGCTTAAAATAAGCTTGAAGCAGAAGAGGCAGGCGCTTAGCCGCTGAACTCCTTGATATTACCGGTATGCAAAGGCGCTTCGTGACCCACAGAGCATCTCTCCGGTTCTTTTGAAAAAGTGTTGTGGGAGGTCGGAACACACAATTCGTGCTTTCGTACTGGGCTAACTTTCATGCCGCGTCGGCGTTCGAAGTCAAGTTGTGGCCCGTCATCTGGCCGCATCAAGCCCCTTACTATAGGTGTCGTAAGGTAGATGGAGCCGAAATTAAGATCTGGTTGCCAGATAGGCCGTACACATCGTCATAGTAGTCCCGTGAGCGCCTACAGACACAACAAATTTGACCCACTATGGCTGACAGACACGCCTTACTGAGATGATAATACTATTGGTGCGTAGCACATTTTTCGTTTGGCAGTTGAGAGGCCTCCGAGCTTCGCTGGGTTTCAGATGAAGCGCTTCTCTCTGATGCGAGACGTACGACGCAGGCAGCTGGCACTTCAATACTCAATCGACACATTTCGTGAATTTGCCTCACACTGTGACTGGCAGTGGCTCACTCAGATGAAACAATCCCGAGAGATTGCGGAATGCAGTCTCTTAGTGCTTACGCCCCATACGGAGCAATTGGCTTTGGGAGGCGGTGTCCAAAAGTAGCCGCAAATCCTGGCGGTTCACCGGCGAATAACACGATCACCATGGATTGATGCAATAGGTCTAGCCTGTAAACCTCGAGGCAATCTTACACGAACCACTGTGTCGGTAACTTGTCATGAGCTTATTTTTCCTGTCATTCCCTGGTTGACCGTAAACAAGACCACCCCGGTTTCATTGACCGCTTCGGCTCTGCAGTGGTCTTTTTGGACCCGCGCGCCCACGTCAAAAATGACTGGTTGAAAGTTCATCAGGTACCAGAACCAACGCACTGGGAGGCGGTAAGGCTGTGACGTGGACAAGATCCAGTCTACTGCAATTGTGATTTCTTGCACGCAGATTGGCCTGACCCGGCTTCAGAAACAGGTGAACTGCAGGGGTGTTTTGCCCGACCACCTGAGTATGAGACCTCAAACAAAAAGAACGCCACACGTTGACCAGTAGAATGATTAGAAATGGTTCCTTCTTCTCAGCAGCCGCTGACATGCAGAACTCGCTCCATCAATCAGAAGGCTTATATGGCTTCCTCTTTTGACCAATCATCAGTCAGCGAAGTGGAGGCCCATAAGGAGAGCACTTGTCAATAAAATTTGTAGGTACCTAGAATTTGAAAGAAACCATAGTATCTTGCGACGGAAAACGAGAAAGTTAACAGAGTTCCTTTGGCATCCGAGTGCTTCAAGCTAAGCCGTGCGGCTCCGATGCCGTGTCCCAGTTCCGTTGCAACGACCCACTCTTCCGGTACGACGCTGGCCGGCCAAAGGGGCTGCGGCCAGCTGTTGCGGAGATTTTGTACGGCCAGGTCTTCGGGAAAGATCCACAGCAACGACTTTTGGGTTGTAGCACTCGTGTTCGGGCCTCTTTAGCATCGTGGAAGCGGCTTTTCTCACATTGCTAGGTACTTTGTGAGCGTTGACTAACACGCTCAGTCACCTTTCATCTTTCCTAGTTCGAACTCCTCGCGGGCCATCATGAGCGACCCACGCCGCGACCAGCGTTCATCGCCGGACTCCTCCAGTCGTTTCAAACCAGACAGGTATTTCTCTGCGTATTCCACATGCCAGGTTGATCGTCCGATTCGGGTCTTCTTCAACCCCTTTAACACCGCCTTCGTGCGCGACCGCCACCACGTCTTCTCTTGATTCATGGCGCATCGCCTGAGAAACATGAGCAAAAGGCAAATTTGGTCGCTCCTTGAATCCTTAAGTAGCATATCACAGATGGTCAAGAGTCTACTCATCTGGATGCTCTTTTCGAATTCTATCTTGGCTGCATAACTTGCGGAAAGGGAGGTCGGAGGAACGAAAGTCGATAGGTTCGCTGCGAGGTACATCATTACCCAGTGAATGTAGATCTAGGTCGTCAGAAATCGTACTTGTGACCTGAAACTGAAAAGCCTACCTCTATCTCGGAGAGCAGTTCCTTACGGAGGTCGAGGTCTTTGATGATGCCATACTTGTCCGCAATCTTGATCAGCTGAGCCACCGTCTCGTCAGGGGAGGCCTTGAGATTGACAAGATCGCAGTAATACAACAAGACAAGGAGGTCCTTCTCCGGGTCGTCAATCAGTGCTAGGTGAGACGGTCTGAACGGGAGAGGCAAAGCCTCGTCTCCATTGGAGCTCGGCCCTGGCTCAGCCGCTCCATCTGGGTGGTTGAGAAACGGGTTTACAGCGCGTGCCAAACCTAAGAGTATCTTCGAAGGTGGACCCAGATCAGTCGTTAAGCTGAGTATTGTCGACTCAATTACAAGAGAAACATAATCGCGAACGTTGGCAGTTTCGCGGGCTTCATCAACCGACCCGTCCAAGTGCTCCACCAGTGACGCCACAGCCTGGGGTCCTGAGCTTGCGTCGTCCCCAGCCAGATAGAGATTGCGCAACTGAATTGTGGAGTGAATGGCCTGTCGTGCGTTCTTTGAAATGATTGGAGGAAGGTGGCAAACCCATACCGTTGTCGAGCTTAACGTTTTGGCGACGCGGGGCGGGGGTGGCGGACTGCGCAAGTTAGGTCACCGGTCGATCTTGGGCCCAACATTAGACTCCAACTCACCGCGAAGAAGCTCCCCCCATGTCAGAGAGCAATTGCGACACCGAGCTTTGAACGGATGAATAGTCGGGCGCGCCCAGGAAGGTGAAGACGGCGGCATTCATGTCGTACGTGGGCTACGGCGAGACCCTCAGATTAAAAGCTCGGGAGCTTGGGAAAGTATCGCAGCGAGGCTGACTGCGTATTTCTTGATCTTCACATCGTATTTCGCGTCTGCATGTGCGACCGAAGGCTTCGAGTGGCTGAAGGGCCAAGCTTCCAGCTACGCGAGGGAGCTGAACGGCGGCGCGGGATGAGCTCCCGGATTGGACCGTTGAACGCCACCGTGTTTTCCAGCCATCACAAGACGCGTGCGGGGTACTGGGGTAAGACCCTACGCTATGCCGGGTTACAGGTCCATGGAGCATTGTAGGGATTGAGAGCTGCGATGCAAGATCTCAAGAGGCGATGTGGTGACAAAAAGGATGTATGTTTGTTGTGTTGAGTAGTTCGATATGTACTCAGAATGCTAATATGTACACGTCCTTGACGATGATGCGTGCCAGATTCGTGCTTCGCCTGTAACGCCATTCCGTTCCTGCATCCCTTAAAAATGCACACTTCCAAATTGGTGCAGCTCCAATGTCCGGAGACTTTCCCATGATATCCTTTCCTAATGATGCCGCTTATAAACGCCTTTGCCAATGCGATGGGTGATCGATATGATAATTCGATGTTGGTGGGGACCGACGATGTCGTCGTTGCTGATGGAGTGGGTGCGGGTCTCTTAGACCTGGTTCTGAGCCTCGTAGACTTGCATCGCCTTCTCGAGCTCCTCGAGGCTCGATCGGTCTCCGTAGGCATCCATCAATTTTGCCGCACGCTTGCGGTCTTCCACTGCCTGTCTTTCCGCCTGCTCAGCCATGGCGATGCGACGCTGGACCATGGCTTGTCGGTAGGTGTTCAAGCCGTAGCCAACGGCCACGACTGCTACTGTGGGCGGGATCCTGTTGCCACATCCGTCAGTATATCTGTTTCTTAGTCCAACATTGCAAATATTGGATGTTCATCGGCTCATGGGAAAAGCGTACCATCTCATGGCGAGTCTGCGGGGGGTCTGAAGGAAGTAGCTCGGGGGAACGCGAGCGTTGGTTGAAAAGGCTCTGGAGGCTTGTCTGAACATGGTATGTGATGATTTCGTTTTGGTGTGGATGTTGGGGGTCGATCGATATTTGTATGATTCGTCTGTATCTTGGTCCGTTGAATGTAACGCAAGGGATGGGAGAGATCTCTTCGGGCTAAAAGAAAGCGCCGGGTGGCAGCGGCCATGCATTCATATAATGAACCCTCCAAACGCCAGAGCGTCTCCCGCCCATCGCAGTCGCCCGCGCCCCCTTGGCGTGACTATCTGATGAGACCCCCCAACAACCAGGTCATCCCCTAACTTGCAAGGCCATATCCGTAAGGTAGCCATTGGATTGGATGGCCACACCAAACAGGGGCAAGCATTTCCGTAGGGACGAGCACCTCCGCAGGGGGCAAAGCGGGATGCGCGGCAGTATTCGTGTGACACCAGCATGGCACCACGCTCAGCAGCGCCTCAATTGGGCATGGCGCCGCCATCGTTCCAGAGCGTCGATTGTGGGGTGATGTCGACCGATTTGCGGGGTGTAATCGGCACAGCCCGGGTGCAGTAACGTGACGGCTGCTGGTCCTCGCTGGAGTCGCTGGAGTCCGGGAGACCTTGACTTTTCTTTTTGGGGAGGCGGTCAGTCCGGAGGTTGTCTGTTCCATGTCACGGCGGACGGCGAAAGAAGAGGCCGTGATGGAGCACCACAGCTCTCAGCTGTGTTCGTTGAGTTGCTGGAGGTGAGGGCGACGACAACATTCCCGAGGTAGCTTGCCGGCTGGTCGCGCCCCCTGTCCACTATCTCTCGACTTGTCTGTTGATCCCTGATTCCTTGACCACACCAAAACGACGCTCGCACAGCCCCCCGGATCTGCCTGGGCGGCTGGCTGGCTGTTCTCTCCAGCGCCCGTCCATCCTGTGTTATGTTGTTGTCTGCCCGCATGTGATGGATGGTCTGTCTTCGAGGTCGGGAAAGTGCATGACGAACATTCAACGGCCGTCGGAGGGTTCCGTTGCTTCCAGACCATGTCAATTCGCCTTCTAGCGGTGTTTTGTTCCACGGTAAGACTATTATGACATCTACTGCTCGGCAATAAACTGGAGATGTCTCAACAAGACCCTTTGGCTTGACAGGCGTTTTTCCATCCGTGCTCAATGTTTTCCCCATTCTTGAAGCCGAGAATTGTCATCGTCGACGCCCAAATGCCGATTCCACCCGCGAAAAAACAGCAGACTCCACTCCAAATCGTCCCGAAATCTCGTCACATAGCCGAAAACCCTCGTTGATGTCATCTCTGGTCCCTGAATATTATCTCTGATTTCATTTCCAGAAATCCCACAGAGTCAGGCCCATGCAGCCGCACTAGGCCAGATCTCATCTTGTCTCCATCGTATTACGCTCTGGCCCAGCCTTCTTTTGGAAGCCTTTCGTTCAATTATCACCAATCCGTTGCCAAGGCACGAAATAGGCGAGCTGCACCACCCCCGGCCTGCCGATGTCATTCAACGGAATTTCCATCAATGAGCTCAACGCATTTTCCAATGTCCGTCTCCACAACCCGCTGCCAGCTTCAGCGCTCCGCCAAGAGAGGCAGTGTTTCGCAACGTCACAGCAGGCAGTCGTCCGCGACTCTTGAAGCTCCTGTGAACCAATTTGATGACAATCGTGATACTGAAGACTGTGTTCAATGCTCAAATTTAGTTGCCTTGACATAAGTATATACCTAGGCAAGAAAGTCTCTAACCTGAACCTTGCCAACCTCTTGGGACCATCACATTTCAGATGCCTGCAAAATTGTATTCCGATCGTCCCGTCTGCACCGACTGCCAGCCGCTCTGCGAAAACGGGTTGAGCACTCAGCCTTCAGCGACTCAGCAGAGAATAATTCCCAGTGGCCCGAATTTAAATTTATCAATAGCATATGAGTTAAGTAAGCGTTACAGGGGAAAGAACATATTCTCATTGAGTCGGTCTGGAATTCCTGGATAATTATTTACGAGACTTGAGTGGGGCCAATGTCCTGAACGATCAAAGTTCATCTCTCGATTCTTTGGAATCTGGTAACCTTGGATCCGTCGCTCAGCTCTTGCTGAATTTCTTGATGTTTGTAGCCCAGCAGTCTCGGTACAACCACAAAACGAAGGGTGTAGTAGATGATTCCCAACGACAATATCCCAAGAGCAACGACTGAGGACAGCCAGTATGGTAACGATGTGCTCCCCTTTCCATTGGGGGGTCTTACAAAAGGCATTACAATCAAGAACTATCCGAGTCAGCAATTAACCTTACAAGAATTAGATCTTGGCAAGACTCACGATGTTTGCCGCAAGATAGATGAGGATGAGAATCCAGGGGGCGGGGAGGGGCGAGTGGAAGTTTGCGCGGTCGGTCAGGCGCAGCTTGACTAAACCGACAGTAATGGCAAACAACAAGACGGTTGTCGGATAGCTGGATAGCGATACCACGAAGTTGAATGCATCGCCGGCTGGCGGGGCGCAAATGAAGAGAATCGTGACACCAAGATGAAGGAGCAGAGCGTAAATTGGCGTTCGAAACGGTCTGTTCTCCATGAACAAGTTGGAGAAGGGCAGAACACCGTCCTTGGCAAGTTCTTGTAGTAGGCGGGCTATTACTAGAGTTAGTAAAGCAGCCAGCTTTTGTTCAAAGCCTCAACGGCAATTGTGACTCACGGATTGTGAAGGCGACCCCGAGAAGATGTCCAAGGGCAGACAGAGCAACAAGTGCTGGCAGTGCTTTGGCTCCGGCGGAGGGACCAAAGACATTTTCAAAAAGAGTTGCCGCAACCGTAACCTTGGCAGCAATGAAAGCTTCCTTAGGAACAGCAGCAAACTGACAGCCCAAGTCAGAATGTGGCACAGATTGGAGTTCTAAACAGAGGTTGCACTTACGTATGCGACGTTGGCCAAGAGATACAACACCGCGATGACGCCCATAGACAAGGGAAGAGCCAATCTAAGTGTCCGCTGAGGATTGCGAACTTCAGAAAGGACCTAGATTCCCACGTCAGCAACGTCTGGAACGCGTTGTAGCATGCAACTTACGGCATTGACGTTGTCATATCCTTGGAAGGAGAAGATGACGTTGAGAATGGCAGAGCCAATGTTGTAACCGCTACTCGACGTGCCTTCGAAAGCATTAGAGAAGTTGTGGGGACTCTCTATCCTGAGATGCCCTGCCAAGGCAGCAAAGCCACAGCACACGATGAAGAGGAGTGTAAACAGCTTTACAGCCGAAAGCACATCTTGAATCCCTCTGCCAACACGGGGTGCAACGGTGTGGATTCCAACAGAGAAAATAGCGCCGGCAATGGCGACACCGCGAAGTTTCCATGTCGTTGAATCAACGCCAGCCGCAACTAGGATATAAGAAGAGAAGGTAATGGCGTTACTCGCGGAAACCTCTGTATAAGCTTGGTTAGATGACGGAACCGGTTCGATCTCGGGCTCAAGAGCTGAGGCTGGGAGGACAAAACCTACGGAGAAAGACGCAATAAAATACGTAGATGCACGTTTGCATGAGTCTAGGGCTGAATGCACGTTCCAGATAGTTCTTGATACCGCCGGATCTAGGAATCGCTGTGCCGAATTCGAGCATAACAAAGATACCGCATGTTGAAATGATTGCGCCAATGACCCAGCACATCAAGGCCATTCCTACGCTTCCTGACAGCTTGAAAATTGTGCTAGGAGTGGAAAATATTCTGAGAGAATGTCAGCCATGTTACACTTCCTGAACCGTGCAGCCACAATAACTTACCCTGCGCCAATGATCTTATTCACAACAAGCGAAACAGCTCCAAAGAGCCCAATTGTCCGCTCCTGCAACACGTTGACTTCCACAACTCCCAGCTGACCATCTTTGACAGAGTCATCAGCGCCATCACTGGCAGTACTGATTGCCGGGGTGCCTATGACATCGTTAGCATAAGCGTCAAAAACCTCAGCCAAAACCCTGTTTATCGATGTTCACTTACTCTTGATAACATCGCCCTCAGAAGCCATTATCGTAGACAACTCGATACCAAGGATTCAGAGGTGAAAAGTCGCCAAGGACAACGAAACCATAGCTAACGATAAGAAAACAGGGTTTTAACATTTGGAGATCTGCTTTTGTGAAAATCTGCTAGCGACGGATAGTTCCCGACTTGTGAGCTAGCACGATGCATCCGCGCTCGCAGAGCTGGGGTACAGAGCACGCCATACTGGAGCCAAGATGTCGAATCACCCAATTCAGTGCTGACCACGCAGCGAGTAATAGGGAAACAAGGAGTCATTTACTGAAGCAAACCAACTAAAAACGGTACCGATTTATTGGATTCGGTGTTTGCTGCCGAAATTTGTCGCCTGTTACAGGAACATCACCCCAGCCATGCGGCAGTGGTCGATGTCGGGGGTTTCCCGAAAATGTCGTGATTCCCATCCCCAATTCGCCATCGCAGCGTACGACAGCTATTGGGGGGAAAGCTGAAGGCACCGAGAATATGGCAGATGGTTCACCCGGGGCGCATCCGACTCCGGTCCGAATTGTTCGTAAGACGGATACCGGAGATGGATTGCAACTGACGTTTGAGCATAAATGCGGGTGGAATATCGGATTCTTTTACGTCAAGCGAGCGTAGATGTCAAATATCTCTACTGAAAATTTCGACGAGAAGCCTGCAGCGAACATGGCCATTGAGATCGAGACTTTCGAAGTCCCCGGGGCGCGGACTTACTTCGGCAACACTTTACCTTATGGCCTCCAAGTGAAGCAGACAGGAACTGCCACCCCTGCCGTCGAAGATACAGCTGCGGCTCTACGAAAGCTAGGGGAATCAGGCAAACTTCAAGAGCTTCTGGAACGCCACGGTGCAGTTCTAGTTCGCGGGACGGGCCACCCGTCCGCAGACACGTTCGCCAAGCTCGTTGGTGCCGCTGAGGAAGGTCGCGGTTCTCATCCCCATGTGCAGATCGGCTTGGCTGGAAAGAGAACACCCTTGGCGGAGAATGTATGGACTGCGAACGAAGGCTCGCCGTTGACGCGGTTTTATCAACATAACGAGGTATGGAAACCCCCCTACGATAACTACCTCACGATACTCAACAGGCGTATGCCGTACAGTACTCGAGATACACGCGCTTCCCTTCTAATATCCACTTCTACTGCGTCAAAAAGGCACCAAAAGGTATAGAAGAAGACATAATTGGCTTGCAAGGGAAGGACGTTGCTAATTAGTTCATCAATCAAGGTGGCGCAACGCCCATCGCCAACAGCGCCAATGTCTTCGAAAAGGTCCAAGCTGAGATTCCCGAGCTTGTAGAGCAAGTGCACAAGCGTGGATTGGGCATGAAGATGGTCTTTCGCGCACCTGGAAACGAAGCTAAGGTCAACTCATTCAACTGGGCGGGGGAGCACAGCTTCGGGCAGGAGTTGGTCCCCGGCGACGACGAAGCTACGACGCGCCAAAAGGTCGAAAAGCAAGTGCGCAAATTGACAGATGACTTCAATTGGCAAGAGGATGGAACTCTTGAGTTGACTCAGCACATTCCAGGTAAACTGCATGAAACTGCGTGCGAGCTTGGCTGCAGCTAACACCCACAGGCATTTGGAGACTGCCAGCAAGTGGTAGACCTGTCTGGTTCAATGGACTTGTAGGACGCCACGGCATTACTCGAGATATCGGAGCTCTTGACCCTCCCCACATTGGCCGAGATGGCATGACCTGTGAGCTTTCTGAGTTAACGAACGCTGGTATTGAGCTAACGGGTTGAAAGACGTTCCATGCGTATATGGAGACGAGACACCAATTCCGCGACACCTTCTCGACAAGTTGATCGATGTCATTGACAAGGAAGAAATCAGCCTGGTGCTAGAAGAAGGCGATTTGTTGCTGGTCGATAACTTTCAGGTATCACATGGAAGGGAGCCCTGGGAGGGAGACAGACAGATCTTGGTGTCCATGTGGGATACCTCCATCCCGATTGTCGCATATTGAAGTAACTGGCTCGTTTGAGTTTTTCTCACTACCTTATTCGTAAACTATGGCTATTGGCTTGGCTCAAGCCAAATACCTGTTATGAGCCTTTACAAAATAGCTCTACCTGTTTGACTGCATGAAGTACTTTGAGCCAACACTGCCTCGGTCTTCCAACTCAAAGAGTGTACTGGTAAGCGGGATGACACTGCCAGCGCTCCCCAAGAGCTCTTGAACGAGACCCTTCACGAACACCCGCGGCCAGTAAGTCTTCGTCACCAGCGCGACGAAGCTTTCTGTTCCTCCAGCGGAGGTAGAAATGTAGAATCGTAGCCAGTAGGATGCACAATGCAGCGAAGGCGACGTTCAGGATATTGGCCTGCCAGTACTGAGGCCCATGCGACTTAGGGTAGAAGTAACTGGCATAGATACTAGCCAAGTTACTTCCGGCGTTGACGACAGCGTAGGACACAGCTCGTTTGGTAGACGGACGTGGCAGGGTTGTTGATACCCATGAGAGAATGCAGCCGAAAGAGCCGTACACGCTCATCATCATGAATGTCGCGGTGTATCTTGCAGCGACGTTGAGGGTAGTGGCCGAGATGATGAAGCCAACACTGCAAAAGACCTGAGGCCAGACGATGTGGAGCCATCGCTCGCGATGCTTGTCTGAATGCCATGAGTTGGTAATTCCAAGAATGGCAGCGAAGACGTAAGGAGGGGCCGACAGGAGCAAGGTGTTTCGCTGATTATAGCCAAGAGTTGCAACAATGGTCGGAAAGAAGTTGGTGAAGGAAGCTGCCGTGTTCAATCCCAGCTGCATCAGCCAAATCATGTACAGCGCTGGGTCAGTGAACGACATCTTCAAACCCTGCCAGGCGGTCGCCTCGCCTCGGTCATCTTCTTCAACGGCCTCCTCTGTAATACGTAGAGTGGCAAGCTGTCTTTCTTCATCTGTGAGCCATTTCGTCGTCGCCGGATAATCGGGTAGAGTGAAGTAGGTGAGGACGGCTACAGGAATGGGGATCGTGCCTTCGATGATGACTGGCCCACCACTGAGTTAGTTCATGAGTCTGATGGAGGATCGGCGACAGCAATGTAGAACACGTACAGAGCCATCTCCAGTTCGCCAACCCTAATTTTCCATTCATTCCACCCATGATTGCGCTTCCCAGCAATCCACCAAAAGCCCCTGCCATCTGACCAGCTGCATAGAGGACTGAAATGCGTACCGCAAGCTCTTTCTTTGTGTACCAGGAGCTGAACAGGTAGAGAGCACCAGCTAATAGAATGTGAATATCATGTTACTTGAAACGATGGAACGGATCTTACGGAAGAATGGCGCCTCGACGAAACCCAGGAGAAACCGAAGTACAACAGCACCAGTGTAGTTCTGTACCGCACCTGTCGAGGCACTAACCACCGCCCAACAGCACATGACGACAGGCAGGAAGATACTCGGTCGCATCTTGTTCAAGATCATGTTTGTCGGCACCTGAGTCAAGATATATCCAACAAAAAAGACACTGATGATGGTGTTGTATTGCGTGCCGACCAAGCCAATATCCTTCTCAAAGTCACCAAGTCTTGCGGTCGCAATCTACGTATCATGATTATTAGAGCGTTTGCCCCTAGAGAAGTCATAGAAAGAAAGCGGGGTTTTACGTTGTTACGGTCCAGGTAGTTGAGGACATGTGCCCACGAAATGTCAGTACGTTGTAAGAGAAGCTCCTGGAAGACGAGACTTATAGAGTAGCATCATTAACGGCATCCTGGACATCTGGTCAGCACATTTCTTCAACAGGGTTGATTGCAGGACAGCGCTTACATTCGAATGTCTATCCTTCGCACTAGCCGCCGTTCTTTTAGCTCGCGATCCTGAATGACTACATCGTCGGCAGAATTTGGCTTGACGGCGTCGTCCAACATCTCAACTTGAGGATCTTTGCCTGAGTCCTTGTCGACTCCTGAGCGCGACATGATGGGTGAAGATCGTTAGTCAGATAGACACAGAGTAGAAGAGTAAGCTATTTTTCACAAACTCGGACGAGATCTATGAGAAGACTCGATGTGACCAGACCTAAATACAAACAACACCTCGGCCCATCGGCGTATTCTCCGACCTAGTCCCACAACCGACGCTAGGTCTCCGGATATCGTCCCCTCCCCCGCAGTCACTGATGCGGAGAAATGGCGGGAGCTGTGGGTCTGGGGTAGTTCGAGGAGGCTAATGGGCAGATGCTCACGCAGGTGTTCTGATCTCGGAGCCTTGGTCGTCGGAAAGGACACGCGAGCCGGTCGGCTGTCGCATAATCCCGGTCTCTGAGGTCACAATTAGAATCATGTCTGAAGGTTAAAGAAATATGGCGGATAGTATTGCCGTTTGACTTCGCTGCATTCCTCAGAGAGCTACATGATACCGATTGGGCTCGAACGACACGTAGGCTGAAGATCTGTCAAATGTCTCAAGAGATGGGTAAGAGAATGAGCTCGTGTAGTTCGAAATCTGATCAATAGCTCATGATTCTATGTGGTCAGCAGTCTCGCGCCAGTGGGCGGAGGCGAATATATCCAAAGCGAAGAAACCAGAGGAGCATGATCCAATGTCTACGTGGAAACCGCAACCAGCTCAGACGTGACAAGGCACCGCCCCCAACCCCAAGGTCCTCAATGGTTTCCAAGTTGGAAGGTCCAACCTCCGCCTTAGACCCCTGTGATGTTTGATCTGGCTCGTTGGAGTGAGCTTCCCCGCATACATCTCCGGGGTGGTTATCCACTACCGCGGGGGTCAGTCCGGAGTCGTGGGGTAGGGATCCAACGCTGTGAACGCGTTCCTCAGATGATCATCGATAACAAAATTGGGATGGCGCAGCCGATCGGGATGAAGATGGTCTCACTGATGCTTCGAACAAATCTCAACAAAAGTACCGGCCGTCGGCTTGATTCTCAATAGGCCAGTGTCGGCCGAGACCCCGCTTGGAATCGCGGGTGAGACGTGCCTTGCACAAACCATCCAACCATTCCAAGTTCGAGACAGGCTTGATGCAGGCCAAGGTGGCGTGCTTCCTCGGACAAGTCTCCGATGTCGCCAATGCCGACCATCGGTCAACCAATATTTCCCCTCCGCTGCCTCGTTCGGATTGTGACGCTGGCATCTATTAGAACGGTGTGTATCCCAAGCTTGGAATAAAGGATGGCTACTTGAGTAAATATGATCACCATCCACAGTCTAGTTTGACCCAGCTTTTGTGCTTAATACAGCCTTCTCCACGATGCCCAGCGCTACGAGACCCATCGTCCTTCATCTCGGAGACCCCATCGAGTACAATCCCGACATCTACAAGGAGTTGGAGCAAATAGCGACTGTAATCAGACCTCCAGTTGAAGAGAGACAGCGAGAGCCTTTTCTGCAGGCACTCCGAGAGAAGAAATGGGGCGACTTCACGGCCATCATGAGGCCCTTTTGGAATTCGGGCGGCGAGATGGGTCGGTGGGATAAAGAACTGATTCCATTGCTGCCTGCTTCGGTAAAAGTCTTCGCATCTGCTGGGGCTGGATTCGACTGGGCAGATGTAGATCTGCTGGCAGAAGCTGGTAAGTGGTGTAGGCCTTCGCGACCTGTCAGATTTCTCTGACCAGCTACAGGTATTCTTTACTGCAATGGAGCAACGGCATCGTCCGAAGCTGTCGCCGACATGGCGCTTTACCACATAATCTCGGTATTCCGAAATATGCAGTGGACTGCCACTGCTGGACGAAGTGGCGACCCCGCACAATTTCTGGATGCACACAGAAACAATAGCGAGACAGCACGCAACCCAAAGGGCCACACTCTCGGCATCGTAGGACTCGGCAATATTGGATACCGCATAGCGCAAAAGGCACACGCAGCCTTTGATATGAAGGTCGCATATGTTGACCCGTTACCGAAGCCCGCGGACCGAGAAGCTGCTGTCGGTGCAAAGCGATACCCTGACCTCAATGCAATGCTGGCTGTCTCCGACTGCGTTGTGATCTCAGCTCCTGGGGGCGCCGAAGGTGGCAAAGCTCTCATGGATGCGGCGCGCATAGCTCAGATGAAGCCGCAGTCACGCCTGGTAAACGTAGGACGTGGAAACTTGGTAGACGAGGAGGCGTTAGCGGATGCGTTGGAGTCAGGTCATCTCGTTGCTGCTGGCCTTGACGTGCACAACAACGAGCCACACGTGAATCGACGCCTGCTTGCTACGAGGGACGTCAGCTTGACTTGCCATACTGCGGGAGGCGCTGTTGAAACAAGGATTGGATTTGAGGAACTTGCGATGAGGAATGTGATGCAGGTGATCCTTGGCAAGGAGGCGTTTACTCCTGTCAACAAACATTTCTTCAAATGAGAGGACAGAACAATTTTTTCAATGCCAGAACATGTTCAAATGCCATTCCTCAGCACAAATGGTGCTGGTAAATGTGATACACAGACGTGAAACACTTTATGAAATACCCAATCCCGGTGACAATCAGTGCAAAGCTATTGCCAGCCTGAATATTTCCACCCCCGAATGGATCCGAAGATTCCGGCCAGCGGGCCGGTCAGTCGCTTCGGCCCCACATACCCTACTCGGCTTTTGGCATCCGGTGCCCGGCGTCAATAGTCATTGCTTTCTAGATGTCCAGAATCATCGAGGTCTCGTAGACTGCAACGTAACACAAGAAAATCAGTACATGTGGCTTACTACGATCAGCGCTTGACCTTTTATGTCTCGCTTGCCGGGCACCCGTGACCATCCGGGCAAAAGTTGTTGCCCATACGTTGCCGGTCAATCCCAAAGCCTGTTGGTGAGTCTTGCCGGTCCCCAAACCCGCTGAATTCAGGGGTGGCAATCTTAGCTCGCGTATTAAACTCGTAATTAAGCCTTTTTAGACCTGGTGAATGTGACGCTGACCCTCTTCGTATCTGCTGTGCCGCAGCCCTAACTGCAAGTGGACATGACTCCGCCAAGATGAGTGGTTGTTGCGATTTCGCACTGAAATTGGCCTCGAGAAATCTGCCCGGGTTTCGAGACAGAAAACTTCTGACGCAAACAGCTGCCTCAAAAGCCACCCCATGGCATACTTTTGTGACCATTTACATTTCTCGTCTCCCGAACGCAGAACGATCAGCCCAAAACACCCGCGACAGCGAGATGATGTCACGTTGGCTTCTCATCGCGGCTCTATACGCCATCATAGGCTCAGGTGCGCACGCATCATGCATTTGGGGTTTTGGCGGCTACGCTGAGCCATGCGGGGCCCAATTCATTGGCGCGGACGACAAAATCTGGACAGATGCCGTGGGAAACAGCAACTCCAGCGGTACCTACACTATGCCTGGATACGACGTCTCAAAACCATGGCCGGGTAGCCCGATGGACGGCTGGAAGATTGCTATGGCAGCCGTTGACTTGGATCACGAGCAGCGAGGTGAGGCCGGCAGCCTATTGGGTGGCCGTGCGACTATCGGGGATGACATCAAGATCATTGCCCCCGAGTCACTCTATGTGCCTAGTGTCAACGAGAGCGACCATGGAAAACCTGTGGTAAACGCGAATGCCGATTGGGTATTTTGCGCATGGCGCTGGTTCTCTCCACCGTATGGGAATGAGTCCCTCGCTATGAATCCAGACAACCTTGAAGCACCGGAAGATGGTTCCTGCAAGCAGTGGCTACCCGATGCTTGTATTCAAGCTGTAGAGAAACTGGCAAGTACGGCATACTGGATCAATTCAGAACCGAAGGGTGTCTACGGCTCTCGGCATACATGCTTTGATCTGGATGTTCCAGAGGAGTGTTCGAGTACCAAATTGGTGGATAATGATCCACTCCTCCCAAGTACGCAGCTTTCTTGTTATTTATTCGAGTCTTTATTGGAAGCTAACCTTTTCCGTAGCTTGGGGAATACCTCTGCAATATTTGAATGGCTCAACCACTTGGCAGAGCGGCTACGCCATCAACGAGAACACAGCTGCCGAAGAAATGCAAGAGATGTGGAAGACTGTGACACAAGGGTATCAGCCGATTGTCACGATGTTTGGGCGTTTCCAGAATGATACACCATACAGTCTGGACGTTGAGCCTGGTTTCGCGAAATTGAGTTGTGTTAGGGCGGCCCCTGCGAAGGGGGCAAAGTACAACAGCGGAAATGGCGACGGAAACAGTAGCGGGAGCGGAAGCGGCGGCGAAAGCGGCAGCGGTAGTGATGGCAACAGCGGAAACGGGTCCGGTAATGATGGATCTGACAAGAGCGTTGCTTCGCATATGACAAAAGCCTCCATGTTCTTGGTTGTTTCGGTAGCTGTTGCACATTTGCTATTTTGAGCCTGGGTGAGTTCGGGGCTTTCCTGTCACTTATAAAAATGACTTGTACATTAATGGCCGAATACTTTGGTCGAATCATCTTGAGACAACGCATCGCCATGGCTGAAAATGTCAGTCTAATGGTGATAAATTCTCCTACGTGCAAATGCACTGGTCGGTGGGATACTTCTCCACCACATCCTCGAATACTGATATCTCCAGATTTATCATAACGGATTCGATTGAAACCCCCAGGCTGGGATGATGGGCGACAGAGCTGGCTTGGCATGGATGCCAACTTACGCTACGAGCAACAAACTAGACAGCATGGCACCCGTAATCATCAATAGAACTGTCATTGCGCTTGTGTTATCATCAGTCTCCGCGTGCCCATGCTCATTGGTTGAGAAAACTGAGTTGTACTATGTTGTTTTAGGGATCTTTCTCATTTTGAGACCACATCAATGATGAACTCTTTGCGATCCAAGCTTCATTCCGTTCGCCTAAATAATGGTTCGCTCGGTAAAAGACCAAAATGCAAACGTGCCATAATTGGATATTGGCGGATCTTGTCTCGTGCGCATCGCGAGTGGGCAGTTGTATGGTGAACTTTGATTTAGCGACACCAGTTAAACCCCTGCGGTAATAGCAAGCCGGTCCCTCGGCTAAGCATCATCGCGAAGACCGAATGGGGCCACTTGCCCAGATTTCGTCCTCTTGTAGCTTAGGATGTAACCGGAAATCTGGGGTAAATGGAAGCTTGCATTTAGCCGTGAGGGGTCACATCAGCAACGTCATTTCCCTAGATGTATTGAACGGTATAAATTAGAAACAAATTGTTGGCTGCTATCATGTGTCACGAAGTTGTGAGTTCGGAAGGCAATCCATCGGGACTCAATGAAAAAAACCATGTTCAAACCACTTGCGCTCCTGGCTTTAGGCCTACTTCAACTCACAGGTGATCCACTCGAAACCAATTTTGTATGTTGATGCTGATCGTCCCCGGAGAACTCGCGAGTGGTCTGGTCAACCCCATTATCCCAGGTTTCAACCCGGATCCTTCAATCATCAGAGTGGGAAGTGACTTCTTCCTCGCAACTAGTACTTTCGAATTCTTCCCGGGTGTCCCCATCCATCACTCGACAGACTTGTAAGCTCAGAAGCTGGATCCCCATGCAGCAGCCCCCCTCCCCAGCATCTTGAACACCATTCTGAAAGAAGTCCAGGGTCAAATGGGATAATATCGGACATGCGCTCAATCGCCCGTCTCAGTTGAATCTTCGTGGGACCGCCCCCAGTGGGGGCATTTTTGCTCCCACACTTCGACACCATGACGGTGTCTTTTATCTCGTCGACACGGCATTTGACATTATCAACCCTCCTGACAACGTTTGTATACCTTACGTAGCTAAAAAAGTCGTCTTTACTGATGCGCTTCTAGGTGACTAGAGTGCCTCGCTCATTCTACGTTACCACAACCGACATTTTTGACGAAAACAGTTGGAGTGACCCTACTTACGTTGATCAGTGGGGATTCGATGGCGATCTCTTCTTTGACGACGACGGCAAAGCATACTTTACATCCACTTTCTCTGAGTTCGTCGAAAATGGGAACTTCGGAAACTGGATCACTGAAATCGATATCACGACTGGCGACTCTTTGAGCAACTCTCGACTGCTCCATACTACCACAGTGCCCCCCGAACTTGGATACCCTTTGGTTCGTATACGAGATAGATAAACACCCGCCATTGATCATATTCTAGAGACTGACCTCAGCAGACGGAAGGAAGCCACCTTTACAAACTCAACGGAACCTATTACATGATCACGGCCGATTCGGGCACTGAAGCCAGCCATAAAGCAAACGTGTATCGCTCAGACAGTCTCGAAGGGCCGTGGAATGGAAACCCACATAACCCTGTGCTCTGGAATGGCGAAGATATGTCCCGACCGGTACTTGCAACAGGCCATGCTGACATCGTCAACGACACCGAAGGCAACTGGTGGGCGGTATTTCTTGCAACCCGCCCACAGAACCCACGGAACAGTACTGGTCTCCCCCAGCTGGGCAGAGAGACTTTTCTTTGTCCGGTCACCTGGGACGATGAGGGATGGCCTATTTTCAACAACGGCAACCCCATCATTGAGTACGAAGCCGATGTCCTCTATGACCTGGACAGGCCTCAAGTCTGGCGAGACGAATTTGATGGCGGGCTTGTTGATAAGTCTTACTACTACTTGAGAACGCCTTACAAGGACTTCAAAGACTTTGAGTCTAGCCCTGGGAAGCTTCGTATCCGAGGGAATGTCTACACATTGAATGACAGAGAGACTCCCGCAGCCTTACTTCGCAAGCAGGTTGATCTCAACACTACCTTCAGCACTGAGGTGAGCGCGTTTAGCCCGGAGAACTGGAGACAGGAAGCCGGGGTAAGCATTTATCTCAGCATTCACTACCACAACGAAATCGCTTTGACCTACTCGAATGCGACGGGCAAGCGGGCAATCGTGGTTCATGCAAGAACGGGTATCGATGCAACACTGAACACAACCTATGTCGAGGATGAAGAAGTTGCTGCAGGCGCGCCCGTCAAACTCTTCATTGAGGCGAAGGACGTTGGCTACCGTCTGGGATATTCAACTGGCAGTAATGACCCCCAGTGGCTTGCCAGTGTCGAGAATCGATGGCTACAGTCTTACGTTGAGGGCTGGCAGAATTTTGTCGGCAGCCATTTTGCGATCTACAGCACTGGTACTAGACTACCTACATTGAACTCTGCGGTATGTTGCAAATGCCTTGGTTCCATGCAGGTGGTAAACTGACTAGAATATAGGAGTTTGAATACATCCAAACTGAGTTGAACTGAGCTCAGGCTGAGCTCCAATTGAGCTATTGGATTTCGAGATTGGTATCATACAAGTAGACTAGGAGCTTCTTGGCTCGTTTCACGTTAGATACAACGAAAATGGCGAAGCCATCCCAATATCATATTTGTAGAGTCTTGGGCCGTCGCTCGATGTTGATCCACATATCCTCGTAGAAACTGACACCGCCCTTGACAACGTATCGTCCGGGATCAGTTTTGTTAATGGCCTCTGGCTTGAACCTCCGGAACAGCTGCAGAGGGGCCTTGGAAAGTTCCATCATGGCCAAGTCGCGCCCAAGGCATACTCTGGCACCGTACCCAAAGCCCATGTTGTACTTCAGCATTTCCTTCGTCTTCTCTTCACTTTCCAGCCATCTTTCAGGTCGGAAGACTTCTGCATCAGGCCCAAAAACCGCTTCATCACGATGCACGAGCCATGGATTGCAGGTTAGTTCGGTACCTTCGGGGACGTGCTGTCCAAACAGCTGCACTCCCGCTCCTGCGATTCGAGGGAAGATGTTGGGTGCCGATGGATTCAGACGTAGTGTTTCCCGAACACAGGCTGTGTAGTAAGGGCAGTGAGCTTGAACTTCGGCATACTGAGGTATATCTGAAAGATTGCCTGCCCGTGTCTGCGTGTCAATCTCTTCCATAAGACGCTCGTAGACCTCCGGGTGTGTCAATACGTGAATCATGAAGGCCTGGAATGCGGTTCCGGTAGTATCTGCGCCAGTAAGAAGGACGAGCAGAATTTCTGCCTTGATATACTCTAAGTCGAGTGGCTCTCCCTTTTCGTCTCGAGCCTCAATGAACCTTGACGGAATTTAGTATCAAATTCTGCGACAACCGTTTTCATCCTGAGGCTTACGTTTGAAGTAGATCAATCCGGCCGTTTGTGGCCCCCTTCTCAATATCCTCAAACCTCTTAGCAATCAGACGGTCTCGAAATCTCATCAAGGTACCAATCCCAGAATCCTGCTCGGGTGTCGCCACCAAGTACTTGCCGAGGAAGGTGCTCTTCACCCAATTTGTGAACGGCCAACAGCGGGCCATGATTCCGAATGGCACTAGTCCGTCGTGGAAACCTTGAATGAGTCCTTCAACGTCCTTTTCTTGCTCGATGAAGCCGAAAGGCTGGCCAAACCCAACGTCGGAGACAATGTCGTACACCAGGTAAACTGCCCACGGTGCAAAATCTAAGCGTTTTCCAGGCGAGGCAAAGTTGTTGTCCAGCTTTTCTATCCAACGATCGATATGATGGTCAAGCAGCGGTTCCATCTTCTTGATGTTGGAGAAGGCGTAGGGTGCAGCTGCAATCTTGCGGTAGCGAGCATGGACCGTATGATCTTGCATGTTGAACAGAGATTCTGTCTTGCCGAACGAGCCAGTGATGTAATGCTGAGACTTGTTGGCATTACGGTGGTATATTTCAGGGAGTTTTGTTGCGTCCGTCACCAACAGCATCGTTGGTGTGATACGCATGATAGGACCTTGGGCACCTAGTCAATGATGGCGACAGAAAACACCGTCAACAAAGCTCACCATGTTTTTTGTGAAGCGCTTGAAGAGTCTGGCACTCATCTTGCTTGATGTTGTGATATGTGATCCATAATCTGGTGACCGAACCCCAAAAGGGACCGGGAAATTTGGCTAAGGGATGGAAGAACCTGTAGTAAACGATCTGATAGACAACGTTCCAGGCGATGTACGCCACGCCGAGCAGGAGAAAATTCGCAACACTCAAAATTGCCATCATGAAGGATGCGGCAGCAGTTGTGTAATCAGAAACATTTCTTTGGCCAAATTTCTTTCGAGTTTGTTTCTCAAATACCAAGCGTTGGCGCTCGCCCGATCGGATAGCACATGATGACCAGGGGCAGTGGGTACGTCGAAGGATTCATCTGGTGGACCTTCACCACCGCCTCTGTCTCGATAGGTTGTGCAATGCAGTGACGAAAGATGCCGCGCGAGGTTGCATCGTGTCGGAGTAGACCTTGCAATAACCCCGCTCATGGGCAACATTGGCTAACCGAAGTCCCTTGCAGACATGAAGTAATGACGATCGTATCACCAAGTAGCAAGGTCCTCTGCCGGCACCCAGTGAAGGATTCAGATGCTAAAAAACGGCGTCCAATATGGTGCGGTGACTTTGCCCGTCACGAGGCTACGGGTAGACAGACCATATTTTCTCCAGGGATTAGATGCAGCAAAGTGGATGTTGAGGGTGCAGGCTCGGACTTGAACCGGTCGGCCGCCTCTGCAGGGGCACAGTGAGGTGGATCATCACGGCGACGGGAGATGTTGGAGCCACAGTCTTCGAGGAAACCGGCTGTCCAGTCGTCTTTTGTTCAGTACCTTACAAATACACTTGGCTACAGAATTGAGCTGTCTAGAGACAGGTGTTACACTACTAAGATAGGTAATATGTTATAACTATTGTACATATGAGTTTTACGCGTGATCTGGTTGGTTCTGTTGCGCCCTTGCATTACCAGCAAGCGCACATGCCTTCGGCCCCATCATTGCGACCGTTACAGCGGCCTTCTCGAGAGCTGCATCGTCGACACAACGCGCCGCTTGCTTCTTGTTTCCATTCATCACTACCGACACAAGTCTGGCAGTAAAAGACCCCAGATGGATCATACTTGGTTTTGATCTCAATCAATTGCTTCCAATTTGAGGAGTAGAAGTCCTCCTGGAAATTCGTGTCGCCCCAATCCGCTTCGTTCATGTAAGTTCCAGTATTTGGCGAAAGTTCCCGATAGACTGGGAGTACGTTCTGACGGATGTCATCGAAGAGATCGATGTTCGATGACACAGAAAGCTCGCCACTGAGAATCGGTCTCTCAAAAATATCGAGGATGACAGCATCATACCAACCAGGCTGAACCGCGGACGACTTGTCTCGCGTTTCTTGCGCCGTCTGAAGACCATGATGGACGACGGTATGGAACACGGCCTTGCCATCTTTTCCAGCCATTGGCTCCATAGCTTTGCGAAGTTGGCCTCGATTGCCCTCCAAGGCCGATTTTCCCAACAAGCGGGAGGCCAGGGCTGAGACGCCGCCGACAGTTGCATCTGTTCCTGACTTGTTGGCGTAGTACGCACCATAGTCTGTATACGCCTTCTGCGTGATGGAAACAGTGAAGCCGGCGTCTTTCAGAGGAGTAATCTTCTCTGCGATGGGCTTGAACAACCGGGTCGCCTCTGCTGCGTCGTTGCCCAGCGTAATGAACGTCTGGGTGTAGAATGTAGAAAAGTTGCCGCCGATGGGCACTGGGCTATTCATTGCCCAGGCGCCATAGCCGGCAAAGCCAACCTCCGACAGATAAGGGTAGGAAGAGTAGATATCTGTCATCGTATCGATGAACTTGGCCGAGACATTTGCGCTTGTTGATGCAGTGCCGATAACAACGTCGATCGCATCAATGTTCTTGGTAGGGTAGGTCTTGACCGTCATCTGTGTCACGACTCCATAGGTACCACCACCTCCTCCACGGATGGCGTAGAAGAGATCAGTGTTATTGCAAGGGCTTGCAGTCACTATCTCTCCAGATGCCAAGACGACCCTTGCGGACAGGACCTGGTCGGCACCAAGCCCGTAGAAACGAGTCACCGGGCTGTGTCCGCCTCCTTGTGTCCAACCGCCAGTGGCACAAGGTCCCTTGGTTGTCGTCAGTAAACTTTACCGCAATGGCAGTAAGAGATCAACGGCAAACATACCCTATTGTTTCCGCCGACGACGATGAGATTCTTCTCGAACGCCGTGGGGTAGATATCGGACCACGAGTAGGCTCCAGTGATTGTCAATGCGCTCCCTTTCCAGTCCGACTTGGGACACTCGTTTACGACCTGGAAGTCGTCATGGAAATTGAAACCTTTTCGATAGTTTTGCAACCAGATAGAAAGGCTGCCGTAGCCGGTCGACCTTTGGCTTGTCGTTAGCTTGGCCGGGTTCGACTACATTCGACATAGCTGACCTTTGAAGGAAATCATGGCCCGTAGACTTGATGACGACACGGATGTTATTCTTCTTAGCGAACTCAACCGCCTTCGAGATATGCTCCTCGTCGGTGACATTGACGGCAAACACTGGGGAGTTTCCGATGGTGCAGTTGGCTGAGGGGGCATTGGCAGTGAACTGAGCTAGTGGACAAGAGGAATTGAGAGGATAGTCATAGCCGATGGGCTGAGATGCCTGGAAAGTCGCCGTGCTCCAGCCCTGGGTGACGGCTTCACATGCGGCGGCATCCCGATTGGATCCGGCATAACACGGCGCCGCAGGTGGGGCCGTCTGGATGAGGTTTCCGGCGATGGAGCTGTTGAATCGGCCCCACTCTTTATCAGATGGCCAGCAGATATCATTAGGGGTCTGCGTGTCGCGGTCGCATTAGCATGGATGATTGTACATGAACGGCATGTATGGTAAACTTCTTACACATTTGCATTGGCCAGAGACGAGAGGAATCAACGCGAGCAACGCGATGTACGCGGAAGTAAGCTCCATGACTGCAGCACACGCAGCGGCCACACAACGTCGCTGAAAGCACCTTATAGCTGTTTGAGCTTCACCACCTGTAGCTTGTGGGAAGCCTTGAACCCAAATCTGTGCTGAAAGAACCTATTTCATCCGTTTACGTGCATGAACACCCAATCAAACGAAACATTTCGCAATTACCGAGGGAATGAACGCGGTGTTCTTGGGCTCCACAGGTGATGATGTGAGAGCTGACGTGAGATTTTACAGGGGCAATCGCAGTAACTAGAGCCACCAGCCACAGCGGCTGGTCAATGCGACCAGGCACGCCCACAGAATGTAATTCGCCAACAGCTTGAACTTAGCTGGAATTAGTAGACATCTGCGGCAAAGGATAGAGAAATAATGATTTGCGGCAAAGCAGGACAGATGCTTAAATGAGACCTATCTACACTGGAACCGAAGCCAGGGTCCAACCTTGGCGGATGTAACATGATCCCACATCTGGAACTCATTCACGTTGCCAGTTGACCCGCCAAACGACTTCTGGTCTTTCGTAGACCTGGTGAAATCGAACCTGTAAAGGATATGCGCCAAAGTCAACGTGATCTCATGATACGCAAATCCCTTTCCAACGCAGCTGCGAGGTCCACTCGAAAAGGGATAAAATGCTGTGCGTGCCAACTCTGACTCTTTGGTCGATCCGTCCTCGCCTGCAACCCATCTTTCAGGCTTATATTCAAATGGAGAATCGAAGTAGTCGTCGTGGTGATGCAGACTGTAGATCCCAGTGCCAACATCGATGCCTTCTGGAAGGGAAAGAGACCCAATAGTCATACCTCCTGGCCGGACCTCTCTCCAAAGCGCACCTCCTACAGGTGGTGACATTCTCAGCGCCTCGTCAATACAAGCTCTGAGATAGTTGCATGAGCTAAGCTTGGCTCCGATCCGAATGTCCTCTACACTGTCAAAGGTCGATCTGATCTCATGACACAGCCTGGCATATGCCCTGGCATTTCCACTGAGGTAGAACAAGGTAGCTGCCAGTGTCGTCGATGACGTGTCCGATCCTGAACAAGTGTCAATAGGAGGACCAAAAGGCGTTTAACAGTGAATAAACGTACCGGCAACCACTAATGTGGCTGATTCTGCTCGTATCTCAGACTTGCTGAGTGTTGACTCGCCGTCCGGGTCCTTGGCAGTTTCAAGATATGAGAAGACATTGCCATTGTCAGAGAACGAAGCCTTCGCCCTGCTTTTCAGGAGAGAACCAAGGAACCCGAGGAACTTGTTCCTGGACTTGATGGAATCGGCGAACAGATACTTGTCGATCCTTCCAAGCGCAAGACTCGAAGCTTGGACCAAGGCACTGATACGGACGTTGGATGCCTCTAAGGCTGACATAACAAAGCGGTACTTTGGCTCTCTGAGGGCGTTGTATTTCATACCGAAGATGACCTCTGACATGATATCGAAGGTGAAGTAGTCACCTTCACAAGTTAATCCAGGCAATCTTAACAGGCAGGCGTGGAAACTTACACTGGTGAGACATGTCCAGTGCCTCAGACCCAGAGCTCGATGCCTGAGACTTTGCATTGTCAGACAAATTGAGACAAAGCGTGTCGATGTGACGGAGGAGGATAGCTTCATAGGCGCGCAATTGTGCATCAGAGAAGGCAAGACTCAGGATACGGCGTCTGCGTGCATGATCTTCTCTGTTGCGTATTGTCAAGGTGTTTGGGGCACTGTGAACGAGTGCCTGGTAGGCCTTTGACTTGATGACATTTGCTCCATGCGAGCTGATTTCTGTACCCCAAGTTCAGGTTAAAAACAGTGTGAGAAGAGGGGTGGAAACAGTACATACCCCGGGCAGCCGTGCTGCTGTTGATAAGTAGGCGAGACGGCGAATAGCGGACAACGGGGCCTTCGAGTTCCTGTAAGCGGGACGTACTTAAAAGTTACGATGGTTTACGGGACTTACCGTATTTCTGATGACATCTGTACATGTCAACATGAAGCGTTCCCCTCCATGCGTGATACGCGGCATAAAGATTTGTGCATCTTCCTAGCAGCGGACCTGGGTACGCCGCCAGTGGGTGCCAGACAAGTTGCTTGACGAGGAAAGCTACAACCTACGAGAGATATCAGCCGCAAAACCCATCAAACTGCCGGTCAATTTGCAGAGATAAACTTACGAAGGTAACTGCTGCAAATGCAGCCAAACTTAAATAACTCATTCTTGCGACAATTTGTGAATCAAAACGATAATGGAAGCATTCCGCCGAATCTCTGGTCTTCGGAGACGCTGTATCACCGCGAGTTCCGTGGAGTTGTGAATTGTCTCCTGACCTAGGCACAGCGAACGGCACCCCGTTTACAGGGTGGGCCATCGTTTACAGCGGATGAGCCACCAGCTGGCAGCCCTGATCTCGGCCAAGCAAGCACTCTCCGCATGTGAGTCAGGCTCACGTCACGGTCAGAGAGAGTAGTTCTCTGCGCGAGCTGCCCTGTGCAGCTAGGCGAGTCTAGGTGGGAGGATCCCTGTCGGGGCGCTAACAAACACCCGGCGGGGAAGCAAATGCGCTGTTGGCACTGAAATCGCATGCGTTACAGCTCGCATCCTCGTTCAGAGTCTTCCAAACACGGCAGAAACCATGTTCAGCGTGATAAACACATACCTGGCATTGCTGGGCCAAATATTCACCCTGTCTGCCGGGGCGGGTTTCCCGGCGGCTGTAAGTGCGCAATTTCAAGATTGGAGCCGGATGTCGAGCACTAACAGATCACAAACAGGTGGCTCTCTGTGTCTATCGCCTCTACTTCCATCCCTACGCCAAGTATCCTGGGCCCCTCTTGGCGAAATTGACCAGTTGGTATTCTGTATATCACACCTATATTGGTGATCTCCACGTTGACATCTGGCGGTGCCATGAGGAGTATGGTAAGTTCAAGATACTGGGCTACAAAAAAGAAGTGCTACCACACCGCTGACACGCCGAAACAGGGGACGTCGTCCGCTATGGTCCCAACAGACTATTGATCAACAATGAGGCAGGATTGAAAGGTGAACACCTATCACGGAGAGTTTCATCGAACAAAATGTGTCTAACAGAATGTAGGTATCTATGGGCACGGCAAGAATGTCCGGAAGGCCAAGTCATACCATCGCATTTCGCTGGTTAAGGGTGTGGAAGCAACCCAAAGTGTCGTCGACAAGACCAAGCATGGCAAGCTTCGAAGAATCCTGAATCAAGGACTGTCGGAATCGTACATCCGAACATTCGACAAAGAATTGACAGATCTTGCTCGCTTGTTTTCGTCAAGTCTGGGATCAACCAAGGACCGCTTCGTCCCTGAAACGGACGCCACTACTGACGGATGGACATGCGCCAAGAACATGGCCCATTGGTGTGGGTTGACGCTAAGCTACTGGGGACAATCAACTTGGGCTAATTTAGCTCAGGTGACTATTTCACATTTGATGTGACGTCGCAGCTGGTTTTTGGAAGGTCATATCATCTCTTGGAGAGCCCCGAAAACCACTGGGTTGCGGATGCTATCCTGGGCCAAATGCGTCGGGTGAGTTTCCTGATGCAGCTGCCCGAGTTGGAAGACTTGAGGTTGCATAAGATCTTGTTTCCACACGCACGCAAGAAGGCGCTTCGGTTTTCTATGAAAAGCAAAGAGATCATGGAAAAGCGAAAAGAGTCTTCTGAGGCTATTACGAACGACCTATTCTCAAAGCTTCTGGCTGCCAAGGACCCTGAGACGGGAGAGTCACTTTCCCAGCTGCAGTTATGGGCCGAAAGCAACTTGCTGATTATTGCCGGTAAGAACTGCCATGAATAACGAAACATGGCAGCCAGTGTCACTGACAGCGTTTACTAGGATCTGATACCTCCTCAACCGCAATGGCTGCTCTATTCTTCTACCTATCCAGATATCCCGAGGCATATGATAAGGTGGTCAAGGAGGTCCGGAGCACTTTCCGCTCCGCAAAGGAGGTTTCTCAAGGGCCCAAACTTTCTGCTTGCACGTACTTGAGAGCTTGCATAACTGAAGCAGCCCGTCTGTCACCTCCAGCCGCCGGGGCGATGTGGCGTGAAGTGCAAGATGGCGGTCTTCAAGTCGGTGACCTTTATGTCCCAGCTGGGTACGACATCGGAACTGGTATCTACTCTATCAACCATCACAAAGAGTACTATCCTCAACCGTTTAAGTTCTGGCCCGAAAGGTGGATCCCAGAGGTTGTTGGGGAGGAAGCTGCCTCGAAGGCGAAGTCCGCGTATGGTACGTTCTCTGTTGGACCAAGGAATTGTGTTGGGAAGGGGCTTGCCATGATTGAGATCTCGCTGGCGATGGCTGCAGTCATCAGTGAGTTTGACTTCCGCCGAGACGAGACAGGGATGGGCAGAGTCGGGGAAGGCAAGGGTGATTTGAAGGACGAGTATCAGATCTTCTGGGCTTTCACTAGTATGAAGGATGGACCCTTCGTGCAGTTCCGGCGAGCCGAGGCTGTCGGTCTGCACTGAGGTGTCCCAGCGGTAGGGAAATTGTTCAAATGTACAATACGAATCCTCATAAAGTCACGAGAGATATCCAAATTGTGACGGTCTGGATAATTTTGGTGTGATGAAGGCCGTTATGACAGACCGTCCACCACAATGTGAGCAATCAAGCTTCGCGCTTTGAGAAGATGGATTTAACATGAGGAAATGCTGAAATCATAATATTATGGAACTACTCTTGGAGACTATGGCGCCAACCAAAACTATCCACTGCTGTGCCATTCTGGATGCTCTTCAGTGCTCCCCATAACTCCTCATAAGCTGGGCCTTCGGAATCAAAGTTGAGCGTTTCGTTGGTAGACTTCCGATGAACACAGGATACGGAAACCAACCCAGCCGCGGTTCCCGCGGCAAGAACCTCCGTGAAGTTTGAAAGCTCATCAAATCTTATCTAAGGTAAGTTAGCAAATACTGACCAAAGACTTATATGTCATACGTCATGCTCATAAGCTTACGGTTCGCTTTTCCACCCTCCAGCCGAGGCTTTCAGCAACTCTGGCCGCTGAATCCGCTGTGATGCTCTCTATCGCAGCTTTGCTGTCGGCAATGACGAGGCTGGTCTCCCCTCCAATCCTCCGAATACCGATGAACCCAGAGGTAGAGAACTCATCAATTTCAGTCTGAGTCTGACTGTCTAAATGCAAGAGGACGCTGTAACCCTCTTTCCTTGCCTCGGAAGTCCACCTCATCACTGGAGCGTAGTTGCCACCAACCTTCACTGCACCTGACCCCCTTGTGGCAGCGCGGTCAAAGTCATCAAGTACCAAAGCCTTGATGGCGCCGTGACCATGAAAGGCAATGTGAGGCTGAACAAACACACAAAATAGAAACTCCTCGGGGGGGTCCAGACCAATCTGAGCGCTGGAACCAAACTGGAAAGGTCGGATGTACAGAGATCCCTTAACATCGTGCGGGCAAACATACTCTGCGTTCTTCCTGACGGCTAGGTGAATGGCTTCAAGAAAGATGTCTTCTGGTACCTCTGGCATGGAGACAAAGGTAGCGGACCTTCTCATTCTAGCGGCGTTGGCATCGGGACGAAATATGGAGATCTCGCCTGCTGGGTCTCTACGGGCTGCATTTCGATAAAAGGATTAGCATTACTGCTTCAAACGATCATCACTATGGCTTGATACCTTGTAGTCCTTCGAAGACTTGCTGACCTGCGACCGAATTAGCATCCACCCATAGATGTCGATCTAAGCTGGTGGGGACACACACCATAGTGCAACCCCGGAGCCAAGCCGTGTATTGAAAGAAAAGGGCTCTCAACAAACGTCGGGGTTGTCCATTTGCCAGTGGCCGCGTCGTAGACAGACTCTACGTGACCAGCAACTGAAAAAAAGATCAGCTGGATATGTCTCGGTGTTCTACTTTGAGGCGGTAACTGACCATTATTCCGTTTGCTGTCATACACATCCCACTCTGGTTGCTCATTAGCGACACTAGCACAAGCTTCGGGAGAGCCCTTGTGTTGTTCCAGGGGTTGGGCACTTGCTGTAATCCGATTTTGGTGGGATCATAACGGCTGTGAGACTGAATGTACCCTGTAAAACCAGCTGGCACAACAAGTCAACAGCGCAAGTCAACAGGAAGAGCCATTGTGCGCCGTTAAGCAACCAGCCTCTTGCTGCTTGCCTTGGTCGTCGGCTCATCGACAGGGGTCCGCTGCTAGTCGCACAGCACATCACATCACTTAACCGGGCGCACCGGCCACAAGTGAATTTGGTGAGCATGACGTGAGATGAGCTTTCGCCCTGGCTAAGCGGGAAAGCATTGCAAATTGCGAGCGACGATGACATGATATGCAATATTGCTTGATGAATCGGCTTTGCGAATCGGCTCGTCAAAGTGAGCCAAGGACTGTGGGCGATGGCTATTGGAGAACCAGCTTGTGATTGGCCAGTGGCTATGAATCAAGGTGAAGCAGATGGCGATAGCTACACAGGCAGCTACATAGCGACTTTGAATGCTGTAGTCAAAGAGATAGAGCATCCGGCTACAGTTCTGCCCACTCAATGGAGTTGATCACAAGAGGGTATCATCAAGATATGTTTGGCAAAAATATTTTGACGCTGAATGACATATAATGTGACACGGCAATGGACCAAAGCTAAAATCTAGTGTCGAATCGACAAAATTTTAAAATAATAGAACAAGTGTAAAAGAATTAATCTGCTTTTCAAGCCTTGGGCTTCACTTCAATGAGTGGGCCATTCTTCCAACTGATAAACATGTCCACCAGCTCGTATTCCTTGGACGGATCCGGTCCTGAGCCGCTACAGGTTCCGTTGACCCATGATTGCTGGCACAGTCTCATGTCATACTTGAACATCAGAGTTGCGAAGAGAATTGAGATCTGGAGGTAGGCGAGAGGCTTTCCAATGCATCCGCGGGTTCCGGCACTGAATGCCATGAAGGCGGCGGAAGAGTGCTTCAGAAAATCAGGGGTGATGATGGTGCCGTCTGCAAGTGTCTCACCAACGATCCACCTTTCCGGCTGGAACAAGAAAGGGTCGGGGAAATATTCCTTATCGTGATGAATGGAGAAGACCGGCACGCCGATGTTGACACCCTCGGGGTAGAAGGTGTCCCCAACATGCACACCACCCGGTTCCACTTGACGGTGAAGCACTGAGCCAGCCGGGGGAGACAGTCTCAAGCCCTCATTGATGCAGGCCCGAAGGTAAGTGCAGGCCTGCAATTCCGTGCCAAACTCAATTTGATCAACACTGGAAAACATACTCCGAACTTCCGCCTGCAGTCTTGCGAGCTTGTCGGGGCTGTGCAGCAAGTAGTATATCGTGGAGCTGATGGCAGTTGAAGACGTGTCGCTCCCTACTATGTTTAGTCTATCACCATGGCACCGTAAGGTATTTTCACATTGTACTTACCTGCTGTGATCAATAGAATTGCCTCCTCGACTAGCTCTTCCATCGTGAACGTGTCTCCCGTAACGGGATCAACCGCACCAGTGAGCCAGAACATGAAGTCCTTCTTGGAATCACTCAGTTTGCTCACTCTTTCATCTGCCGCCTTCTCAATGAAAGAATCGAATGTGACCGTAGACCGAACATGGTGAGAGAACAGCAGCCACTTGAGCCTCAGGGTGTGAAGAAGCGTAAGCGAAGATCCAGTCTGTTTGATGAATTAGCCACTGTTCTTCTAACACTTGTACAATTCTACTTACGACGTTGTCTGCCCATAATGTCTCGTGGAGAATCTTGATAATGTGCCTGTTGCCAGCGTACCGCATCATGTCGAAAGATTTGGAGAATGACAAGTCACTCGAGACGTCGAATGTGAAACGGTTGATCCATTCCGAGAAGTTTTTCGGTCTGCTCCACCGCTCTGAGTTCGAAGGCTCCCTTCCCGACAACACATAGCCTTCTTGAGTATCGTTGTCTAGGAACTCTAAACACTGACAGAGAGTCGCAACATGCTTCTTGATGGTGACACCTGCGGTTTTGAGCGCCGAGTCTGAGAAGCCTTGCCGAAGGATCCGCCGCTTCCTTGCATGTACTTGCTTGTTGATGGAAGAGAACAGACTGGCCTTCTCTGGATTTCTGGGAAACGCCAGATAGTTGTCCGCTTTTCGAGTGTAGCGACTGTTGGTGTACAGCATCTTCACCCCCTCGGCAGATCTGATGCTGACATGGTTGGGTCCATAGCGAACAATTGGGCCATATTTCTCATGCAGTTGATGCAGGTTGCGAGCTTGGTCCTTCTTCAGGGCATGATACGTATTGTAAAGGCTCGTCAAACGTCCAATCAGTGGGCCTGGATGGGAGCTCAACGGATGCAGAACGAGGCGCTTGAAAATGAAGGCAATTACAGCAATCTCAAGATATTGTTAGATGTGAGACACGAGAACATTTCCGATGAACTGTAGGAATGAGGTCGGCACATGGGACGAAAACTTACCAGCAAAACAACAAAACCAGCCGTCGCGGTACTTTTCGACACCGACAGGCTGGCACCAACAACCTTGCTCAGATCGTCCATTGTTCGCTCGGTCCTGAGGAACTACTGCCAGATTCCTCGCACGAACGATTGCTGCTGGTCATCCACGAGTTTTCCCGGCGGGCTCCCGCATGCATCAAACGCGGTCTTGTCCTGACTCATAAGCCTGCCCTCGGCGTTGAGTAAGACGGATACCAGGTGCTGATGTCACCTTTAAGGTTCCGGAGCAATAATCAACACCCCTGCACGACCGCATCCGAGGGTGTTCGCGAGGGCGGACATGGGCATCTGATCCTGAATTCGTCACGAATTAGGTTGCCACAGTTGCGATGCCTTCGAAACCATCGTTCTCGCTTGCAGGAAAGTTCCAGATCCACAAATTGCAAACCCTACGGTTCGGGTTGAAGTTGAATCCCGAGAAGCGACAGCCATGCATCCAGAAGCAGAGCGGGAGTTGGCGTATATTCTGCTCGTGGAGTTACTAGCGTATGCAGCTTGACCCCAAATCACTAGATATGAAGGTTAAACTGACATCGCAAATAGGCATCAGTTTGCGTATCCCGTGCGATGGTATGCCGGCATGAGTGACGTCAGTCCATAATGATCATTTTCAGCTTATGTTATCTATAGGATCGAAACACAAGATGCTATTCTCGGAGAGATCAAAGCAGAGAGGATTGTGGAGGTCGGGCCCGCGAATATTCTTACCAATATGATGAAAAGAACCTGGAATGGGCGATACACAATATCAGACGATGTCCAAGGCCTTCGCCGGCGGATACTTGGGCCCGATTCAGACCTACCAGAGATTTATTATCAGTCTCACGTTAAGGAAACAAGTTCTGAGGAAAGGACTGAGAACTCGCCGGTAGCAAGTACCCAGACACCACTCCAGAGCGACGAGAATGAGTTTGGTTCTACCGAGCCAGCATCGCCGTCGATCGTAGATGACAAAAATGAGCCAATAGCGCCGGTGATGAACTTAGAAGAAGCGAGTGTTCCGGTCTCAGCAGTGCTGCTCGCAATCATAGCCACAAAACTAAAGAAAGCCCCCAAAGATATTGACACCACAAAGTCAATCAACCAGCTCGTAAGCGGTGAGTCAATATGTTTCGTCCATCATCTTTCTCAAGCACTAATACGAGAAGGACGCTCAACGCTCACCAATGAAATTGTTGGCGATCTTCACGTCGAGTTTGCAAACCAACTGCCCGATCGTGCGGAGGAGCAGCGACTCACCGAGCTTTTTGCGACAATTAGTAAGCTCCACACTGGGACACTCGGGAAGAAGACTTCATCGCTCGTTGCAACCTTTGTCTCCTCCAAGTTACCAGGCAGCTTCAATCAGTCAAAGGTTCGAGAGCATCTCCAGCAACGATGGGGTCTAGGATCAATGCGCCAGGATGCGGTCTTGCTTCTTGCGCTCACAAGTCAGCTTGACTCACGCCTACCTTCTGAAGATGTTGCGAAGAGCTTTATCGACGACTGCGCAGGAGCATATTTCAAGCAGGAGGGCTTGGCACTTCCCCAAAGCAGCTCATCCAGCGCAGGAACAATCGCCAAGGTTGACGCAAAAGCTTTTGAAGTGATCAACGAAAGAAGCAACGCTCTGCTACGAGACATTAGTGAAGCTATGTCTCGGCATCTTCCCGCAAACACGAGTCCCAAAACGGATTCAATGGCGGCGGAATCTGAAAAAGAGATTGGCGAAATCGACTTGTGGCGCAGCGAGCATGGGGAAGATTACGCTGAGGGTATCAGGCCGATATTCGATATCAAGAAGCAGCGGTTCTACGACTCCTTTTGGAACTGGTCCTCCCGCGACATTGCTCTACTGTTCGATCTTGCCAAGCACCCCAGCTCGCAGAATGCTGGGTTAATCGAAGAACTTTCAACTTCTATCATCAATCGATCTTGCGAGCGCTCTATCGCTCAGATCCAGTATCTTTGCTCTAAGACCATGGGCGAGAAGACGAACCTGGGCCGGATCATGAGGCTTTGTCTGCAAGCAAGCATATCCTCGAAGACTCGGGATCCGGTATTCATTGATGGGTCAATCGACCTGGCGCCATCAACAAGTATTGACAAAGAGGGTAACATCAAGTTTGCCGAAGTACCTCGAACGGCCCCTTTCAAGGCTCGCAAGTCTTCCATGCCGCAAATGCCATATCCCGTGGGCACCTATGATCATGGCATCTTAACTATGTCCGATAGGCTCAGCTTTGCATACGCAGAAGACTTGGATACAGGGCGTCATTCTGGATTCACATTTCGGGGTAGAAATGTACTGTTGACAGGTGCTGGTCGGAACTCCATTGGCTTCGGGCTTCTGAAGTACCTGCTACAGGGCGGTGGAAGGGTCACGGTGACCACCAGCAACTACTCCTCAGAAGTCACGCAAATGTACCAGAGCCTTTATTCTCGACATGGAGCCAAGGGGTCTGCTTTGAGGGTTCTTCCATTCAACCAAGGTAGTCAACGAGACATCCAGGAACTTGCGAAGAACCTGGTAGATGACTGGGACCCTGATTTCCTTATTCCATTTGCGGCAACATCTGAGAACGGCCGAGAGCTTGAAGAGTTGGATTCGAAGTCGGAGATTGCCCACCGGCTGATGCTCACCAATCTCCTCAGGTTGCTTGGTGCCATTTCCAAGAACAAGCGTTCCAGGGGAATCATTACCAGACCTGCCACAGTCGTACTCCCCCTGTCTCCCAATCACGGACTCATGGGTAACGATGGTCTTTATGCAGAGTCCAAGAGGGGCTTGGAATCTCTACTCTCGAAATGGAAGTCTGAAACCTGGCGGGACTATCTCTCTATGCTGGGGGTTGTCATTGGCTGGACTCGAGGAACAGGCCTCATGGACGACAATGATATTGTTGCTCAGGGAGTCGAGGGTATGGGAGTTCGAACATTCTCCAAATACCAGATGGCTGCATTCATTGCGTCCCTCTTGGGTGGCAGAATGAACGTTGCTTGCCAGTCTATCCCAATTGTCGTCGATCTCAGCGGCGGAATGGGCAAGGTCATGGAACTGAAGGATAAGCTTACGAGGATTCGCCAAGATCTTCGCGCCGAGGCAGACATTCAACGAGCTATCATGGAGGAGCAGCAGAGAGAAGCAGCAATTACTGGTCGAAAAACGTCGTTCCATACTCCCCAAGCTTTGCCGCGGAGAGCGAATCTACGTCTTCAGTTACCTCGACTAACTGAGTGGGACGGGGAACTGGCATCTCTCGCAGAAGGCTTGGAGGGTATGGTCGATCTGAGCCGAGTAGTTGTCGTTACAGGTTTCTCAGAACTTGGACCTTATGGCAGCAGTAGGACGCGATGGGAGATGGAGGCCGAGGGTTCTCTGTCACTTGAAGGATGCATTGAGATGGCATGGATGATGGGTCTCATCAAATACAGCAAGGATGTTCTGAAAGACGGCCTCCCGTGGACTGGCTGGATAGACGCAAAGACCTCGGCTCCGGTGGAGGAGAGTGAGATCTTCTCACGATACATGGGATCCATCCTCGAGCATTCCGGCATACGTAAGATTGAGCCAGACAATTGCGATAACAACTACGACCCGGAAAAGAAGACGACAGTCCAGGAAATGGAACTCACCCAGGACCTACCCCCATTCGAGGCATCTTCTGACGTCGCACGGTACTTTCAACTTCAACACGGTGACAAGGCCGTAATCAGCAAGATGGAGTCTGGGCTTGTCATGGTCCAGCTCAAGGCCGGCGCAAAAGTTCTCCTCCCTAGAGCAAGCCCATTCAATCGCACTGTGGCTGGGCAGATTCCCACTGGATGGTCGGCAAAGCGATACGGCATCGATGACGAGATCATTGAGCAAGTTGACCCCGTGACACTGTTCACGTTGGTTTGCACTGTCGAAGCACTCTTGGCGTCAGGGATTGTCGACCCGTACGAATTGTACAAGCACATCCATCTCTCTGAAGTTGGCAATTGTATTGGTTCAAGCATGGGTGGGCTTTCGTCATTGAGACAGATGCACCGCGATCGGTTCCTCGATAAAACAGTTCAGGGAGATATCCTTCAGGAAACCTTCATCAACACAACGGGGGCATGGATCAACATGCTTCTGATGTCTTCAACTGGACCAATTAAAACACCTGTCGGTGCCTGTGCTACGTCGCTGGAGTCACTTGATACCGGATACGACCTCATTGTCGCTGGCAAAGCCAAGGTCTGCATTGTTGGTGGCGTCGAGGACTTTGTCGAAGACGTATCCTACGAGTTCGGCAGCATGAATGCTACCTGTGACACCGACAAGGAATTTGCCGCTGGAAGGAGTCCAGCTGAGATGTCCCGACCTACAACATCAACCAGAAGTGGATTTGTCGAGTCTCAAGGTTGTGGAATTCAGATCCTTACGACTGCCGAGCTTGCCCTGGAGATGGGTCTTCCCATATTTGGGGTGGTAGCCTTTACCAGTATGGCCGCCGATAAAGTCGGCCGCTCTGTTCCAGCACCCGGTGGAGGCGTTTTAACAAATGCCCGAGAAGCAAGCTCAGGGAGAAGATATGCCACGCCACATCCCCTGCTTGATATAGGATACCGTCGAAGGCTACTCAATATGCGAGTTCAGCAAGTCAACGACAACTACCAGACGAATCTGGACCTCATGGAACATGAAATTCACTACATCAAAGAGATGGGAACCGACGGCTTTGACGAGGAGCGCTATCGACAGGACAACATGGCTGCTTTTGAAGAGGACGCAAAGAAGCAAGAGGCGGACTTGAGATTCAGTCTGGGGAATCAGTTCTGGAAGAACGAGCAGCACATCGCACCGATCCGAGGCAGCCTCGCAACCTGGGGCCTCGGGATCGATGATTTGGCGGTCGCGTCGATGCACTTGACCTCAACCGTGAAGAATGACACCAACGAGTCGTCAGTCCTGCAGAAACAGATGGAATTTCTGGGGAGACAACAGGGAAACCTTCTTCCTTGCGTAGGCCAGAAATGGCTTACTGGCCACTCCAAAGGAGCTGCCGGTGCCTGGATGGTGAACGGTGCCCTGCAGATGATGGACTCTGGTTTGATCCCAGGTAATCGGAATGCCGATAACATCGACACCGACCTCCGACAGTACAATCTTCTTCATTTCCCAAACATGACCACCCGGGCTGAAGAGATCAATGCTTGCTCCATTACCTCCTTCGGGTTTGGACAGAAGGGTTCGCAAGCCATTCTGGTTCATCCAAAGTTTCTCTTTGCGACCACAAACAAGCAGTCTTATGAGGACTACGCTGAAAGGAGGAATGATAGATGGAGAAAGGCAAACAGCTTTTTCAGCCGCGGGATACTTCACGAGAAACTTGTCAACACCAAGACTTTGCCGCCTTACCAGGCGACGCAGGAGTCTGCAGCACTGCTCAACCCGGCAGCTCGTTTCTCTGAGCAACGCTATTAAGAACAGGGCTGGATTCTCTTCTCAGATGCGAAGGAAATTTTCTTTTCTACTCATTTCTTATTATGGACAATGTGATACAAACATGGCGGACAAGTAGCATTACATGGTCATGTGTGTTAGCACCACAACCATAGCGCATTTATAGGCAGCATTCTAGCATGAAACTAGGAGTTTTGAACAGAATCAGAATGTATATTGGATAGATGAGAGATCTCGATAATTCCCTCACTCACTACGTATTAGCGTTGCTCAGCCGCTACACGATCTCTACTTGGTTTCAAAATTCTTGATACTCTCGTGTGCCGGGCCTTCAGGAGTTACGTATGCCTGTCTTCAGCGTCAGTTTCTGGGTCGCTGTCATGGATTTGGGAACGTGGAGTCAAACCTTGGTTAATCCCCCATCTACCACAAGCTCCTGAGCATTGACAAATGAGCTCGCATCGCTGGCAAGAAATAGCGCCGCAGATGCTTGCTCGATAGGTTCGCCAAACCTTCCTTGGGGCAAGTGAACTTCCCTGCGTGCTCTCCTCTCCACATTCGTACCCAGGTAATCTTGCATGAGAGGGGTGTTCAGCGGTCCCGGGCACAACGTATTGAACCTGATGCCTTCTCTCGCATGAACTATGGCGAGCTCTCGCGTCATGGCAATGATGGCACCCTTGCTGGTGGTATAGGCTAGTTGAGCTGTTGCAGAACCAATCAAGCCGACAACCGAAGATGTGTTGATCACACTTCCCCGGACCTTGCCGTGCTTCCGCATGCTCAAGACGGCGTGTTTACACCCATGCCAAGTACCCTTGACATTGACTTGATAGGTGAGATCCCAAGCCTTCTCAGTTACTTCAAGCGCATCGCCATCTTCGTGGGGGAAGACGCCAGCATTATTGAGCATGACATCGACGCCGCCGTGTTGGTCTAAGTACTGGACCAGAGCCGCAACGTCATCTTCGTTAGACACATCGCATGTCTTGTAGTCAATTCGTCCGGGATGCGGTCCGTGACGTTCCACATTTTGCCGCAGGTCTTCAAGGGCTTTGTTTGACACGTCGGACAGCAACAGGTTCGCTCCAGACTTGGCGAACAGAATTGCTATTTGAGTACCAATACTCCTATCTAATATCAGAAGTCTAATCTTGTTTTCTTGAATAGATCATGGCGTACCCAGCAGCTCCTGTGATGATAATATTTTTCCCTGTCAGCTGGAATAACTCCGACATGGTTTCGGTGTTCGGGATGTTGAACAATAGACGGTATAAGACCCACAGGTATGGCTTCTGGGAACGGAGGTGTGGTCGGCTGCGTGTCCGTTGCTCGGCTTACACGAGTTGTCGGCATTCAGTGAGAAAGGTGACCGGCGTGTCCCTATGCTCCGATCGAGGCATTGCAGCAAATGGGTATTCCGACAGATGATCACATTGTGAGCTGTCGACACATAATCCCGTCCCTATTTCCGTCTGACTCAGTGTACGAGATATCAGTGAGAGTACAATGGCCTCTGAAGGCCATGACGTGAGATAGAGTAAGCCTGAGTCAGTAGTTGTCGTCTTGAATCATCATGGAATAGGTGCAGCGCATGGGCCCTCATCGGCTCCGTCTTCGGCCCCGAGTGATTTCGCCAACCATTATTCGGTAGGGACGAATCGAAGAGTTGCTCTGTCGGCAATTCTGGAGATTCACATCGAGGTTGAGGTATTTCGCTTTGATAATGTGTAAATAAACACTTAATGATCATCCGCCTTAGCAGATAGTACCCAGCATTGAGTATGTGCAAGATGAAGTGGATTCAAGGTAGACGTGAGAAGTAGGCATCCAGAATGGAGTTATTTTAGCTCAAAGTTCTTCTCATTGATGATAAGTATGGATAAGACAATGATGGCTACTGTGGTAGAACAGGGCAAAGAAGTAATATTTAATGATTTATGTCTACCAAGGGACAACCTGGCCAGTCTGGGTGACGAACTTCCCCGACGTAGTCTCTCGGCTCGCTCCGTCAATGACTTGGAGACAGCCACTGACACTGCTGTCGATTGTGTCCGGGGGTCCGGCAGCGTAATTCCATGCGTTCGCTGCATAATTGCCCATGTCTGTCTGGACCCACCCAGGATGAAGGGCGACAGCGACCAGATTCTTGTGTTGGGCGTGCAGCGACTTGGTGATGTGATTCAAAGCTGCTTTGCTGGGGCCATAAGCACCCCCGGGGACCGGCTCTTGCGTTTCAATGGATCCGACAGAGGAGGTGACACCGATGAACTTGGCGGGGACATCGGTCTCGGTGCGGGGCTTGTCCATCAGTGGCCAGAGACCTTGGAACACCATCAACGGAGCAATAGTGTTGATCTCGAATGCTTTGCGGAAGTCCTCGGCTGGGGTTGTAGATATAGGAAGCATGGGGAAAGGAGCAGCTGCGTTGCTGACCAAAATGTCGATGCGATCCACGGTGCCAGCGGTAGCTACTGTGAAAGCTTCACGCACAGCGGCAGGAGACGGCGCCGAGGAGAGGTCGAGCAGCATGACATGCAACTCGCTACCAGAGCCTTTGGTGACTTCGGCAACGCCCGATTTCAGAGAGGCGGCGGCAGCTTCACTGCGCACTGAAGCGACGACGGTTGTGGAAGGGCGAGCGATCAGGGCCTTCACCATGCCCAGGCCGATGCCCTTGTTGGTGCCGGTGATCACGTAGACGGTGTTCGTCATGATACAACTGTGATGGACGACTTTTCTCGGAGATTAAATGAACAAGGCTGGGGAACTTGGATATGGAACTAGGTTCAAGCTGGCGCGGATGAGATAGGAGGAAAGAAAAGCAAGCTGCGCTGAAATCAAGCTGCATTTCCGTGTAAGAGGATTGGAAGGATCAGGGCGGGGGAAGAGACGAGCACGTGAACCAAGAGCCCGCTGCTGCGCCGCAGAAGAGAGAGTTTTGGTGTATCAAGCCACTTATCACGTCAGCGTCTCATCTGTTCCGTCCCATGTCACTTGGTTACAGCCTCGGAGCCTCATCATGTTTCTGTGTTCATCTATTGGTCTTCATCTATCGCGTGTACGTTTACTCATTGTATTCTCTGTATCTTCATCCCAAAATGCGGAATTCTTCGTGAGCTGCATCCAATCCGTTCGCGAAGCCCTCGGCGACCTTCAAGGCCCGGGCGCGCTCCTCCTCCACACGTTCCCATGTCCATCCGCCGCCGGCCACCGGCGGGGGCGGGGCCGGGACCGTAGGCAGTGACGAGGTGGAATCTCCGTGTCTCCTGGAGGACTTCTCTCCCTTGTCCCTCTTCTTAGAGTCCTTGTCTTTTGACTTCTTTTCCTTCTTGGACTTGCTCAACGACTCGGAGGAAGTGTTTCCGTCGACCCAGTTCAAGTTGGGGACCTCAGTGCGGAGTACTCCCGCTGCCTGGAAGAACTTCTCTGGCGGCACCGTCAGGCGGCCGGCCTTGACGACACACTTCGAGATCGCTGTCGCATAGACGCTGGGCGAACGAGAAGGGGCCTTGCCGTTCACTGACTTCTTTCGCTTCTCGGCAAAGTGAGTAATGACGTAAATCCACTTGCGGTCCCAGGAGAGAATTCTGCTGTGCATGTCGAAAGCTACACCGATCTTGATTTCCTTCTTGAAGTTGCAAGAGGTGCCGGCGAGAAGCACTTGGACGCCCTCCTTGTACTCCTTGTACAGTCCGCCGCGGATGGCCTGAGACCGCAGGGCGGCAAGGAGATCCGTTCTGGCAACATCAAGGTCAGAGAAGTAGGTGCTGTTAGACTTATGCAAGTTGTAGTCGGTCTCAAGCAGGGCCACACGAGAAGGAGTGACAACCGGCCTGAAAATGGAGCCTGGCCGGGAGTCAAAGTAACGCTTTCTCGGGAACCAAATGTTGTAGAAGACACGCAACTGAGACCATGTCAGACTGATGCGCTATTTCGGTGAGGGGAATGATCTGCCGCTGAGATGACTTACGTGCCAGACGAAGGGCAATCTTTTGAAGTTGAGACAGAAGGCAGCTGCTGCAAGGGCGGCAAGGCACGCCTTGCCCTTGTTCTTTGCAGCCCAGCGCTGGGCCTGTTCAAGGGCCCGCAGGAGCACCGGCTTCGCGGCCTTGAAGGCCTCGATGGCCCTCGCGCGCAACGTCGCCCCGAGTCCTACGGGTTGAGAAGACGACCAAGGCAGAGCCTCTGTCGCCCGTTTGCGCAACATTGTGCTCTTTCCTCGACCGGGAGGTTGATGAGGCAACGACCAATTGACGCTCAGTGAAGGTTTGCAATGGAATGACGGGACATGCCTCGGTCAAGTCAGGCGCAAACTCACCGCCGGTGGAAGCCTCAGAACCCCTCTACACGTGGCACGATGAGTCAGCTGTTCAGGGGAAAAGGCGGTCAGGGGGATTTCCCAAATACGATGCCCCGGGCGAGCCGTTGAGTCTCATGAAAGTGGGATTCCATAGTATCCCTGTTGAATCAATCTGGTTCGTCAATGTTAGAAGAGAGGCTCGCTTAGCAGAGGTTGGACCAATGTAATGTCGGTAAAGCAAAGGCAAGTGGAATCTAGTCTTAGTGAAATTCAATAGCCTGGTGGACCGGAGATTCCACTCGATTGAGTGCTCCGATAGGCTGCAAAATGCCCAGCTGAGAAACCCGTTTTCGTTGGGGTCTAAGTGATGTCATTCCCCAGCCACAGGCAGACTGTTCCAGGCCAGGCACCACCATTCGAACCGCGGTCCGCGGGGCACAGCGCACCTTGAGTCAGTACGAAGCCTAAGGTTGTCGGTAGTCGTAGCACTGTGAGGTCGGGGTACATGGTGGACAATAGTGAGCATGAACATTTTCTTGATGTTTTGTTCTTCTTGATATTGCATTCAAAATCTTTGATACATATTACATATTATATACGCTGTCTTCGGTTTGGAAATGATGCTCCTCATGATGCTGGCTGAGAAATGACTTCTGTTGTTGTTTTCGCCCCCTCATTTGATGAGTTTTCTTCAGTTGAACTCGGCGCTGGTTTTGGTGGTCTTAGTGGAATCCACTTGATGAGAACCCACCCAAAGGTGCTCAGACAGGCTAAAATGATGACTAGCAAGAATATGTTTTTGATGCCGCTGTTGTACTCTCGAAGCGCAATTGTGAGCTGCTCTGGTGTGAGCGACTCTCTAAGGAACCCGAAACGATTCAAGAGCGTGTCACGGTCCACGGATGGGATCAGCTGCGTGAGACGTTCAATCCTGGTGATGAAGATGTTCTGGGCCACACTGATGAAGATGGAGCCCCCAACAGTGTTCACTAAGATGATGGCAGACGTGCCGTAGGGGACGTCGGAGGGGTCGAGGGCGACCTGAACCCCAACAATGGACTGCTGGACCCCAGCGCCGGTGCCGAGACCAAACAAGATCTGGTAGCCGATCCATTTAGCACTCTCAATATCGGGCTGGAAGGTGTAAAGCATGCCGGCTCCAATGGAAGCAAATATTGTTCCAGCGATCATGAATGGCGGAAGGTATCCAACAATGGACGCCCCAATCCCCGCAGACACGCCGGAGAAAATTAGGGCCAGGACCATCGGCAACAGTCGGACACCCGACTCGCGGGCAGAAACGCCCTGGATGGCCTGGAACCATACTGGAATCTGCAGCGACCACGTTAGAACGCACGAACGCAAAGGTGATGCTGCTGCTGTTGGGATGTAACTCACATAGTAGAGAACAACCATTTGCGCACTCGATAACGCAAATCCGTACCACAGAGATGAAGCGAAGGACCTGTTTCTCAACAGTCGCGTCGGGAACGTGGCTTTTTCCTTCAGCCAGTGCTGGTGAACAGCAACCGATATGAACGAGACCCCAAACACCACAAGGAGCCCGATCAGTCTGGCGTCGCTCCAATTGTACAGCGTTGATCCCCATTCAAGCGCGAGAAGGAGGCAGGTGATACTTCCCACTAAGCCCGTCCCGCCGATGAAGTCGACCCCCTTCATTCTGTCTTTCAATGGCGCCTGCTGGCCTGGGGTTTGCGGCGGCTTGAACAGAACGACAAGGACGATGAACAGCACGCCCCCAATAGGGAGATTTACCCAGAAGCACCATCTCCATCCAATGTGACTGGCAATCGCGCCGCCAATGATTGGTCCCAGTACAACAGCGACGCCTTCAAGGGATCCAAGGATGCCTGTGAACATCGGCCGCTGCTGCAGAGGCACAACAAGGGCCGTGATGCTTCATCCTTGGGTCAGCAACTGAATCCGGAAAAAAAAGTCCTCTCCGTCTGCTACTCACATTAAAGCGCCGGAGATGCAACCGGCGCTGCCGAGACCCGCAATCGCCCTTCCGGCGATGAAGCTCCCGGAATTGCGTGCCAGAGCACATACTAAAGAACCACCTTCCAGCAACAGCAGCGACGCAAGGAATACTGCTTTGCTTGAGAATGTGGCGTAGAGTTTTCCAAATGTTGGCTGGGTTGCACCAGTTACCAACAAACTATGCCCAAGGTAAGCCATCCACCGATGAATAGGTCGTCAACCGTGACTTACTACACAGACCCGTACCATCCTACGTCTTTGACAGATTGAAACTCTTCTGATAATGTAGGGACAATTGTTGCGACCATTGTGGCATCCTACACGTATCATTAGCGATTAATCTCTTTTTCATGCCTCCTAATACTTACAAGAGCAGCGATCAACAGCGACAACCCAAGGGCGGTGACCATGAGCACCCGCGGTACCATAGGAGGGAATGATTGTTCATCATCTTTCTCCTGTTGCGAGACATCTTGAGATGCAGAGAGTGAGTGCGAGTCTTCGACTGCGGCCGACGGGTCTGGTTCTGAAGCCATACTAAGGTAGGGCGACAATTTTGCAGCTTCGATCGCTAGAATCACTGAATCTGCTATAGATGCGCCTCAAAGACCACTATCAACGGAGCATATGGGTGACTTAGCGCTGTGTTGAGAAGAACATACTGCGACCAATCCCCATGTACAGGCGACTGATTGTCAATGGACCCTGAAACGGGCCTGTGACGGGCTCCGGCCGACCTCCCGGCAGCCAATCCCGCCGGCGACCGGGTTTTCCGCCGGAAGCCGGCCGGAGGGCCACCGCGGGGACCGTGCCGACGAATGTCCAGTCCGGTCATGCTGAGGTCAGCGCTAAACCAAATATGACCACACACGAAGTGTTGAGATTACCTCACCTGGACGATGCGAACAGATTCAGTGCCAGGGGGCCCTGGTAACTGTCTGGGGAAGGGCCAGTTGGCAGAGTACGGGGAATATTGTAGTTGGGTGTAGTGCATGCGGAACAGCTGTAGGAAAGGTGTCAAACGATTTTGGCCGATTTTTCGATGCATGCAAGTAGTCAAGACGACACCGATTGACAACGACACCCCAACCGCCAGGGGTTCTCACAACGAAGATCCGCACCTTGAAGCCGGCCGAAAGACCGACGATGTGCAACTTACCGGCCTTTGCTGGTGCACAGCCAGAATCCAAGGAGACAGCATATGTCGACATCGACATTGAAGATCTCAAGCAATCCGGCATCCCGGCAGGCTCAGTTCTGAACGCTGCATGGTGCTTGGTACTGTATTTGTACACCGGCCAGGATCATATCTCATTTGCCTCAACGGACGAAGATGGCAAAACTGCTAGCAAGACATACATCGTTGACCATCACCATACTCTCCGCGATGTGGTCAATCAACTGGCCATCGCTCCAACTCGTAACGGAGTGAACGGCACTCATACCAATGGGATCGTTACCAATGGCTCACAGGACGCTTCTTACAACACGGTGATTAGATTTACATCTCAGTCCTCTCATGTCAACGGATTTGCAAGGGCAAATGGAGTCACGACCTCTCATTTTACACTGCCACATGAATATCAGCTAGCGGTGGAAGGATCCTACGACGAAGCTATGGGTCCTGAGTGCCGCTTGTTGTTCCGTCTGTCTTTCATGTCCCCAAATGAGGCTCAAAATGTGGCATCCACGTTGAGTCATCTCATACGCGAGCTGGTCCACTCGGGCAACAAACTCATCCGCAACCTACAACTTAGCCAGAGAGATCAATACCAGATACGTCAGTGGAACGGCGTGGCACTCTCGTATTCGGAGCGCCTTCTCCATGAGGCCATCACTCAAGTTGCCAGAGAGAGACCAGATGCTGCAGCGGTAGACGCATGGGACGGACGCTTGACTTTCAAGGCTTTGGAGGATACGTCGAACCTGCTTGGGAAGCAGTTGATTCGGCATGGAGTAGTTCCTGGATCTTTGGTGCTTTTGAGTTTCGATAAGTCATTGTGGGCTGTTGTTTCGTGGTTGGCAGTTCTCAAAGCTGGAGCAGCATGCGTCTTTCTGGACCAGAGAGCTCCTGCTAATCGTGTACAACAAATCATCAGAGCAACAGGCGCGACTCATGCACTTGCGGGTGCATCTACAGCAACAACTCTCAGTGAACTCGGCCTAGCAGTCATACAAGTCCCTAACCACGCCGCCACTTCTAATGGCTTCCACGATGACAGACACATCTGGCCGCGAGTGCATCCGGAGGACACTGCTTTCGTCATTTTCACGTCGGGAAGTACTGGTACCCCGAAAGGAATTGTGCTCTCTCACTCGATCATCTACACGACCGCTTTGGACATCATCAAGAATCTGGAGGTCACAGGCGACTCGAGAATTCTGCAATTCTGTTCCTACACTTTCGACATGAGTATCGCCGACATGGCCACTGGACTCCTTGCAGGAGCTTGTATCTGCGTACCTTCCGAATCTGATCGGCTCGATCGCTTGCAGGCTTATCTCCAAGATGTGCGCACAACATGGGGAATCCTGACGCCAACTGTCGCACGCTTGCTGGATCCGAAGACAATTCCTGCCATGAAGACATTAATATTGGGTGGCGAATTGGTGAGGGACTCAGATATCCAGCCGTGGGTTGATGCAGGAGTCCGCGTCTACAATGGCTACGGCCCAGCAGAAGCGACATTCTTGGCAACTACAACTCGGGGACCCATCACAGGGCGAGCCAGTTCTATCGGTCACGGCCTGAACATGAGAACTTGGATTGTTGATCCTGGCAGAGATCAGCTTTCACCCATCGGCGCCGTTGGCGAACTTATTGTCGAGGGCCCAGTCCTAGCCATCGGGTATCTGAATGATCCTCGGAAGACAGCCGAAAGCTTCATCTCCAACCCGAACTGGGCACAACTTGACATACCCGATGCGACAGCTCACAGGAGATTCTACAAGACTGGTGACTTGGCACGCTACTCCACTGACGGATCCTTGGAGTGCCTCGGACGCGCAGACACTCAGATCAAGCTCGGAGGTCAACGTGTGGAGCTCTCGGATATTGAGCATCACTTGCGCAGGTATACTTCAATAACGGAATCCGCCGTATTCTTCCCCAGGGACGGACCTTTAGCTGGACGTCTCACAGCAGTTGTGGTCGGAGAGAGCTCGCCTGGTGTTACCAACGGACATGGCAGTTACTTCCGCCCTTGTGAGGTTGACTTCGTATCCAAGGCAAAGCCGCTGCTGCTGCAAGCTGTCGCTCCTTACATGGTACCCTCTGTGTGGCTTCAGACTTCTTCATTACCATACACTTCTACTGGCAAGCTGGATCGGCCTTCTCTGTTAGACAAGTTGGAAGCCGTTGCGCAGCAAAGCTCGCACCATCTCCTCGGCGAAAAGACAACTACAAATACTGCCGATATCACGCCGGCCGAGGCAATGTTGCAGCGAGCTTGCAGTGATGTTCTCAACATCCCTCTTCACAAGGTGAATCTTGACAGATCCTTCTTCGCCCTTGGCGGAGATTCTATCACCAGCATGCAGGTTATATCCACACTCAGACTTGCCAACAAGTCGTTACGGGTGAAGGATCTCCTGACGTCTTCATCCTTGAGGGAGACAGCGTCAAAGATCGGAGAACTTAGAACCCATCAGCCCCTTCCGGTGATTGATGCGGGTCAACGGTTTCCATTATCCCCCATTCAACAACTCTTCTTCAAGATCTCGACGTCTCGCAACACACGAGATCATTTCCATCAAAGTGTTTTTGTCAGGATTGAGCAACCAAGAGAGGCCCAGGTCGTTGAGAAGGCTATTGCCAGCCTCGTAGCGAGACATCCAATGCTGAGAGCCCGATTCGAACAAGCGCCGACAGGGGAGTGGGTTCAACACATCACCGAGAACACCGATCAGTCCTATCAGTTTGTGTATCACCCAACCACAACCTCCGATTTTCGGGCTAAACTGATGCTTACTTCTCGTGCATCATTGTCAGCGGAGAAGGGACCCTTGGTCCGCGTCAACATGTTTGAGGACAGTGGTGCCCAATATCTCTTCCTTGTAATTCATCATCTGGTTGTGGACCTTGTGTCTTGGAGAGTCATCCTTGAAGAGCTCGAATCGGCTCTCACAGAAGCCCAACCGACGTTCAGCAACTCCTTCCCGTTTCTCGCTTGGGCTAACCAGCAGAGAGAGTATGCCAACACATTGACGATCAGTCGCGTGTTGCCAGAGCTTGTGCCTGCCTCTGACTTCTCGTTCTGGGGCATAGAGAGACAACAAAACATCTACGCCGACGTGCGTGAAAAGCGCTTCTCCATCAGCCCGGATATCACCAATGATGTTTTGGTCAACTGCCACCATGCTCTGCAGACAGAGCCAGTGGACATCCTCATCGCCGCTCTGTTGCAATCGTTCGGCAAAGCCTTTCGTGAAAGGCGCCCTCCAGCAGTGTTCACAGAGGCTCACGGAAGAGAGGCCTGGGATGACCAGATGGACCTCTCGCGGACGATCGGCTGGTTCACCACGGTGTACCCCATTCATGCAAGCGACTTCGGGGACACCATAGACCTAGTTATGAAAGTCAAGGATGCCAGGAAGCGAACCCCCAACAACGGCTTCGACTACTTTAGCGCCTCTTTCCTTACAACTGAAGGCCATGATGCCTTCCAGAACCACCTCCCAGCGGAAGTTCTCTTTAATTACGAGGGGCGATATCAGCTTCTGGAGAAGGAAGGCTCTTTACTCCGACAAGAATCCTGGACAGCTGGCGAAGCATTGGAAGACATCAGCCCAGAGCTTCAGCGCTTTTCCCTATTTGAGATCGCCGCTAGCGTTCTGGAAGACCGCCTCCAGTTTACCTTCGCATGGAATTCCAGGCTGAAACATCAAAGCAAGATTGAGACGTGGCTAGCTAGCATACCCGCAGCCGTCGAAGAGATCGTCAGCACGTTGAGATCTTCCCCGAGGCAGTTCACTTTGAGTGATCTAGACCAATTCGACCTTGGGTATTCCGAGCTGGACACTCTGAAGCGCACGATCAAGCAGATTCCGGGTGTAAGTACTTTGGAAGATGTTGAAGATGTATATCCTTGCTCGCCAATGCAAGAGTCACTGGCCTTGAGTCAATCTCGAGCTGAAGGGGTGTATGAAGTTGACATCATATGGGAAGTAACCTCTTCTACTGGAGCTAAGCTTGATCTGAGTCGTCTCCAACAAGCGTGGAGCAGCCTTGTATCCCGTCATGCAGCTCTCAGGACGGTCTTCATAGAGACGCCAGCTACGGTTGGCATGCTCGATCAAGTTGTCCTCAGGAAGTATGCTCCTCAATGCAAGCTTCTTCGGGCAAAGAACGCCGATGAAGCCCTCAAGATGCTGGCTGATTACCCAGAGAAGCCAAGAGGATTGAGTCGAACAGAACCTCTTCACAGGCTACTGATATGCTCTGCCGACGACGGGCGCTCATTCGTGAGATTTGAGATCAATCATATCGTCTTTGACGGCATGTCTATTGCTCCTTTACTGCGTGACCTGTCACGAGCTTATGACGGAAGCCTCGCCGCGAACTGGAGTTCACCATATGCTAGCTTCATTCGCTACATCCGAGATCCAAAGCTGAGGGAGGAGAGCATCGCATACTGGAAGCAGTATTTGACTGGGGCCGAAGCTTGCGTATTCCCGCCTCTTCTTGACGTCACGAATGGCGAAAGCGAGCAAAAGGCTGTACATGTTCCGCTCGGAATCTCGCACAAGCAGCTGCAAGACAGGATCGCGGAGCTTGAGGTCACTTTCCCGGTTCTCATTCAACTGGTGTGGCTGCTCGTGCTTCGTGTTTACACCAACAGCAGCCAAGCCGTCACTGGCTACCTCGCTTCGGGACGAGACGCCCCTATCGCCGACATCGAGGGAGCTATCGGCCCCTTTATCTCTATGCTTCTTTGCTATATTGACTTCACGGACCCCCAATCCTTTCTCGCCCTCCTAAGGAAGCTGCAACAAGACTCCATCAACGGCGCAGCGCATCAAGCCAGCTCGTTGGCTGAGATCCAGAACGCCGTCGGTATCACTGGCGGCGCGTTGTTCAACGCGGGTATATCATTCATGCCCCTGCTGGACAAGAGGGCCCAACAAGGGTCAAGTCTGGTCTTCGAAGAGAAGTCGATTAAGGATCCAACAGAGGTAAATAATTCTTGCCATTTGTCACAGACTTTTGACCACGTAGGTAGCTGACGCAATCACAGTTTGAACTTGCTCTCATTGTAGAGACTGGAGAAGACGCAACTCAGATCTCCATCCACTATCGCACGTCCCTTGTCAGCGAAGGTCACGCGAACAACATCGCCTCAACCGTCAACCATATTCTCACGGAGATATTGAGAGATCCTTCAAGGACCCCAGATGAGATTCCTGCGCTCAGTTCTCACGACCTCCAACAACTGTGGAAGTGGAACGAGACATGCATAGCTCCGGTCGAGGAATGCGTTCATCACTTCGTGGAGAGAACAATGCGGGATCACCCTGAGAAAGAGGCCATCTTCAGCTGGGATGGATCACTGTCATACCGTGAACTGGATGATCTTTCCAGGAATCTCGCTCACCATCTCAAGAGCCTTGGTATTGGCCCCGAGAAAATCGTGCCTCTTTGCTTCGAGAAATCGAAGTGGGCCGTCGTCGCCATGCTGGCGGTTTTACGTGCAGGCGCATGTTTTGTGATGCTCGACCCAACACATCCGGATGCTCGTGTTCTTTCAATTGCTGAGGAAGTCGAGACCGAGGTTTTACTTTGTTCACCTCTTACTGAACCCAAGTTTGAGGCAATCAAAGAGAAGGCCCTTGTCATCGAGTCAAATCTTGCATATGGGTTACCATCCACAGACCCGGGTCTGCCGGTCTGCCCAGAGGTCACTCCAGACAACGCTATGTACGTGGTATTCACATCCGGAACCACAGGCGCGCCAAAAGGATCCATCACATCCCACAGAGCCTATTGCACTGGCTTCCGAGATCACGCGTGGGCGATCGAAGTCGGCCCAGAGTCTAGGACCTTGCAGTTCTCCGCATACAGTTTCGATGCCAGTGTCGGCGACATTTTGACGACGCTCCTCGTCGGAGGATGTATCTGCATTCCTTCGGAAGAGGACAGAAGCATGGAAATCTCGAACTTCATCGCCAAGAGCCGAGCGACATGGGCTGGCTGGACACCATCTTTTGCCTCCCTTGTTGATCCCGACACTGTACCGACGCTGACTGTGCTTCTTATGGCCGGCGAACCGCTACCTGCATCTCAGGTTGACGCCTGGGTTGATCGATTGAAACTGCTCAACATCTATGGCCCCAGCGAGTGCAGTGTTGCTTGCGTCGTCAACAAGGACGTCACTCGTGAGACGAATGCTTCCAACATCGGCCGTGGCTATCGGTGTGTCACCTGGGTTGTTGATGAGAATGACCATGAACGACTGCGGCCCATCGGATCTGCCGGAGAGCTACTGATCGAAGGGCCAATCCTCGCTCGTGGGTATCTTAAGAGACCAGAAAAGACAGCGGAGGTATTTATCGATGCTCCTTCATGGCTTAAGAATGGCCCCCATCCTAGGACCAACCGTCTTTACAAGACTGGAGATCTTGTCAGATACAACTCAGACGGAACCATTAACTTCATCGGCCGAAAAGACACACAATTGAAGATCAATGGTCAACGTGTCGAGATTGGTGAGATCGAACACTCTCTCCGGAGCAGCATACCGCCAACTGCCGGCCCTGTCGTTGTCGATCTACTCAAGCGGTCTGGAGCTGGCGAGCAGGACCTTTTGGCCGCCTTTATTCACGTCGGTAATGATGATACGACGCCAGAGGACCCGGACGATATCATTGCGACCGAACCTTCAGCTCTCGAGAAGTTTCAAGATCTCGTCAAACAGATTTATGAGACAGCGTCGTCCCTTCCACGGTATATGAGTCCGCATGTCTTCATCCCTCTGAGGGTCCTGCCCATCACTACTGCCGGCAAACTTGACAGACGTGCTCTTCAACGAGTAACAAGTCAGCTCTCCAGAGATGAGCTTGTCTCTTTCACGTCTAGTGCCAAGGAGACAGGAAGAACGCCTGAAGAATGTCAACTTGCGGAGATGTGGAAGAAGGTTCTTCGTGTGAGTTCCGTTGGAATTTACGATAACTTCTTCAGGCTTGGAGGCGACTCGGTCGCAGCTATGGCTCTGCGGTCTGAAGCGCGACGCAGTGGTCTCGGCATTTCCGTTGCCGACATCTTTTCAAATCCCGTACTGGCAGACATGGCCAACGTGATGGACAGAGTTGCTGTAACTGACGGAGAAGTCACAATCGAACCTTTTGCTCTACTCGGAGAATACGAGTCGGTGCCTCGCCTGGTTGACGAGATATCTCAAGAGTGCGGCGTTTCCCCGGAGGCCGTCGAGGACGTTGTGCCCTGCGTCCCCATACAAGAAGCTCTTATGGCGTTATCTGCCCGCCAGTCATCAGCACAAACATATGTGCTGCACGCCCCATACAAGCTCCCGACCGATATTGACGAGGAGCGCTTCCAGAGAGCTTGGGAGATGACAACCAAAGACCATTCTGTGCTGCGAAGTCGCATTGTGTTGAAACCACAGGGAGCCCTACTTGTCATCACGAAAGACAGCATTCCTGTCACCAAGCACGTCGGTCTCCTGAACGATTACATGACCCAGCAAAGGCACCAGGCTTTCGGCTACGGCACGCCACTTTTACGACTGGGCCTCGTCGAGGAGGGCAATGATCGATACTTCGTCTTCAATGCTCATCATGCCATATACGACGGATGGTCCACGAAGTTGATCTGGGATACGGTTCTACAGCATTACCGCGGCGAGCCTAGAGATCCGGCACCCCAGTTCCAGGCACTAGTTGCAAAGCTGCGGGCCACACCAAAAGAGCCATCTGAAGAATACTGGAGAGAGGCGATCGTCGAAAGGCAAGGTGTATCTTTCCCACTGATCCCCGTGTCGCATAAACCTGTCGCCCGCGCTGGTACCAGCTTCAGGTTCCCTCTACCCGCTGCGTCAACCTCGGATCGCAATGTTACTCCGGCAACTTTGATCAACGCCGCATGGGCTCTTGTCAACGCGCAGTACTCGGCAGACTCAACAGCAACTTACGGCTGCACCCTATCCGGAAGGGACTTCCCTCTTCCAAGTATCGAGCAACTAGTCGGACCAACCATTGTGACCGTGCCAAGGCAATTCGCAGTGCGAGGAGACGAGTCTCTCGCTGATTTCCTAGATCGCGTACAACGGGTCGCTATCGAGAGCATCTCGCATCAACATCTGGGTCTTTCCGACATCCAAGCTGTAAGCTCAGCCGCACAAGAGGCCTACGACTTCGCCTCCCTGATGGTTGTACATCCAGACGCCGCTCTTCGACTGCCTTTCGAGGATATTAATATCACTCCTGTTCCGTTGGATATGACAGAGTCTTACACATATCCCCTCGCAGTCGAGTTCATGCCAAGCGAGAAGGAGCTGTCAATCGACGTCAGATTTGACCCTGATTGCATCGATTTGGACATGGTGAATATTGTCATGCATCATTTCAACCACATTCTTCAAGGCATCTGCAACGCCAGTGCTTCGGCTGTCGTGGGTGATGTCATGACCATCTCACGAGAAGACGCTTCTCTCATAGAAACGTGGAACAGCAACAACATCAATCCAGTCGAGGCATGTGTGCATCATCTCATCGAGAAGCAGGTCCAGGCACAACCAGATAGCCCGGCTGTTGTCTCTCATGATGCATCCCTTTCGTACGCTGAGTTGGATCTATGGGCAAATCAGATAGCCGGGCAGATCATCTCGACAAACCTTGTGAAGACCGGCGAATTCGTTGGGCTTTGTTTAGACAAGTCAGCAAGAGCAGTCCCTGCCATGATAGCCGTCCTCAAAGCCGGTGGCGCATTCTTGCCGCTCAACCCGGACCATCCCCCAGCCCGCCTCCAAGCCCTCCTCGATGAGGCCAATGTCAAGCTTGTACTCGCGTCTCCAGACAGGATTTCATCTCTATCGGGCAGCCTGAAATGCAAAGTCTTGCCCTTTGGCGATTTCCAACCAGCTCGGACAGCTCAGCCACCATCAAATGTTCCAGTCACTCCTGCAGAAGCAGCGTATCTTCTTTTCACATCCGGTAGCACAGGCAAACCAAAAGGTGTTGTCATTGATCACCTTGCCTGGGCTTCCGCAATCGCTGCTCAATCCACAACCTTCGGCTTCGGGCCTCACATCCGAATGCTGCAGTTCAGTAGCTACACGTTCGACGCCATGATCTTCGAGATCTTCATCACGCTTACCTCAGGTGGATGTGTCTGCGCGCCTTCCGAGTCGGAGAGAATGAATGACCTCAGCGGATATATCACCAGGGAGCGGGTCAATGCTCTCATCTCTACACCTTCTGTCACCAGACTCCTTGTGCCAGCCAAGGTCCCCACCCTCAAGCTCGTCATGGTTGGAGGTGAGCCACTGGCACCCTCTGATATCGAAGCTTGGTTAAGCCAGCCTGGGGTATCCTTTGTCAACGCGTATGGTCCGACAGAAGCCTGTGTCATGGCCACTGGTCGTAAAGTCACGCCCACAGACAGCAGCTCCAACATCGGAATTCCTGTCGGTACAGCCACATGGGTGATCAGCCCTTTCACGCAGACTTTGGCCCCCATCGGAGCCGTCGGAGAGCTTTGCATTGAGGGTCCAACCCTTGCCAGAGGTTATTTGGGAGATCCGGAGAGAACGAATGCTTCTTTCGAGACAGATCCACGATGTTTGCCAGCAGGGGCTAGACGGCGCATCTACCATACTGGAGATCTGGTTCGGTACAATGCAGACGGTACAATAACCTTTGTTGGGAGACGCGACGGCCAAGTCAAGCTACGCGGCCAGCGCATTGAAGTCGGTGAGATTGAAGAAAACATCAGAAAGATCATGTCAAAGAACCCGAATTTCAAGCACATTGGCGTTGAGCTCTCTGATTCACCCAATAACCGCAACCAGCCATTCTTGGCAGCACTCCTTGTCATGAACATCTCATACGAGGACAGAGTATCTGACATTGGATGTGCGTCGATGATGGATCTTACAAGGCCAGAATTGTTTCAAATGGCTACCGATTTACAACAACAACTTCGAAACCTCTTGCCTGAATACATGGTTCCTTCAGCTTATATTGCTGTCGAACGACTGCCGACAACTGCTTCCAGCAAGCGCGACCGTTTCTTCGTGAGGGCATGTATCACCGAACTCTCTGCCAAGGGTCTCCTATTCCCCGTCGCCGCAGCCAAGGGCGAGCGAAAGGAGCTTTTCGGCAACGAAAAGCTTCTTCAAGAGTGGTGGGCTCAAGTCTTGAAGCTTGACGCTGAGAACATCAGCGCAGGGGATCATTTCTTTGCGTTGGGTGGCAACTCCATTACAGCGATCAGGCTCGCCGGTCTTGCCCGATCGTCAAAGCATCGTCTCATGTTTGAAGACATTTTCTCTTCCCCAGTCTTGACTGAAATGGCATCTCGTATTGCAGTTGGGATTAATCAGGAGAAGCCTATGCCGAAGGCCTTCGAGCTCTTATCAGCATCACAGCTTGCTACGATCCTTTCGAGCGTTCTTCCCCTCTATGGGATTAACAAGGATGAAGTTGAGGACATCTACCCCTGCACACCTCTTCAAGAGGGTCTCATGGCAGTAACAGCACGAAACTCCGGTGCATACATTTCCGCAGACACCATGGAAATCTCAGACGCGGAATTACCCCGTCTTCAAGAAGCATGGAAAATGACGTTCGAGAGGTTCGAGCTCCTCCGCACCAGAATTGTTCTAAGTCATGAGTTTGGCTCGCTTCAAGTCGTCGTTCGACAAGATCCCATCTGGCATGAAGCCACAGATATTGAGAGCTTTGTCCACCAGGTCCAAGAATTGCACGGATATGGCAAGCCGATGGTTCATCTCGCAGTCGTTCCTACCCACACGTCCGGAATCGTCAAGGTGGTCTTTAGCGCGCACCACTCCGTTTATGATGGTTGGTCCCTAGGCTTGATTCGACAGTTCCTCGAAAGCTATTTCACCGGAGATTCCGCCAATTCAGACTCGGTTCGAACAGTCCCGTTCAGGCTTTTCATGCGCCACTTGATCGATCAAGATCCTGCAGAGGCAGAGTCATACTGGAAGCAAAGAATGTCTGGTCTTGAGGCACTTCCGTTCCCTCGCCCGCCTCACGATCCTAAACATCAGCCGCTGGCAACCGCCTTCCTTGAAGAAGCAGTTTCGCTCCCCAAATCTCAAAGCTTGGGCTCTGCGGTTACCATGGCCACAGCTGTGCGAGCTGCATGGTCGCTTACCATTTCACACTACGTCGCAAGCCCTGACACTGTGTTCGGTGCAATTGTTACGGGAAGAGAGACTACCGACATCTCGGACATAGAGGCCATCGCAGGACCCACGATTGCAACTGTCCCAACACGCATCAAGATTGACTATAGCTCGAGTATTTCCAATTTCCTTGCGGATGTTCAAAGAGATGCCGTGGCGGAGTCTCGTTTCTGTCAGCTAGGTCTCCAGGGCATTGCCCGTGTCAGCAAGGAGTGCCACCAGAGTTGCGAGTTTGGCAGCATCCTTGTCGTTCAACCCCCTTCGCTCAACAACGGAACCAACAAGGTGCCTACACTTAGACAAGGGCCGGTGGCATCACCAAAGTTCTTCCCGCAGGCGCTCGTCCTTGACTGCCAGTTATCGTCAGATAACGATCATGTGTCAGTGACACTGAGTTACGACCCTGAAATGGTGGGAGATGCGCATGCATCGTTCGTTCTCTCAACCTTTTCCACTCTCCTACGCAACCTCATTTCGGCTACTCCCAGTACCTTAGTTCAGGACTTGTCAGGACTATCAGCGGCGCACGTGTCCAAAATCGATCTCATCACTAGGAAGAAGACTCCGGCTGTCGTTGACTCCTGCATTCATGATTTGATCGAGCAACAAGCGAAGCAATGCCCGAACAATATCGCAATCGATGCCTGGGACGGTTCTATGACGTACACGGAACTCATTACCGTCTCCTCTACTTTAGCTCAACAACTTCAAGAGCTTGGCATCGGACCAGAGAAAGCAGTGCCGTTCTTGCTCGAGAAGTCCAAATGGGCAATGGTTTCAATGATGGCAATCTGGAAGGCGGGTGGATACTTCGTGCCACTTGACCCCAAGAGTCCAAACCAGAGACTGCAGCATCTCGTCCAAGCAACCAGCGCCAGCATTATCTTGACATCGTCCGAGTACTCCAGTCGATGCCAAGATTTGGGATGCAAGCCTATATTGGTTAACGAAGATACGGTTCCCTCTCTTGGCGAAGGCGTGACCGCTGTTCAATCCACGGTTAAAACACACAATCCGGCATATGTCCTCTTCACCTCGGGCACGACTGGAATCCCCAAAGGTGTGCTTCTCGAACACAGGACACTCTCTTCGTCCATATCTGCGCTTGGAAAGTATTTGGGCATGAACGCGGAGACAAGATTCCTGCAATCTTGCGCATACACCTTCGACGTCATGTTGCTGGACGCCTTTGCCGCTCTCATCCACGGCGGTTGCGTCTGTGTTCCATCCGAACACCAGAAGATGAACGATTTGGCTGGCTTCGTTCAGGATTTCCAAGTCAACACCACCTGGTTCACAACTTCATTGTCCAGGATCATTGATCCCGACTCAGTGCCTAGTCTTAAGACAGTGGTCATGGGCGGTGAAGCAGTTTTGCAGAGCGACGTGGACCGGTGGGCCTCGAAGGTTCGACTCGTTGCCGGCTATGGCCCAACAGAGACTTGTATTGTTACACTCATTGGGGAACTCACACCGACCACACCACCCAACACCGTCGGCTGGCCGGTTGCATGCAGAGCTTGGGTTGTCAACCCACTTAAGTCCTCCGAATTAGTTCCCATTGGAGGTATCGGAGAGCTTTGCATCGAAGGTCCATGCTTGGCCCGTGGATATCTCGGAAATGAAGTTGCGACCAAAGCAGCCTTCATCGACGCCCCTTCGTGGTTGCCGGGAGATTCTTCAAACACCCGAGTCTACAGAACTGGTGATTATGTTTACTACAACGCAGATGGCACTCTGAGCTTCTTCGCTCGGAAAGATTCCCAGGTCAAGATTCGCGGTCAGAGAGTCGAACTTTCTGAGATTGAAGAAGTTATCCGACAACATGTTCCCAGCTGGTTGACTGTTGCTGTGGACGTTTTCAAGCCTGGGGAACAAGATCGACAGATTCTCGCAGCCGTGTTTGGAGTGGGCGAGAAGTTTGAGCAAGCTGCCAGCGACTCTGGTTCCAATACGGGTCTAATCAATTTCATGAAGGAGTTGTCCAAGGCTCTCAAAGGTCGATTGTCTGAGACCCTGCCAGGCCACATGATCCCTGATGCTTACATCCCGCTCCCAATGATACCTGTGCAGACCTCTGGGAAGCTCGATCGACGAGTGATGCAGGTCATGGTAACATCAATGACCTTCAAATCCATCGCCACATACACCAGCGCGGATGACTCATACCAAAAGCCGCGGACCGAAAGCGAACGGCTACTAGCCGGTCTATGGTGCACTGCCTTGAAGATCTCGGACGTATCGTCTGTGAGCGCATCAGACAACTTCTTCAGCCTGGGTGGCGATTCTATCCTCGCCATGCGCCTTGTCGCACTGTTGCGAACGGAAGGTTACTCTCTTGCCGTTGCAGAGATCTTCTCAAACCCGACACTTTCTGGAATGGCCTCCAAGATGCAACAGACAGAGACCAGTGGCCAGCCAGGAGGTAGTAAGCTTTTGCAGACAGCCATCTCATCACGAAGGGTAAATGATGCTCTGAGAATCAAGATCGCCGGCAAGCACGACGTCGAGCTCAGTAGAATCGAGGACATCTATCCTTGCACCTATATGCAGGAGTTCTTCATGGAGGATTCTATCAAGGTTCCTGGCGCTCACGTTGTGCAGTTCATTTTCGCACTCGATGGCACAATCAACCTGCCGAGGCTGCATTCTGCGATTGATCGCTGCGCACTTGAGTTTCCTATTCTTCGGACGAGACTTTTTGAAGAATCGAAACAACTCTACCAGGCTGTGCTCTCCGACAAGATCCACTGGCGAGAAGTCTCGGAGACGAGCCTGGCCGACGCCCTCAAGACCGACAAAACGATTTCCACCGGTCTTGGAGATGCCCTGACCAGGGTGAGCATCATTCGAGGCGTCGAAAAGGTCGCAACTCATCTCATCTGGACTCTGCATCACTCCCTTTACGACGCATGGACACTGCGACTTCTCTTGGATGCCGTCAATGAGGCTTACCAGAGTGACGCCCTCCAGGTCAAGCCCCGACTTGCCTTCCAACAGCTAATTGAACACATTGGAAGTAGAGATCTGGCTGCCGATCGTTCGTTCTGGGCATCATACCTTTCAGGGGCTGGCAACTCCCCGCTGTTCGGCTACCTGTTTGTGCGCGATCCTATGAAGGACATGAGAGCAGACTACCAGGTTTCGCTGCCACAAAAAGTGGAAGGAGCTACTTTGACAGCGACGATAGCATCAGCTTGGGTCCGGGCGACCAGCCGTCTGACTCAATCTAACGATGTCACCATTGGATACCTCGTCACTGGCCGCGCGGCGTCCATCCCCGGAATTCAGCAATGTGTGGGGCCGGCGATTTCCAAGGTCCCGCTCCGCGTGCGGCTCGAAGGTGGAGACACAACCGCCGATGTTTCGGAGAAGGTCCAGAACGAACTCACCCGACTCATGCCGTATGAACTTTCTGGATTGAAGACGGTCCAGAGCGCCAGCCAAGATGCAAGGGATGCTTGTCGTTTTCCTGTAGATTTGACTGTCCACCCACACGGCACACTTTCTTTCGCAGGCGAGGGCATTGGGATGCGCTTCGTAGGAGGTGAGGTCGTTACGGCCCCTCCTGGTGGCTTCTCTGTCGAATGCACCATTACAGAAAATTACATCGAAGTCACTGCTTTTTGGGACAGCCGGGCGGCCCGAAAAGAGAGTATCGATTCGTTGCTGGAGGATTTCAAGACAGTCCTGCTCGCTTAATTTCACCGGGATCCCACGGCGTCAATTGGCGTGCGCTCACGTTTCAACATGAGATTTCATTTCTTTTTCTTGTATTGAGCCAATCCTTCAATAGACTCATTTTTTCTTTTCAATTGTAGTCTCTAGAAAATAGACAACATTTGCGTTGGCATCTTCCAATGATTAAGACAAAACACTGTGCGAATCGGTTCCCCCCGGCGGCTAGATTCGCCTACACATACCAGGAATGTTCGGCCGATCTTGATTGTTGCCTCTTCCATTCAGAACCTTAGGACGGCTGGGTGTTGTCAAAAGCTTAACAGCTGCACAAGAAGTTTAGCGATCGCGTGTATCGAAACCAGCCATGAAATCAACCCTTCAAAGTTTTAAGCTTCTTCGACACTGGCTCAGAAATTCTACCCCATGTGTTTGACAACAAACTCTGAACTACGCGCATGCTATTTAGTGAGATCCGTATCGTATCAAGGTTTAACCAAATTCTATGGAATCTTATCTTTGGTCTCGGCGTCGTCATTCTTCGCGAGTGAAATCATACGGATACGTAACGACAATGGTCACATCGCATGAGGTGTTGGAATACTTGATTACTACCTGTTTACTCGTTCACATCTGCTCCATACTCTAGCAGCAACTTCAGAATTTCGATCCTCTCCAACACCACTGCCAAGTGTACCAATGTTCGCTTCTGGGTATCCTTCAAATTGACGCAACGCTTCAAAAGCCCTCCAAAGGGCTGCAAACGACTTTTCTCCTCGCACCATTTCAACAGTCCTCGTAGTTGTTCGATATCGTCGCGAACAATGGCCCTGTGGAAAACACTTGTTCCCGAGTCATCTGGCAACGTGATTTCGGCCCCCAAATCCAGCAACGTGCGAGCCGCAACAGTATCACCCCTTTCCACAGCTAGATGAAGGGCCGTCTTCCCTGACTTGTTCTTCGAATCCACCTTGCCTCCACTCTTGATGAGCAGCCGCGCGATTTCTAGGTTGCCGCGCATCACGGCGCTAAGCAGCGGGGTGCATTCTGTTGTTGAATCGTGCGAGGCGACAGAACTGCATGAGCTGCAAGAGCTTGCTATGGATGATGGAGTGAGCCCTTTTAGACTTGACGGCGTGCTGACAGTATCGATGGTCGATGCAGCTGTAGAAAGGTTCGCGGAGTCGGCAGAATCCTGGTGGAATGCAGTCAGTGACTGAAGAGCGCAAAGCTGAGAGAATCGAAGAGCGCCTACGTTGAGATCGCTGAGGCAACTGAACGCGTCGCTTGGGCTATCATGTGTCTGCGGTTGACTTGTTGTGGGTGCCAAAGGCTGCTCGGACGGTGACTTCCTGGGCTGAGACGATGTTTCCATTACTTGTAGTGGCAATGGCGGTTGCGGTTGACTTGAAGATTGTGGTGCTGGCAATTGGGTAGCTGTGGTTACCGCTGCGGGTGCGATGGACGAGTTCAGCGCGGCATCGATGCAATCCAAGCCTGCGGAAGCGTTTGGCGACTCGAAATCATCCAATCCTGGAACATCGAGAAAGTCAACCGTAGAATCGGGTTGATATGATGTATCGAAGAACTCTGGTGTTCGCGACCGGGTGTTGCTACCGCTGTTACTACTGGTCTCGTTCCATCTCTGCTGTGCTGCTGCAGATTTCAGGTGTGGCAGATCGAAAAGAATAGCTTCGGCGAGTTCGATTCGCATACGCTGCCGTGAGCCTGAGGTGCTCTCCTGTTAGTTTGGCACTTCCGTATGTCCCCCTCTGGCGATATGATCACTAAGGTCTTGGATTGTATCCAACAATGCCAAGAAGGCTTTTTGACTGGGGACGAAACTCACGGTAGTTCCTCTGTGCAATCCTGTTCTGCGCTTTGCGACGTTCATTGATGTCGGTAATGTGCGACCAATCATCATCCCGTGAAGTCATTGCCATATCTGGTGTAAGTGCCGGGCAGCAACGCGTTTGCAAGCAGCATCTGACGGGTTGATCGTCCGACAACTATCTATCCCATCGTGATTGCTCGACAATGATGGATATAGACTGTTTGTATAATTCAACATGAGACGCAGCCCGCCGGGACCCCTCACGGCGCGTAGAATACTATTGAGGTTGTTGATACCACGCTCCAAAGTATAAAATCTGGAGCGTCACATAATAACGTTTCGCTGAACCTAGGGCAGCCTGTTCGTTCCATTCCCCTGGATGCGCGTTAAATGACTCGCGATACGTCTCAATGGACACAAACAATGTCCGAAAAAACGACAACGCCGCTTACAACCAGAAACTCGGGTTTCTCATTGCGACCCCACCGCTTGTTGTTGAATTGTCTCTGAGCACGCAAGTCACTGAAGTTCTTGGCAGCTTGTCCTCGGCTGTCAGGTCTGAGCTGCTGTCTGATTTTGCAATGTGGTTTACCAATGCAGCTAAGCTTTAGACCCATGCAAATGCCAGGACCCTGGAAACCTTACCTTTCGTGCTCGATGCACAAGCGAGAGTTTCCCGAGTCAGTAGACTGGCTCGCCGTCGGGAGTAAGAACCGACTTAACATTGGGAGCCTTCCAGAAGATTGACGAACCTCTCAGCATGTGGTCCGGGAAAGTTCTCCTGCCTGAACGCATGGAAGTTTGGCTAGTCCGCTACGCCGCTAAGCCGAAGTGCTGACGTACAATTTGCCCGGTTTGCCTACGTGAACTCTGAAATTTCCGACAGGCAGGGTTACAAGCCGCGTTAATTGAAATAAACTAGCATAAAGCCTCATAGCGAGTCAAACGACAACTGTCTTGCCGTTTGATGGTTTCTCTACGAAATCCGCGTCCTGTTTCTTCTATTGCCTGGCACCGGGCTTGTGGTAATACGGGGCCTTTCAACTCGGACCGCGGGTAAACGGCCTCTCCCTACCTACCCACAGACGTCCGGCATAACCTCACTTCAGCTCGGCAAAAGCGGCCGTAACCGTACGCGTATCCCGAGGTTGCAACTCAATGATTCAGTGCCCCGACGAGGAGGAGCTCTCGCCCGCAGGCACACCCCGCATAGAGTGCAATAAGGAGCTATCATAACCAGGGGATGTTCTTTTCCGATCGTTACATTAAGTCCAGAGTGGACACGATCTCGATGGCTACTGCTCTCTAACATAGCCCCAGATTTCTATAGTAATCAAATAAACTTCGATTCGTCAATTATTGGTGGCTTGTACGCTGCGGTCTTCTCCCCCCCGCATCATGTCGTACTGCCGAGTTTCGGGTCCACTTCTGCCTCGTCTTGCTCGGACAAAAGCTGCGGCAAAAACGTGGCCGTTGTGCGATTGATCGTTGGTTCCTTGCCAAAAGCAATTGCGTAAATTGTGCTATGTGGAGAGTGAGAGTCCAGGCACAAAACGTTTTTGCAAATCCATGCATTAATCTCGGTCACTCCCAGTTGTAAGACCCTTTAAAAAGGCTGCGAATCCAATGCCTGAGCCCTTTTCAACACGTATATCGAATGGATGGAAGTTGTAGCACACTGCAACATAATTCAACCTGTCCCACCTTGTGTCAGGCTTGAAGAGTGACAAAAGTTTGCGAGCAACATAAAGAAATTATCCAGAACGCTGCTGGACGGGCATCCATTGATATAAGTTTTCTCGCGATTGCCCTCCATGTTATTTGGGCCCTTGTTGCTGTATCCATGGATCATATTGCTGCGTACTCAACTAAGTCGCCCCAAAGAGTCCGGAGGTGTCGGACTTCGACGAGTTTACGAGGAATATTTGAATAGCACTGATGTACCTGTCAAAGGACACATAACGACGGTATCTGGTCACGGCGATGAAGTCAAGACTGTCACAATAAAGTTGGTGACGGCGAGAGCAATTGTATCCGTGATGGTAATCTCATTTGAGGCTATTCGAGTTGAACACGCAGTATCTTGAAAGTCCCTATGGGCAATTTTGAAATGGTCTTACTCGCCTAGGAAATTGAGCAGAGTAAAACCATCGCGTGGTACAAGCTAACCGAGCGAATTACGGTACTCACGTCAAACGTATCCCCCAAAGCCGTTATAGCAAGTCAATCGCCTGTTTTGAGTTGTCCACGCCAGTAATTTTGAACACCACCCAGTTCCAGAACGTCGAGGCTTCTCCAATGAACGAAAGCAGGCGCATGATTGCCCTGGCCTTGAACTTTGACGTGTCGGCCGCCTTACCATGCTGCGTTAGCATTGATAAAACATATGGCCTCGAGCAGCTTACCAATGGGTCGTTGCCTCCACTTTGTCTAACCCATTGAAATGCGCGAGGTATGACGGCTCCTTCATAAGCGTGTAACGCTTCAATGAAGTCTTGCTCACTAGCACCATTTGCCGTCCTTGCCTTCTCCGCCAACCTAGTCAGGAGAGGAAGAGCGTCGGCAGTGTCAAGCATGGACTGGTTCCCGCCCATACCTCTAGCGCGATAAAGTCAGTACATACCTGAAGATTTGCGCGGTTAAGACCCTCACTGCATACCTAGACGGAAGCATCGCATGCATGGCATCTCCGATGAGCCAGACATGCGGGTTTCCAAGGCGTTCGTCATCAGGTGAAGCTACAGCACGACGCCAGTCGAGAGGAGGACGAGAAGAAACTCTCGGAGTCCAGCAATACATGTCTTGTCCGCGAAACATATTGAAAATTTGGTGACTGGAGAGACTCGACGTAAGTATAGCTACAAAGTTCAGGGTGTTCCGTTGATAAAGACTCACGGCTGATTCACTTACTGTTGCGGAGACCAATCGCGGATAAGTAGCTCAGCTGCATCCCATTTCTCCTCTGTTGTTAATGCGTCAAACTCTTGAGGCATTCGATCACGGCGCCATCCTATTCCAAGCATGGTAGATATGCCCTGTTCAGAGCTATGTTTTGAATCGGCAGCGTTTCCAGTCTCTCTTGGGAGGTAGACTATCAGACAAGCCGTCAATATGACGAGGGGTAGTAAGCAGATTTTTAAGTCATCTCTCACCTTGGAAGAAAAGGGTGGCCCCACCATCAACAGTACCTACTGGAGAATGTAGTTGTCGAGGAATGTCGTTGAAGACTGGGACTGGGAAGTCTTTCCGCGCAAGGAATCCATAATAGGAACTGACCTCTTCTAGATTGTTGAGCCCTAAAAGGCGATTGACCTTGGAGCTGTCAGCCCCAGATACCCAAGATTCATAGATATGCAGCAGTTACCTTGGATCCACTTCCGTCCGCCCCAATAAGAACATCACAAGTGTCAGACGTGTCATCATCAAAAAAGGCCTTGACAAAGCGCCGGCTGCCATCTCGGTGTATTTCGTAATTCGTGAGTCGCTTCTCATTGTGGATCTTTCCCATCTTGTAGAGTGGCTCGGAGAGAGCCTCTCGAAGAGATACGCGGTTGATTGGGGTCGACCTCTGATATCCCGGCATCTTTCCTGGCTCAAACATCTTGTTGAAGTGCTTGTCGTACACGATGGGTGGGTTTGAGACAGTCGAGCGAGCGAATCGTCTGGCAATAGAGTCGATTTGCTCTTGTTCCAAGCATGCCCGCATGCCGATAAGAGCTCCCTCGCCCAGCCGAATCTGGAATCCTTCCCGCTTCGAGTGCTTTTCTGCTCGCTCGTAGACTTCGAACGCGATGTTGTGCCGGGCGAGGCCGTTAGCAAGCAAACTGCCGGCTAGCCCAGAGCCGATGATAATGACTTTGAAAGAGGCCATGGTGCTTCAAGATAACAAGGAAGAATTGCAACTCTCATGCAGGAAAAGACAAATATGTAGATCAACAAGCACTTTTCCAAACTCGTGGAATTATATGTTGGACATCTTGGTTCATCGTCTGATGTCTGCGGATCGCAGTTGCGTAGTGTCCAATCAATTCAAGCACCGCAACACCTTCGGTAAAACGAACCCACCGAATCGGGAGGTCGTGGTCTCCGACTACCGACTGTAGAGGCGGCGGACGCAGTATTGAGGATCCGAGGCATCGGTTAACTTTGACAGTGGTGTGTGATACGATGCTGTTCTGAGACAGCTGGAACTCCACGAATACTCACCAACTAGGTAATTAACTGCCGACGAGGAATTCCTGAAATGTGACATGTGCACTTTCAAAGCTTTGATCACGCGTTCGCGAAACAATAAGCTCATACGAGATGCTTACTGCTTATTCATGCATGCCCAGACTCAAAGCTGAGGGCTGTAGAGGAAAATGGGGAAGAGTTTTAGAACGTTTCTTGAAGCTCATATGCCTTTATGGCGCAAGATGTTGCGTAACCCTCGCTAGCGATCCTATTCAGTCGCGCACGATTGGTCTGTAGGCAAGCAGCAATCAATTGCTTGGATGCGCATGATCTACAGGGCACGTGGCTGACATTTGCGGTGCTCTGCCTCATCAACTCGCAAAACCCGGGTGAGACCAGCCGTGCTCGGATTATCATTTCCCATTCGTCGCGACCGACAGTACATTAAGAATGATAAACGATCATGTCTTGGGGCACGGGCGACCTCCATATGTCATCATGATCCTCCTTGCACAAATCCCGTCACACAATTGCCGATCGCTGCTGCATCCGTCCTCATCTAGCTGGCGTGGCTTGATGACATCATGAGGTCGAGCGGCAAGCTCCCCAAGCTCCTTAAGCTCCCTTATCAGAACGACCTCCCAAGGACCCCAGAGCTTCAACCACACGAGATCTCATACCAAATAACTACCGAATCAATCAAATCACAATCATGGCACACCTAGCAACTCGCCAAAGGGTACTTCCCGCACTCGCGCAACAAACGCGCTCTCTGCCCTTCGCCCTTCGCGCAGCCAGCGTCCCGCGACGTCATCTCAGCGACAAACCAGGGCTGGAGTCAACAGACATGCGAGACGCCGCGGACGCGAGAAAGACGTCGCCTCCTCAGCCCAAGATCACAAACTCCAGCGTGCCGGGACAAGGACCGGATAAGCTCACCGAGGAGCAGAAGCGCGAGGTCGACGAGCACAACCGCGATTTCGAGAAGAAGCACGACCGAGCGCAACCAGCTGCCGATGACAAGGTTGACAAGAAATTCTGGGGAAGCGGGACTGAGGATACCAAATAAGCGCACTTCAAATTACAGCACTGCGTAAGGGGAAATGCTGGTTGAGTGGCTGTTTGTAAGATACCAGGGGCAAATTTCAGGGTTTTTGTACTGGGTGCAAAACTCCAAGACCAAGTCAGCATTCGGGAGGAGCTTCTATGCTCGAATGCACTTGCTTTTGAGAATCGCACAGCTTCGTGAGACGTGTTATCGTGATTATACGCTGTGAAATAAGGACAATCCGAATAACTTCCCTTGGCGTGCTCGGATTAAACATGACTGATCGATCAACGAGGATAGCGGCACTTGTCATCCCATCCATCAGTCTTATTATTACTGGCGCATTGTCACTGCAAGCCCAGAATGAAAAATAACGGCGCTCTTCAGGCTTGCATTGACATGTCTTGGGACTGCTCTGCCATGAATCGTGGTAACGAATTTTGACAACTGCCGTCCCATGCATTTGTTTCAATGTTGATGGCATTACGCTATCCCCGCATCGTCGGAGATATTGATGGTGTATGATATCCGCAGAATTATGGGACAGGAGCATTCTTGCATGAACTGTATTGGCATCCAGATGGCTCAGATGTTATTGGGATTTCTTGGGTCGTATTATCCGTGGTCTTAGCAATCAAAGATGAAGGCATCTCCAAAGCAAGAGCCTATGAACACTATGTTTCTGTCATGAAACTGCCTAAAATAGCCTTCCTCATAAGACTTGATCTTGAATGATATAAAGTTCCAACGCCCACGGGCCGCTGTAAATCACGCTGTCCCATGTCGGGATTGGGGTTGATGTCTTGGCGATAACATGAGGGCAGTCATCTCCGTGTATTTTTAGTAGTCAGAGACGGTCTTTTGTCCGATGCTTCAGTCCGAATGCCACGCCAAGAATAAAGACCAGATAAATGGCCTCATTCTCAGGGTCCTCTCTATTTGATCAACCAGTTGTTCCGCAAAGGTTCTCTGGTGATCGCGGTGTTCCCACTCGCGGGGCCTTGGCGCCCCCGCCAGCTGTCGGCAGCTCCCTAAAAGCTCCTCCCGAGCTTGCCAAGCTCCCACGCGTCGCGGTTCACAGCTTCGAAGCTACATTGCGAAAGCAGACTGAGCCACCTCCGTGTCTCTGTCCAACTTGGCAAAAATCAGAGAAAATCACGAATTGGACCCAGTGGCGACGCAGCATCTCAAGTGTACCTCTCTTGGCTGAGGTGCGATGCAAAGTTTCAGAGTGGCGTAGGCTTGCCAAACCACGCGGCATTACCACCGGAGGACATCGACGACTCTAGAGCTAGCCACACAGTCAAGTCTTGGGGACCTCGCGGGTTGGGCGTACGCCATGCTTCTTTGGCGGCGATGGACATGTCCACGTGGGAGATGGTGCTTGCTGTGGAAAGACAGCTCAGAGGCGACGCTTCTGACTGAGGCTGTGAGCTAGAATCCGACGCAAGTATCTTGACCATCAATGGTGAGTTTGGACTAAGGGACCCTCAAAAATCGCTGATCCTTACAGTGAGGTCTTGACGGAGGTCGCGAAAGAAGAGAGATCAGCAGCCTTATCGGCCTCACCTTCGTTTTGTGTAGACTCGCTAACCCTCGCTGGAGAGTCTTGGCTGCGCGCACAATTCCTGTGGTCGCCCAAACTTCTGAAGACAGCGCCGCAGTGGACGCGTGACTCGTGACTCGCATCCCCCAAATGCTTCACCCACGGTACATCGTCCAGCCATAAGCAGCCAGCAATCGAGCTTGGCTGCGGGTATTATCGCTCATGCCGACTTGTTGCAATTGGATGCCGTGCAGGATCAAGGATGAGTGCCTACATTGGCCTTCGGTCAGCGAGAAGGGCAATCCGGGAGAAAGGACAGCCTCGGAGGTTTCACTGAGCAGTGAGCAGCATGACATGCCATGCGAGTCTTCAGTGGAGGGAACTGAGGAAGAGAGAGGAAGCTGGAAAGGGGAGCTGCTCGCGTGCTCTCCTACCCAGTCGATTGCCACATGTGCTCTCAGAAGAGCAGGAGGGCACGCGACAGCAGCCGTGGTTGAGTCTCTGTAAGACTCTGCTGGGGTTTAGCGTCAGATCTCGTGTCTTGGCAGGCATCACGGAGAGTTCACCACCGAGAAGTCGCAAGCACGACCTGGTGCGTCGACAGCGTATTGAAACAGCAACGTGCCTGCGAAAACGACTGTGACTGGCTGGAATCGTCTGGCGGATCGGTCGTCGGTACCTCGAAAGCCAAGAAGGCCAAGATCCAAGGTGGCACCCGCCTCGCGAATACCAGCCGCCGATGTGGATGGTCGCAGAGCTCGGCGCAGACTGGGCATCCGTCAAAACATCCACCGCATGGGTCTTGATGGCCACTTTCACGGACGAGCAGGTGCAATTGAGATTTTTTATCTGATTTTTCCAAAGTCTCTTGCCCGGCTCAATGTGCGGCGAACACCACCATGGCCAGGGTAGCAGCGACCGCCGGTCCTTGATTGACTAGAGAGGAGAAAGAAAGGAAGAAGGGGGAGCAGGAGAAACACCCACTCCTCCCCCACGTTGGCCAGCCCTCGTCTCCAGATTCCAGACATCCATCCTCCATTGCTGGGAACCTCTCCGACCTCACCCTCTCTATAAAGGTCGCGGCGCTCCAGGTCTCTCCTGTGGCTCTCGACCTTGAGAGACCCGACAAGCCTCCTCTCTACTTATACTTCAAGCCCCCATCCCTCTCTGGGCCGCAATCGTCGTGGTGAAGATTCATCTTCCTACTTCACCCCCTCGGCTCTCTCTTCCCGCTCCCTCTCTAGTACGAATATCGATATCAGTATTCGACTTTCTCCCTCAACGCCGCCGTCATGGCTGCCCTCCCGCAGTATGACTGGATCATCGCCCTGATCAGCATCGCCTTCTGCGGCAGCTCTTTCGGAAACGGCGCCAACGATGTCGCCAACTCCTACGCCACCTCGGTGGCCGCCCGCACCCTGACCATGCCCCAGGTCGGCTTTCTGTCCATGTTCACCGAGTTTTTTGGCGCCGTCGTCCTCGGATCCCGCGTCACCGGAACGATCAAGAACAATATCATCGGCCTCGATCGCTTCCGCGGGACCCCCGCAACCCTCATCCTTGCCATGGGCTGTGCCGAGTTCGCCAGTGCCTTCTGGTTGCTCACTGCCACCAAGATTGGATACCCTGTCTCAACAACGCAGACCATCGTCGGTGCCTTGGTTGGCGTTGGCATAGCTGCGGAAGCTGGCGTATCTTGGGGCTGGAAGGATGGAAGCGTGTCCCAGGTTGCCGCATCTTGGGTCATCGCCCCTTTGATCTCTGCAGTCTTCTCCGCCATTCTCTTTGGAAGTCTCAAATTCGCTGTCCTCGAGCGCAAGAACCCCTTCGAGAAAGCAATGAAGGCCATTCCGTTTTACCTCGCCTTTACCGCTGCAGTTCTCGCCCTGTTCATTATCATCGAGGCCCCTGGTGCGCCGTCACTCGAGGAGCTCGGTGCCGGCATTGCATGCGCAATCGTCTTGGGTACCTTCTTTGGTGCTCTTCTTCTCGCCTACGTCTTCTTCCTGCCATATGTCCACCGAAGGCTTGTGAAGCAAGACACGCGCATCCGACTGCGTCACGTCTTCCTTGGGCCCTTGTTGTGGATGGAGAACCCGCCCATCTATCTGCCTGCAAAGGGCGACGAGGTGGTTGTCGACTACAACGCCAGGATTGTATCCCCCAATGACAATGAGGACATTGAGAAGCAAAAGGCCAAGACCGAGTCTAGTGCCGACAAGGGAGAGAAGCTCGTCAACGACCATTCCCCGACCAGCCCGACCGCCGCACCCTTGTCTCTTGAGGACGTTGAGCGCGGCAAGACAGCACCCCCCGCGAGCGCTTACAAACGTATGCCTGAACCTGAGGAACGCTTCCTTGCTCCAACGGCTCACCTTCCCATTCACAACCCCAAGCGTATTTGGAGCTTCATCAAGTATATCTTTCTTCAAGGAGTCACGCGTGACTGCGTCAACCACGCTGATACCCAGCTTGCCTCCGTTCATGGAAAAGCCAAGCAATACGATATTCGCGCTGAGCACCTGTTGACGTACGCCCAAGTCGCCAGCGCCATGATGATGTCCATTGCTCACGGCTCCAACGATGTTGCCAATGCAGTCGGGCCTTGGATTGCGGCGTACCAGGTCTACATGACGGGCGAAGTGTCCGAAAAAGGCGAAAGCCCAATCTGGATTCTCGTTGTCGCCGGCTTTCTCCTCGGTGCTGGCTTCTGGTTCATGGGCTATAAGATTATAAGGGCAATGGGAAACAAGATGACCTCCGTTACACCCAGCCGAGGCTTCAGCATGGAATTGGGCGCAGCCATCACCGTTTTGGTTGCCAGTCGTCTTGGCCTTCCTGTCAGCACCACGCAATGTCTGACTGGTTCCATCGTCGGTGTTGCCTTGATGAACTTCGATGTTCGCGCTGTGAACTGGCGCCAGGTTGCCTTTGTGTTCTCTGGCTGGTTCATCACACTACCCTGCGCGGGTTTGATTGGTGGCTTGTTGATGGCGATGTCCCTCAACACCCCCCAGTTCGGCCAGGGATAATGTATCTGGGAAGCATCAAGGCGTTGATGGTTTTGGTTAAATCGGATATGGGTTAGCTGCACCCTATGGCTGTTGGATAAGGTCGGGGCACTAGACAGTACTTCTTACTGGTATTGATGAGAAAATGACAACAATAGAACATGAGAACAAACATACCCGCTTTAACTTGTTTGTGAAAAGATCGAGCGTTTCTTGAGAGCAATCACATGATAGACTCGAAGACCATGTTGCCGGCGGCCGACCCAAAACATGCTGTTGGCTCGGCTCTCTACGTTGCACTGTGGGCCATTACCTTACAACACCTTCAGTGCAACGCTGCAGCTCCATCAGGCTGCATATATCTACAGCACTCAGGGATCTTGATTCAACATCAGTTGAACAAATGAAGACTATGTTTGCACTGATCGGTGTGCTCTTAAGTTTTATGAAATTGGTCAGACGTTTGTCTTCAATGGGATTGAGGCCAACCTGCCGGTCTAATCGACTAGTCCTGACGCTTCGTATTAGGCTTTGTCCGTAGCTAGAGACGGAACGGCGAATCTTGGTAGGTCAATTTTTACGTCAAATGCCTTGGGATTTGATGTGGACCAATTTTCTCAGCTTCATCGCATCAGCGAGGAGACGGGAAACAGAGATTGCTTTTGCTATCTTCCTTCGATGATCATACAGATCGGCCAACGTAGAAGTTGTTTAACGAGATGGAAGACTCTTGTCACGCCAATGAGTGTCACAGCTAGGCCTTATGACATCCACGGTAGCTTGATCAGCATCTGTGTACAGCGGACGATAACGTAATCGTTCATTTGACTTCTGCCGCCGTCGGAAGTGGTCGCGACGTTGAGTTCAATTGCAGTTGCTGTACTTCAGGGTCGACAAACCCAGAAACCAATCTAGTGGTCTAGTAGTCGGCTAAGTCCCATAGAAACATTCGTCTTTTAGCTGCCCACTAAACTGCCACGAGTTACCGGGGGCGGGAGAGCTTAGGTTTGCTCGCTTTCGGGCGGCTTTGGGCAGGCCAAGCGGCATCGCGAAAGCTGGGACGATTTCCAAACAGATTAGATATGCGATGAACAATAAGACTGCTTCGTCATCCGTAAGAGATGGGCGGGAATACTGTTCGGGTGCACTGTGATACGGAAGAGCCTGCGGAAGTCATCCTCCAGCGCTGCACCAATGATTGCGGCAATTGCACCTGAGTTGTGTGCGGCCCGCACACCTTTCCGATAGGGATTTCGGATACTTGCCGAGACCCGGCGCCGTGGATTTGGCGATAACACGCCAGCGGGTCATTGGAGCAGCAAGTGGGCATCTTTCCTCGATTCTGGGGCCTTCTCAAGATCTCTTCCTCTCCAACATGAAGCTATCAGTGGGTTAGATTGAGCGGTTGCTGCACCCCCATGGTCCCGTACCTCATCCGCCCGTCTGATGCGGTTCTGAGGCACGCGACGGACGGGCGTGGGATCTGTTATCGACGACCGCGACAAGCCGGCCGCACGGATGGGGCAAAGATGGAGGGTGTGTTGATGCTCGGATTGGCAATACACGCATGACCTTATCCTAGTAATGATGCCGACCGTGAAGTACATATGCCGGCCTCGTGGCAGTTCTTCGAGAGCCTTGTTCGCTACCTTACTTTTTGCATCCACCAAGACGACATCGTGAAGAATTCATCCACTTGATCCGACATAATCGACTTCGTCCGATATTCTTTAGGTCCCACTTTCCGTCACCACCAAAAGTCATCACCATGGGTTCTTTGCCGACTGCGGGGTGGAGGCAGCTCGACGTCGGAGTCGTCGGCGGTGGTATCGGTGGTATGTCCGTCGCGATCGCCCTCCGCCGCGCCGGCCACAAGGTCTCCATCTACGAGCGCAACGACTTTGCCGGAGAGGTCGGTGCCTCCGTCTCATGCGCCGCAAACGGCACTCGCTGGCTGCATGAGTGGGGTGTCGACGTCCAGAAGGGCGACCCTGTCGTGCTGAAGAAGCTCATCAACCGCGACTGGAAGACGGGTGAGCCGGTCAGTGTGTACGACCTGGACGACTACGAGGAGCGCTGGGGATACGTTTACAACATGTTCCACCGTCAATACATGCACTCGATGCTCAAGGACACGGCCCTCGAGGAGGCCGGAGAGGGAACGCCTGCCAAGCTGTTTGTTAACTACAAGGTGAGACATCATTTCGGCCGACCTTGAAACATTGACGTTGTTAACGTGTTTGGTGTAGTGCAAAGAGATGGACATCGCTGCCGGAAAGGTGTCATTCGAAAACGGACACTCTGCCACGCACGACTTGATCATCGGAGCCGACGGCATCGGCAGCGCGGTGCGGGGCCTCATCGGCGTGAAGCCGGCGAAGCGCCCCGCCGACTCGAGCTGCCTCCACGCCAACGTCCTCACCGAGGATGCGGTCAAGGCCGGCCTCGTCGACTACTCGCAGGACGCCGCTCTCGAGTACTGGGGCGGCCAGGAGGGCAAGTGGGACAAGATTGTCCTCTCGCCTTGCAACGGAGGAAAGCTGCTGTCCTACTACTGCTTCTTCCCCAGAGACAAGGGCGACTACACCAACCAGGCTTGGGGCGTCGAGGACCGCCCCGTCGAGGAGCTGCTCGCTCCTTACCCTGAGTTGGATGCGCAGGTCAAGGCGCATCTCGCCATCGGCATGGACATCCAGCCCTGGCGTCTGTGGATGCAGTAAGTTTACTTTTTCCTGGACTGAATGGTTGTCGAGACAAAGGTTGACGGCTTGGTAGCGACCCCTACCCTTACATCAGCAAAGACAAGGTCTGCCTGTTGGGCGATGCAGGACACCCTGTAAGTAAACTCTATCCCTGTTCTCGAATGACCGGCATCCCACTGACTAGAGAGCACAGATGATGCCTCACCAAAGTCAAGGAGCTTGCATGGCGATTGAAGATGCGGCTGCCCTTGGCATCCTCTTCCACCCCAAGTACTTCAACGGCGACGTGAACGAGACTCTGTCCATGTACAACGATGTACGCCTGCCCCGTGCTACGAGGGTGCAGCAGGCTGCTGCGAAGGCGGCCTACAACATCAACGAGCGCATCGGTGAGTCGCCCATCATTGTCAACCACGAAACTTGACTCATGAGCCCTGTTATGTCTGACTTCTTGCATAGGCTTCTCCAGCAATGCCGACAGCTGCAGCACGTACAAGGTTGAGGACGAGAAGGCCAAACTCACCATCGAGGAGATGAATGCGTAAGTGACCGCATCCCTGGACGTTGACTCGGGAGCCAATCAACTAACATCGTGGGTGCAGCTATGATATGTACAAGGACATTGAGGAGGTCATTGCGAAGAGGAACGGAACTGCGTTTACGCAAAAGTTCACCAAGGGCCTTCCCATCGGCCTCAAGCTCCCCAACGGCGTGATCATTGGGCAGTAGATATTCTGACCTCGTCGGGTGGGGCTTTGTGGATTCTTTTCGTCTTTTCGTGTACCTATTTTCTGGAGTTTTGGGTTGGATGGAACCTCGTGTGCGATACCAGCGGGCTATCTAGATTTACGGAGATGATAGGGAAAAAGAATTTTGGTGTTCTTGAAATTCCTGAAGAAGAGTCATGTCATGGGCCGTGCAATTAGTTATGCCTATTTATGAACGAGTTGTGATCGACATCGTCAAATGTGCAGACAAGGGAGTCCACGAAAATATGGGCACGCAACTCAGTCTCCACGCGCGATGCACCCAGCCCAGCAGCGCCAGTTCTCCAGACCGGCGGCCACTTTACGCTTGAAAGACTTCCCCTCGCAATCTTGAGACGTTGATGCAAGATGTCACAGTTATATGGTAAGTGTCGCCAAATCGAGAGGCGAATGCGTTAGGCGCGCGATACCATGCGATGCAGTCTGCATCACGAACGTGGCCCAGCATTAGATGCTGCAGATGAGGCTGGCGAGCAAAGTTTTCAGCCAACCATGCATCGCCGTTTTGACTCCCACGGACAGGATCTCCAACGACATGGCCTCATTATCGCGGCCATGCGGTGAGGGCCAGACTCCGCTCTCCCAGCATCACATCGGACCTCACACCAGAAGAGGGGTAGTTGAGGCGAAAGAAAGACGTATCTTAGGTACTTTGACAGCCCCAAGTTGACGATATCGAGGAATCACTTTGAAAAGACAACAAGACAGAGAGAGGCTCAAGACAAGGCAAGCACTCTCGTCGTCAATGTTTCATGCAACCAAAGGGCGGTGGATGCGATCGGCCGAATCTGTATGCAAACCCTGGTGACATCTGGAGGGCAACCAAGCAACGGCTCCAACGCGAACTGCGCTAAAATGTCACTGGGTGGAGCCCCTGGGAGAAATCTGCATGAGTTCCGAGCTCCCGGCGACCTTCGTCAACAGGGATTCTCGCACCAGAGAAAAAAATCGTCCAGGAAAGGTGCCTTGACGCGTCTGGCGACGAACCGGCCAGTCGAGCGGTGAGGGCGGTCGTGGTGGTGGTCGAGGAGATGGTTGCGATTGTCTGTCCGTTGTCGCCATCCATCCATCCAATCCATACATTTGCTGCCCAATGTCGACCTTCCATCTCGTTTAGACCCTGCTTGAAAAACTCATGGTTCAGGTAGTTGGCCAGCCATCTGGTGGGCCGTATCCTCGGCGATTCCCAGGCTCTGAATGGGCATTTCGACTCTTCGACAGACTCACGGACGGCCAATATTGATTGTTCAACCGCCAACCAGTGGATCCTGATGGTCGTCGGGTCGAACCGACCAGCCAGAAGGCAGAGTACATATAGATGCGCAGCCAGTCCTCAGGCTCAGGTCTGTTTTTATGTTCCTCTCCGTCTGATTCATATCAATCCGTTATTGGTCCCGATACGATACCCGCGAGCACTGCATTTCTGGCTGCTCCATCGTTGCTTTGGCGGCTTCTCTTTTCCTTGAAGCGTTGGCCCATTTTCAGTTTTGTTTTGCATTTTTTCCTGTTCAAGTTCCGGCCTTCGATACCCTTGCCCAAAATGTCTCCAGCGCTTTTCGACACCAGGAGGAGCAACTCCGTCTCCCAAGAAACCACCACCGAGCGCCGCAAGTCCAACGGCTTTCTGTTCCTGAACAACAGATTCAAGAGGTACGTCCTGATGATATATATCCATTTTCTTCGTTTTATATACACGCGTCTTACTGCGTGTCTTTTTCTCCTCCTCTCCTCCCCTCCCCTCCCCCTCCCCCGCCTCATTCTTCAAGACAATGGATGCAGTTGTCTTGGGACACGCAAAAAGCGGCCTTCTTCACCGCTCTTCATGCTCCTCTTTGTTGCCCCTGGTCAAGTTGCCAGCATGTGCTCGCTACCCCTGGCTCTACGCTGGACCCTTCGCCCCGCCGTGACAGGCCCCGGCTTGGATGGGCGGGCGCCGCGGCTTCAAAGACACCCCACCAAACACCACCAAACGGAGCGTGCCTTGTGGTTTTCCAACGGCCAACGCTTCGTTTCGGATTTCGGGCCTGTCGAGTTGTCGGGTCCTGCATGTTTGACGTGTCTCTGCCCACGATATCCCAACTCCCATCGTCATCGACACCTAATGTCGCCACCTCCAATCAGCTTCCCTTCCATGTCTCTTACACGGGTGTTCGTAGTCCGCCAACACCACCCGGGGGCGACGCGCCCGACTCCTTTGGCCGGTATCGTGACTGGCCCGATGTCCATCATGCCTCCACGACTGACCCTCAAGGAGGGCGTCCCCTTTCTCCCCTCGCGAGACACCCCATCATAAGAGTGATGCCTCGACGGCCATCAGTCCCTCCCAGAGTCTCTTCCCTTCGGTAGCCAGCGTCCTTTTGCTTCGCCCTCATCTATTTCCATGCCTCCTCTACCATTCTGCCTCCCCCACTTCTCCATTGCGAAGAAGCACCTAAACCGGCCCAAGTTATTACGGTTGTCTCATACCAGGATGACTCAGAGTCTTTGTTTCTAACATGTTGTAACAGAGCTGCCACCACAAAGACCACCAACGAGAACGCCACCTCCACTCCCCCGACGCCCACTTTCGGCCCGGTCAAGGATGGAGCCAACGGCAACGGCAACGGCAACGGCAATGGCTTTTTCAAGCGCACCGACTCTTCGCGGAGTATCCCGTCTCTGGCTCAGGTTGGCAACGACGAAGCTCCCGCCCAGCGACCCATGACCGCCATGCCCGGCCGTGAGAAGCCCTTCCTTGACAACAACAACAAGGAGCCCGTGAACGGCGAGAAGAAGGAGACCAACGGAGCCCCCGAGGTCGGACCCAAGGGGGAGTCTGAGCCCGCTGCTGCGCCTGCACCCGAGACAAACGGCAACGGTGCCGAGCCTGCTTCCGCGGCTGATCACCTCAAGGTTGAGAGCACCGCCGACGCCCACCCTACCGAGGACGAGGGTGAGTCATCCTCTGACGAGGAGGAAGAGGAGGACAAGAACGATGCCGAGGCCCAGGAGTCTCAGGGTGCTCAGCTTGCTACCCGCGCCGTCGTCGTTCCCGCCCGCGTTCCCACGCCTGAGGGCGACAGGAAGATCTCGTACCACGAGGACACCGACCTTCACATCAAGGTCAGGGATGCCAGCGGTGTTCCCACCGTGTTCTCCGTCCGCGCCGCGGCTCTCGCCACCGCGTCGCGCGTCTTCAGAGATCAGCTCGCGGGCAACACCGAGGGCATCATCGAGCTCAACTCTGCCGCCGACACCACCAGCGGCCTCGACACCCTCTTCTCCATCGCCCACTTCAAGTTCCACCAGCTCCCCACCAGGCCCAACGTCGACGTCCTCTACGACCTTGCCCTGGCCTCCGACAAGTATGCCGCCACGCACCTGCTGGTGCCCTTCATGAAGGACTGGATCGTCTCCCTGAACCGCCACGTCCTCATGGCCGGCGCCCGCAACGACGAGGACAAGACCCTCGTTCTCAGCTGGGTCTTTGGCGAGGCCCGCTGGTTCAGCCGCGTCCTCTCCAAGGCTGCCTACAAGTCCCGCCTGGGTCCCGACGGCACCCTCCAGGACTCCAAGGGCCGCCCCTGGAAGGAGCAGCCCATCTCCGAGGAGGTCATCGCCATGCTGACCGCCACCCGCGCCGAGGCCATCGACAAGATCATCAAGGCCGTCAGCAACCCCGTCCACCGCCTGCTCAACCCCTCGTGCTACCCCGGCGAGGAGATCCGCTACTGCCACGCCGGCACCGACGACGGCACCGTCGAGGACTGCGAGCAGCTCCTGCTCGGATCGGCCATCATGGGCCTGACCAAGGCGAGACTCTGGCCCGCTCCCGAGCCCGCCAAGATCAAGGTCAGCGCCGTCGAGCTCGCGAGAGCCTACAGCGAGGTCCGCATCCGCCGCTACCAGACCCCCGGCCTGCGCTTCAGGGACAGCCAGCCCGACGGCGCGCCCGTCGAGGACCTCCACGCCAAGTGCGGCTTCGGCCACCGCGAGGCGCTCGAGAAGATCCTCAACACGCCCGCCAAGGTCGGTTCCGGTGTCGTCAGCCAGCTGATCACCCGGGCCAAGAAGTCTGGCGCCTTCGGCGAGGATCTCTTCTCCGACCTGAAGGAGTATGTTCAGGATGATGGCGTTGCTGTTGAGGGCGAGGACCTGAAGACGGACCCCGTCCACTACAAGCAGGTCCGCGACAGGACTAACGGCGTCCTTGCCAGCAAGGTTCCGGCTGATGGTAAGCTTTCTCCCGCCGAACAAGCTCTCGCAGTGTAGCATCCGTTCTAACAGCGCTTAGATGATGACGAGGAGGATGACGAGGATACCTCCAGCTCCGACAGCGATGATGAGTAAACGATGATTAGAATGCTGGGTTTACGGATGTTAAGCGTTATGGAAATGTGTTTCGTTTGTTCCTGATGGTTTATGGCTTGCAATGTTCTCGTTTGTATATGATGGCTCTCAACATGATTCATTATGATCAATACCCTTAGATTGTCTCTAGATCTTATGTCATCTGTTGCATGATCATGACACCGTGTTCACGCCGCTCTTGACCATTGATGTAATGCGTGAGCTGTGATCCTGGTGGTCCCTCACCGTCTCGTGTGCAGTTCGACGCGAAGGCATTCTGGGATCCTTATCACTGCGCCCCGTCAGGTTGAACACTACTATTCTTCTCGAGACGTAATTTCGAACATGACCAAATCATCTCTGACTTTGTCATTTCTGCATGTTTAAAACTTCTATGGGAGTGTTGTGATCTTTAGCACCACTTGACGAAAACTGGGCATAATGCCAATCCGCTTTTCTCCCGCTTCTCACGATATCTTGTCACGATTGCAATGATTGCCGCATCTGCCACCTGTTGGCAATCTGTTGTCTTGGCTTGTCTGAATTCCTGTTATTTTCCTCGAGTGAAGCGACGAGTAAAGCGAATAGGGAAGCTTCCGGGAAAATGTCCCTCGGAACATGCACGTCATCAGATCACACGATGCCCTCAAAGTTACGCGCCAGATTGCACACGAACACCAAAGCAGGTTCGCTCGCAATTTTCGTCACATGATGACCGGTCCCACGAACTTGCCCCTCCAGTTCAACAAGCCATACGTTCTCACGATCAACACGTAGGAGTTCGTGCCTTTCCGTCAAGCCCACGATGCGGATGGGGCGTGATGGACAAAGCGAGGCATTGCAGCATGCGTTCGTCGGCGATTTCAGAGCACAATTCCCGACCCCTGCGATCCTCGTGACGATGATGGAGACAGAGACCCTCCATTTTCTTGAACCATCCTGAACCATCACGAACATTCACGACCTCTCTTACCGCAACTTGCTTTGAACGGTGAGCAGTCTGCGGGCTATCTACCCGGCTTGGTACGCTTCCATTACGGCGACTCCATCGCCTCTTTCGGCAACTGAATAGATACAATCACTATTCAACATCTGAAGGTGAGGATCGTGCGGGGCAAGCAGAGTGAAGCTATAACTGAACAGTCCACCAATCCCGATGCAAACTCCACAGCCCTGCACATTGGCTTGGGCTTGTGGGCTGGGTGGGCGGGTGGGCTCTTCCCCTCCCCAGATCCATTTGCAGACCCATACAATTGGCGGAATCGTTGCTCATTTGCTGATGATGCTCTCCGCGTCGAACCTCAGAGGTCACACGTGTACTCGCATCAAGACCGTGTTAGTCCAATGAGGGACACCCGGAGTCGCGTCCAAAGTTACAAAGTACATTAACCTTGGCCTCAGTGAGCAATCCGGCGGAAACGATCTGCCACGTATGGTCTTCGTTTGGACTATTGCCTTTTGTACCAATGTTTCTGAAGCGTCTCGCCTTGTAGGCGTGATTGTATTGTAATGTTCTAGAATGCCTACTCCATAATCTTGTGCTGGTGTTTTCCTATCAACACGTCCTCTTTGAGGATACAGGCGGGGGAGGCCTCAATCTGAACATGCAGCTAGGGTCTTGCCAATGGAAGGAAACTTCCGGTGAGAACCACCTGCGGTTACCGATTCTAGCCTCGATGTGTTGTGAGTTAATCGTGTGTTTTCACAGTAATGCTTGTTCAAGCTGGCAATGACACTATGACTGAATCATGCGCTTACAGAACCCCGCGCGGCTATTATCGAGTTCAAGACCACTTTGACTGCTTCATCGTCCCATTGAAGACACGACAGCATGAAGATTCCGTGGAGTACGTTTCGTTTGCAGATTCGGTAGAGGTATCGGGCATCGGTGTTACTTTAACATCGATACACTCTTCTGTCCAACCACTCGCCTTTCGCCTCTTCGCCTCTTCGCCTCATTCCTCATGTCCACGCAAACATGTCCCAAACGTTCTAGACGTGCTTTTAGGCTGTTCAATGTGTACGTACCAAGCCTAGACTCTGCATGAAGTCAGTTCAAATGTAACGTATGGAGGCTTGCCAAAGGTTGAACATGGATTGGTTTACGTCAAGAAGGTGAATAAAAGGTCGTTTTGTGGTCTGTAGATAAAATTGTGCCGAATAATCATGAGATATACCAGCAGCAACATCGTCGTTTGGGATGAAAATCAGCATGGCAGGTGGGCAGAAAGGAGGTGCCGCCACGGGGAATTTAATTACAATTTCCGGACATTTTGCAACTCTCACGAGCAGACGTTCACGGTGTTTTGCTTTTGGTACGTCACCAGGCATACTCCGTACATGCACATACAATGCATGCAGCCTACGGGTTGTCACACAGCAACACTACTCGACCGCCTCATTTTCTGACTGGACGGACGAAAAGGGGCCGCTGCAGGCCTGCATAATCCTCCCGACCATCCAGCCACGACAGCCGCAGCAAACACGCCTCAGCGTGAAATGCGGGCCATTCGTTTTCAGTAGGTCGATAGCTGCGCGATTGAGCCTCAGGTGCGTGGCAGATGCAGATTGTTCCGTTTGCTCCAATGTATCATTTCGCTTCAAGTTTACTCAGCAACACACACTTTTCGCGTAGACCTTCTAGATTTAGTGTCATATAAACAACAGCATGCAAGGAGTCGAAGAAGGGGTTCTAGATGAGATTCTGGTGATACTCGAGCGCAGTACGTCCGTATGCATGTCGTCGGACCCGGGAAGATGGAAGTCGCGCTTCCTTGTTATCGTCAAGGATACCCAGAGTACGCACGAACAGTCGGTCTCCACCGCAAACCCCTCCCAGAACATCTAGACTCGAACGCGGGATTGAGGAGACACGGCGCATCCGACAGGGCATGCGTACCGCCACTTGGGTCTCATAACCGGCCAATGAAGCAAAAGTGGTGGATCGATACCCGTCGAAGAGGAAAGGCGGGATGCGAAAGCCACCGTCTATTCGCGAGCATCGATCTGATAAGCCGGGCATCAGGATACAGTCAGACCAGCGGATGGCGAGAGTCATTCTGTTGCTCCCATATTGGCAGTCATCAGCAGACAAAGACAGTGAAAGTTTCCGATTTGGCCGGCAAGAAGCTTTTCACGAATCATGAAATAGACACACTTTCCCTTCATCTCGTCGACACAAACCAAGGCAAAGTAGAGCAGCAGAGCGGCCGGGGTCCATGGCTCGGCCCGCACAACAGACGAATCAACAGACACCACGTCCAAGTCCAGACCCCCCGGTCGCCTCCGGGAGCTTGCAGGTTGCAGTGAAATGGCCGCCAACGTCCAATGCCGTGCGATCTTCTAGACAGATCCTTGTCCATTTCGTCCCAACTGTCCCAACCTGGCCCGAGCAAAGCAAAAGGAACGATGCCCAACCCACTATCGCAACACGCCATGCGCACAAAAACTGGGAAAAAATAGAATCAGGCCTGTCGAATTCAATTCCGCCCGTTTGCCTCGTAAAATCGACTGGCTGATATGCCTGGTTCCCCCAAATTCCTGACTCATCTTAGCGCGAGGAGCCTGGGTGATACGCTTTCCTTTTCCCTTGTGGCCCGTTCAACCCCTGCAAAATAGGGCTTCCGGCGCGTTTGGCCCTCGAAAGAGGAAGCCAAAACAGAGACAAACGGCTGTAGACAGTCGTTGCTGAAGAGATGACTCTGTAAACGTGGAAAACAGGAGGCAGAGCAAAAAGTTGTGACAAACAGCGGCTTAGCAAAGCCAAAAGATAGGCTGCTGCGCCGGGAGAAGAAGAGACGGTCCAGCAACAGGAGACTTACACATGTTCCCGTTTCGCCACTTGGGAGATATTGCACAGTTGTATCCGGAGCTCGACTCTCTTGATTGACCAGGCTTAGTTGCCCAAACCCTTGGTTGGCCCCCCCCCTGGCCTCCCGCATTTTGGGCCCCCGGCAGGGCGGGACGTGACAATGGATACCAGACTGGGGCCCGATAGTCGATGGGGGCGGTCCTAGAACCCTGGAAAGTGTGGTTTGCTCCTCCTGACAGCCAGACTGCCCAATCAGCCCAAGGTATCCTTGCTCGGGGTCGAGCAAGTGACGACGTTGCGTTTGCAGTTTGGACGCCGTCTTGTGTCCCGGATGTACGCTGGGCTTTCCCGTCAAACGGCTCTCGAACAGAACCGTGGAGGCACACGTCGGGTCCGCCCTGGGCCACGCCTCACCCCTGGGCGTTGGCCCGAAGGGCTTGTCCATGCCGTGTCTCGAAAGCTCGAGGGCTTCCCGAGGTTGGTCGGTGTATGTGCCCTATTGGACGGGGCTAAGCGCGTTGGGGCTGGCCACGGATGAAGGCGGGCAGTGTCGAATATCATTTCTGCCGGTTGGGCTGGTGTTGTACGTAGATCGCCCTCCCTGCCTCTCCCCTTTTCTTCCCTCCCACAACAACACTCTCTGGATACTTCGACAAAAACGACTTGCCTGCTGCATCCAGACTCTCACCCGATCTCATCATTCTTCTGATTGTAGATCCGCAGACCCGATATGCAACTTTACCCCTCATCAACTTACCGATACACTTTCAATGTCACCCGCAGATTCCACCAGCCCCAGATCAGACGTCCAGCTTGGCACATAACTTGAGAAAACCACAGAACTATTATACCTTATCTTACCAGAGCCTCCGCTCCTGAATAAACTCCACCCATCATCTTCATTCATCACCAACTCCCATGGCGCCAACTCGTGACGCCGTGCCCAACAAGGGCCGCCCGGGCATCGCCCGCTTCGGCAAGCAAAGACGGCCCTCAGTCTCCGTGCCAGATGGCACATCTATTGAGATGATCGATATGTCTCACGCCAACATCTCCGACGTCTCACTCGTCGACCACTCTTCAGACAACAGGTCCGACCTGAGCACCAGCACATCCGGAAGCTGGAGACGCAAGACCCCCAGCGGCAAGCCTCTCCTGTTCAAGCCCCCTTCCCTCCGCTTCCGGGGTCGTCCTGAGATTGAACGACCATGGAGACGTTCCAACGACCAATCTTACCTATCCGGTGATGAGAGCCACGACTCCGACAACGAGTCAAAGTACAGCTTCGACACTCAGTCTACCGTCACCAACGCAACCAGTGTAGCCTCCTCCGACGAGGACTACTACCCCCCAAAGACCGACACCACCACCACCGCTCGCCCTAGGCCTTCCATCACCTTTGCCCCACTCCCTCAATCCATCTCTCAAGAGAAGCAAGTCGTGAAGAGAGCCTCAGCACCAGTTACCCCCGCTAAGCCAGCAAAGCTAAGGGGAGCTCGCATTGACATTGCCGCCCCTGTGAAGAAGACCCTGCACATTGAGATCAAGGCACCCCCTGCCCCTGCCGCCCTTCCCGCTCCCCCTTCTGTTCCCCGCATCACTCATGAAGAGCTTCGCGAGCGTGAGAGAGTTGAGGAGGACCTCCTCAAGGAGATCTCACGCATGAGAGATGAGACCAAGAGCCTTCTCGGCAGACAGTCCGCCACCGACAGGAGACTAGAGGATGCCCTTGACCGACTTGACATACTTCACTCCGATAAGGAGAGGGCAGAGAGACAGCGCAATGAGGCTCTTGAAAGCCTGAAGACACTATCTGCCGACAAGGGCATGATCGAGAAGCTGCACAGGGATGAGCAAAAGCTCAACGACAGAATTACACGCGACTTGACGAGAATTACTAGCGACTTGGAGGTGCAACTTCAGCTTCTCGATGACGCCAACAACCTCCTTCACGAACATGAAATGAACCTCGAGGGAGTTAGGAAGGAGCGCGATGAGCTCCGCGACGTCGCGGCTGAGTTGGAAGCCAAATCAACCGAGCTGGAAGCCAAGACAAGCAAACTTGGATCCAAGTCAAACGAGCTCGCCGCCAGGTTCACTGAGCTCGAATCCAAGTCCACTGAGCTCGAGCAAACTCTCGCCTCTGAGAGAGACGCCAAGAACAACATCTCTTCCAAGTACGCCACTCTCGAGAATGACTTTGCAGAGCAGAAGAAGGAGAGAGAGCATTTCGAAGCTCGCTGCTCCAATCTCGAGAAGGATCTCGGTGATCTCGGCGCTGTCACCAAGGAGACTGAGCGCGCTCTCATTGAGAGAATCGCTGCCGCTGAGTTGACCAGAGACGCCCTCAGGATTCGCGTCGCCAGCCTTGAGACCGACCTTATCAAGAGGGGCACTGAACTCGGCGACGTCACTTCTGAGCGCGACCTCCTGCGCATGGAGCTCGACAGATATAAGCCTCAAGTCGACTCGCTTCTCAAGGAGAGCGGAGGCCTCACCGAGGCCAACAAGAACCTGCAGATTCGCATCGATGAACTCGATGAGCAGAAGAAGGGACTTGAAGCCAGCGTCGAACAGCTCGAGACCGAGAAGAAGGGTATCCAGGAGCGCTTTGACGCCATCGAGGTTGAAAAGCAAGAGATCGTGGTCAGGTTCACTGAGCTTGAGACTGCCAACACCGATCTCCAGACCCGCTTCGAAAGCCTTGAGATCACCAAGGGTGAGCTCGAGATTGGCAAGGCGGAGCTTGACACCCGGGTCAAGGACCTTGAGGGTGTACAGGCCAAGTATGACAAGCTCCAGACGCGCATCGATACCATGAAGGAGCGCAACACCACGCTGAAGGAACAGGTTCAGGGCCTCCTCAGTGACCAGGATGACCATACCTCTCAAATCCTCCGTCTCTGGGATGAAAGAGTCGGCCTTCAGTCAGAGATTGGGTCTCTTAAGGACGAAAACGCTTCCCTGGCCGGAGAGAATGCATCACTGATTGACGAAAACGCTTCCCTGGCTGGAGAAAACGCGTCGCTGATTGACGAGAACGCCTCATTGAAGGACGAGAACGAGTCCGTCACCAGCGAGCTCCGCCGTGCAGAGTCTCTCATGGGCTCTGCTGCTCCATCCATCGCTCCTTCAGTCATTTCCGAGAGCGATGCTGGCAGCGATGCCGGTACCGTCAAGGCCGACGATGATGCTGCCCCCGCGCCACCTGCCCCCGAGGATGCGCCGCCGGCGCCGCCTGTTGAGGAGGTCATCATTGTCGAAGAAGAGGTCAAGGACGACGCCAAGTCTGTGGCTCCGTCTCAGGTCGACAAGGCGATGCCCGAGGTTGAAGCTGAGCCCGTTCCCGCCCCCTCACCGGAGGCCGAGGCTGAGCCGGCTGCTGAGAAGGCCGATTCCGTTGCCTCCTCTGCCCCCGAACCCGCCGTCATGGAGGAGCTCCGTCAGAACATTGCCGAACTCCAGACGCGCAACGACCAGCTTCAAGAAGAGACAGTCAAGCTTGGCTCCCTCACCGCCGAGAGAGACGAGCTCGCTGCCCGCGTCGCCAACCTCGAGCCCCTCACCGCTGAGAGAAACGATCTCGCTGCCCGGGTTGCCAACCTTGAGCCCCAGAGAGATGGCTTGAACGCTCGCATCGCCGAGCTTGAGCCGGAGGCAAACCAAGCTCCTGTGCTCCGCCAAGAGAACCTGTCGCTGACGGCTCAGCTTGGCGCGGTCAACGCTCAGCTTGATGGTCTTCGCGCAACATACGAGGCTACTGTGGCCGAGGTCGTCGGCCTGCAGCAACAGATTAAGTCGCTGCGCGGGCGCGTGGCCTCGCCGTCCGGGGAGTCCAAGAAGTCGTCGTCGCGCACCAAGACAAAGGACAACGACAAGAAGAAGGAACAGCTTGTCGTTATCCGTGATCCCAACGAACGTGGCAGGATGTAAGTTATTCTCCCCTCTTTTCTATCTTGAAGAATGCCAGGACATGATGCTAACTTTCGTCTTCAGTCAAGTCATTCGTCGAAGCGACTTGCGCGCGATGCGATCCTCGTCCCAGTCGGAGGGTGACAAGAGCGATTAAACCAGTCGCAAACAATTATATCATCAGGTATATGGTGCAAGGATATACACATATGTAGTGATAGGGGTTTACGGTAGCCGCATGGCGACGATTGAATGATTATGGTAGCGTTTCCTTTGTTTCTTTTCATTTGTTCGGTAGCAGCGTGGGGCAATATTGGCCACCATCACGAGTTCTTTCATTCACATATTTCCTTTGTCACGGCTGGGTACGGGAATGGAACGGATCGGAACGGACTAGACATGTAACGGATTGCATGGACGGACTTGGGTCAGATGGGTGCTCTCGGGAGCGCATAAAAACATGCATCGTGTAGATTTCGTGTGCCGTGTAGCAAATAGTTCTAGATAGCGTCAGCTCCTGTTGTAATTCCTATTACCATATTATCAACCGTTTGCCTCCGTCGCGCCTCGACCTCTCCTTCGGAAACCTCGGGCTTGGTCTAGGCCACTTGACGAGGCGATTCTCGTTTGACAACGTGAGCCGCCACCAAGTGGCTTGCCTCTTACCCGGATATGTGAGCGCCGTGGCGTTTGTCGATTTGAGTGAGCGCAAGCCAGGGGCAAACTCGAACCAATCGAGAGGATCGGTCTTGTGGTGCGGGAACTAAGCAGCTCGCGTGGCCGCCAGTGGAAGTTGAAGCCCAATAGTTCGCGACATGTGGCTGATCAATGCTCTCCTTATTTTCCAGGAGTTAATTTCTCAGACTTCCCATGGGCTGACAACCACTCGTTCATTAGATCAACCACAACCAGGCCACTTTGTTGAAACCGTGGACGGAGAGATCTGCCCCCGTCTCAAACGAGCCAAGCTTTCTCACCCGTCCGTCCCGGCTAACCAACACTTCGCCGGTAGCGCCATCTCATCGTCCGCATCGGGTAGCGTAATGTAAAACCAACCCCTTGGGAATTGCGTGAATACCCTCAGCGGCGTTGAACCCGGGGGCGTCCCATAGTCTTGGCACCCCAGATAATAGTCGTATCGACGATGGCATTCTGTAGAGACTGTCTTCGGACGGTTCTCGCCCCAACAAAGCCCAGTGTATGATATCAGGAAATTCCCAGAACCCGGGTTGCCTCCAGGTAATGTCTCCAGGTGGACGGACTCGGCATTCAGGTCGTTTGCGGATTCCTGTCTGGGCTGCCATGCAACTGCCCCTCAACGAGCTAACATTCCCATGCTCCGCCCCAGGAACCAAGAAGCTGAAGAATTGAAAAAAACACCCCGATTGGATGGCGTGATGTCTCAGTCACGGATGTGGTTTGGCTTGTGGCTGCAAGCAACAACGACACATTCCTATGTGGGCCTATGATACGAGAACGGGCTCTGTCTCGGTCAACCCGCTAGGAACGTAGCGTATTCCCACTGATCCACGAGTCTAATTCATGGCGTTCTGTCCAAGTATATGAGGGGCGAGTCTCTCGCACCCCATCACCATGTTTCCTTTCCTCTTCAGCGCATTCAACTCATCCGACTCACTCACTTCAACCGAACAAGCCTATTCACTCGTTGTCGATCAACCGTCTCTCACTTGAACAACTTTCAACCCTTCAACTCAAGTCCCCCCGACAATCTTTCCAACGTTCAAAATGAAGTTCTCCGCCGCCACCATCCTCGCCGTTGTCGGCCTCGTTGCTGCTCAGCTCGACGGTATCCCCTCGTGTGCCGTCACTTGCTTGAACAACGCCGTCACTTCCACCGGCAAGTGCCAGGCCGGTGACGTGGCCTGCTTGTGCAGCCCTGCCAACTACCAGGCCATCGTCACCGCCGGTACCCCCTGCGTCCTGGCCTCTTGCGGTGCCGAGGTCGCTGCCAGTAGGTCTTCCCGAGTAATATATCGTGTCAAGGAGTGATGCTAACTATTCCCCTAGACCAGGTTCTGCCTGCCGCTGGCAAGATCTGCGCCGCCGTTGCTGGCGGTGGTGGCCCTGCCTCCTCTGCCGCCGCCGTCCCTGCCGTCTCTTCCGCCGTTGCCTCCGTCTCCTCCGCTGTCGTCGCCTCCGTCTCGAGCCGCGTCGCTTCTGCCTCCAGCAGAGCCGCCTCCATCACCAGCAGAATCTCTCAGGCCAGCGCCTCCGCTTCCGCCACCAGGACCGTTGTTGTTACCAGCGCCGTCACCAGCCGCAACGGCACCTCCACCGCCACCTCCACCGTCGCTCCCGTCACTGTCAACGGTGCCAACGTCCAGGGCCCCGTTGGTGTCCTCGCCATGCTGGCTGTTGGTGCCCTTGCTGCCCTGTAAGCAGTTCATGGCAGCAACGTGTCATTCGCCTCTTGAGGGCGCGGCTTAGAAGCACTTGATTGTGCTTGAGCCCAGTATGGTGTAGCTGGAGTAAAAGCATGGTAATTGGGATCTAGAGGAGGATAGATAGAAACCTTAATAATCAATCATCACTTGATACCTTGGTGCTTTGTGTCAACTCAACGTGATAGTGCAAGAATGATGTATCTTGATGTCTCTATGTAGCGGGTACTTGAATGCGCCATCCGGATTACCCTATCCCCTCGAAGCCCATGATGATGTGCTCAATCAATCTCTGAACTCCCTGATTGTATTTTCGTCCCAACTGTGCTCCTTGCGCACTTCCAATCGCACTCAATTCCAGTCGCTGGTTTGCTTGTCTTCCTGCAAGGGCAAGTCGTTATCCTAGCCACTGATGTCCTGGGCGATGCAAGCTCATGCAAGCTCACGGCGCCTCCTGTCTGGACTTGGCCTGCGCCTCCTCATCGGTGATTCCAGGCGTCTCCTTCTTATAATGCGTATTGATAAGGTGCAGCCTCACCGTGTCGTTCCTGGAAAAGCCTTTGTTGCAATGCACACACACAAGGGTGTGAGCTCTTCCTCTTCCAGAAGGTCTGCGTGAGGTGTTCTGATGTGTGGCGGTGCGTGTGTTGGCATTGATACTCAGATCTGTGTCGGCCCCTCCTTCTTTCTCAGTAGAAGTTTGAGTCATGAGATTCTGCGCCTGGCTGGAAGAGCCGGAGGTGACGACATTGGATGTTGAATCGCGTGGGCCATCCGGCAGGGGAGTCCTGAGTTGTCTGATAGCACTTTTCAACGCTTCGTCGTGAAGGACAGTAGGACCAATGTTGGCTGTTGTGAGGTCTCTCGCGCGAACGACCCGGCCATCAGCGAGTAGAATCACAGCGCTTAAAATGTTAGCACCAATCAATATAGAATGTGGTTTGGTCAAATACTTTTTGAAAGGGTCCGCCATTGTGCGTCTGGCCTGGATTAGTCTTTGGTGTTGAGTAGACTGCAAGTGAGGTTGGTGAAGGGTTGAAGGAGAAGGTTGAGAAAGAAGTGAGAAAGGAAACAAGGAAGTGAAAAGTTTTGAAGCAGGTTCTGTGTGCGCGTGGAAGGAAGGCCTGGTTGAGCCTTTGGCGTTGGGTGGATTGTAAGTGAGGTTGGTGAAGGGTTGAAGGAGAAGGTTGAGAAAGAAGTGAGAAAGGAAACAAGGAAGTGAAAAGTTTTCAAGCAGGTTCTGTGTGCGCGCAGAAGGAAAGACCGTTTCAAGAAGGGAGCGCCTGCCTCAAGCTGTGAAGTTATTGTATGTTGGCTACTGAACTTTTGTCAGTGAGAGAGTGAAAGGCGGGAATATTATGTTAAACAGGGTAAGGAGAGATGACCGAAAGTGAAATTCAGCTTAATTCTCATAGCAAATGAGCCCTTCTCTGTTTAGTATATATTTAAAACTGGGAATCAAATATTTTATGAAACCAGTGATACGAGACTTAAGGCAGAGCATTACCCACAAGTCTACATAATTAATGTCCAATGGTTACTAATTCATTCGAATTTTACTTAGCTAACATCCACATTGCACATACCGTTTCCAACGCTTCCTCTCTCCATCGACCCCTACGCGATGTTCCTTCTCAGGTGAAGCTGGCCTAACAGACAGTGAAGTCTTGGCTAATATGTGAGGAGTGGCTATTGAATATGTCTGAAAACGCCGTTGGATAGCTGCGATTGCTCGTGGATCGGCCCAAGGCATGGTGGAAGTGTGAACAATAATTGCTGATATTGGAAACTTGGGTCTAACACCAAGTTTGAAAAGCACTTGGGATGTTTATTCTTTCAAGAATGAAAATGCGCAGTCAATACAATGCACTTCTTGATTTTAATTACATTGAAGTACTCGATCGCACTGTGATCTTCGTGGTCTTATTCGCCTTACGTGGTCTGATCGCATCACCGACATTGCCCATGTTGTTTGATTTACTTTCCTGGCTTTCTTATCACAACGCTTGGTCAAGATCACCAGACACCTCAACCTCAGACTCCCCAAGACAACAACTTGGCTCAGTGTCGTTGCTGGGCGAGACGCGTGCATGCAAGGTACGTACCTGGGCACTCCAACGCGTCATCGCCATTCTCCCGGATGCATTTTCCATCATCCAAGACTTCGTCCCCTCACCATCATCCGACAGACGGACCATCAAAATCCATGTTGGGCGATACTTCCAACATGCCGTCGAAACCCCGGCAGGGAGCACAGCTAGTTCGCTGTAGTCACCAATCATTTACCGCGCGAGCAGGGGTTGTAGCTTGGGGTAAGGGGTAAGCGATGCTGATACGGCGGACCCCGCAGCTTCGTGCGACGCGCAGTTCGATCGAGCTCACCTCCGACCCTTGCGATAGCTATGCGACCAGCCTGCGGAGAAGCGTCGGCCTTGACTCGGTGTCAACGCCGTGTTGCAATCTACACGGCCTCTGATAGCTGATGTGCCCGTTCGTCGGAGAGAGAGCTATCAGGGGTCGAAGGATGTGCCCATTGGTCAATCAGAGCTAGCTCTGAGCTTCGAGGTCCCGAAAACTTCCCATGATCGTACCGAGGATCTTCGCGTCTTGGCTTTATTCTATGGGTATAAAAGCCATTGCTGCAGAATATTGGTTTGGAGTTACGTGCCAGACAAGTCAATGTTTCTTCTGCTGAGCAGCCTTTTGACCTTCCTACCTCACGCCCATCATGCATCTCCCGCTCCTCTCCGGAGCTGTCCTGGGTCTCATCGCCCCTACCCTCGCGATTCCCGTCCAAGACAGTCCTCGCCAGCGTCTTCTCGACGGAAAGGGTCTCCCTTCCAAATACCGGTCCAGCGCGCCTCCTTACACGCCCGGTCATAAGGACAAGTACGACGGTCCTGTTGACTCCGTTGGAGATGAGCTTGATCCCTTGCCCTACCGCAATGGACTCGGTGCTTCGGTCCTTGGACCATGGAACGAGGCTCGCTCCAGACAAAACCCCGATCTCGTTCGACCTCCCAGCACCGATCATGGCAATCTGGCCAACATGCGCTGGAGCTTCGCTGACTCCCACATTCGGATTGAGGTTTGTGCCCCATATTGCGATGTGCCACAGACGCGATTTGTACAGCACTGACATACACCCTAGGAAGGCGGCTGGACCCGACAGACTACAGTTCGCGAGCTATCCACGAGCGTCGAGTTGGCCGGCGTCAACATGCGATTGGACGAGGGCGTGATTCGTGAGCTTCACTGGCACAAGGAGGCTGAGTGGGCCTACGTTCTCGACGGCAGCGTTCGTGTCACCGCGATCGACTACGAGGGAGGCAATTTCATTGATGATTTGAACAAGGGTGACCTTTGGTAAGACGCAGCCAACAAACAAAGCCCAGTCTGCTTGACAGGAACATAACTGACCCAAAACATCCAGGTATTTCCCATCTGGTGTTCCTCACTCCCTTCAAGGTCTCGGCGAGAACGGCACCGAGTTCCTGTTGATTTTCGATGATGGAAGCTTTTCTGAGGAGTCTACTTTCATCTTGACGGACTGGCTTGGTACGACACCGTTCAATACAATTATTTGAGCAAATACTAACCGTACAAAAGCCCACACCCCTCGCTCCGTTATCTCGAAGAACTTCAACTTGGCCCCAGAAATTTTCGCTCACATCCCTGAGGGTGAAAAATACATTTTCCAGGGAACTACTCCCGGCTCGATCGGCCACGAGGCCCCCAACGGAAAGGGCGTCAAGAAGTCAAAGCACCAGTTCACTCACAAAATGCTTGCTCAGGAACCGAAGAAGACGTCTGGTGGACAGGTCAGAATTACGGACTCGAACAACTTCCCGATTTCAAAAACCGTCGCCGCCGCACACGCTATCATTGAACCCGGTGCCCTCCGAGAAATGCACTGGCACCCTAACGCCGATGAATGGTCCTTCTTTATCAAGGGACGTGCCCGAGTTACGATTTTTGCTTCTGAAGGAAACGCGAGAACTTTTGATTATGTTCCCGGCGATGTCGGTATTGTCCCTAAGAACATGGGCCACTTCGTCGAGAACATCGGCGACGAACCCCTCGAAATGCTCGAAATCTTCCGCGCCGACGAATTCAGAGACTTTTCACTATTCCAGTGGATGGGAGAGACACCCAAGAAGATGGTCATCGACCACCTCTTCGCCGAAGACCCCGAAAACGGCGAGAAATTCTGGGAAAAGGTCCGCAGTGCCGAGAAGGATGAAATCACTCTGCCTGATGCTCTGGAGAAGGAAACCGATGGCACTCAGACCGACGAACTTTGAGGGAGCACTGCCACAATGGAAGTCCGGAACCCGGGAAACATGACAGCTTGGCTTTGAAGCCTGTGCTTTGGAGTTTCGTTTCGTTATCGACGATGAAACATTTGCAGCAAAAAAGTCATTGCAAAGTCTACAATAGTTGCTGATCGCTCAATAATACCATTTCATTATTCTTGGCAACTTAGTCCATGATGCCTACAATTTCGGTCTGGCCGTTTTGTTCCATTCAGCCGAAACCAGAAATCCCATCCTTTTTTGCGTTTTCAGCCGAAGAGCGAGAGTCTCTAAAATCAACTCAACAAACTTCCGTCATGAGATGGGCATACTCGGGGTATCCGTGCTCTCTGGTGACTCTGGTCCCATCTTTCGTCCAAACACTACGGGTTACTCAGTTGCCGCTGCCAAGCCTAGACTTTGTATCACCATTCAGTCAGCCGCGCATAGATCGCCTCCTTCGCTTCTCGAACTAGAAGCAGAACACGTATACACTAGCGGTCTATCAACAATAACGCTCTGTCTGACCAGTCAAGACCCCAAATACTCTTGCCGACAGGTCTCCGAAGGATACCCGTGGCAAATACTTGTTTGCCGTACTTCGAATAGATCTAATCTAGGAGAAAGAGGGGTCATGTTCGTGATCACTACCTCGGTGTGGTTGAACAGGACTACCATAGGCTATCGCCCTTGCTGGGCTCCTTCACACCCCCCGCGACCCGCGGCCAGGCTCACCTCGCCAGGATCATTACCCCTCGCGCCCATGTCCTTGGGGCTTATCACCGGAGAGGTGTGAGCAGGAGGCGGAAAAGGCAGAAGGATCAAGAAGGTGGTGACTCTGTCGAACAGGGAGGCGCAAGGACGAACCCCGCACGATGGGAGGGACGCCGCCAAAGGTGAACACCATCACCACCGGGCCAATAGTTCCGTTTCAGTGGGAACGGGGGATGCGCGCGCCGGAGCTGACAAGAGCAAGCTGCACGGCCAGACCCAGGCGAAAGGACGTCTTCGTCCAATCTTTTTCCGCAGCGGCAGAGGCGTGGGCGCTCTTGGATGGGTGAGAAGGATTCAAGGTTGCGCGGGCGATGGACACCCATTCCTATTCTTGGAAGTTGGAGATGGGAAGAGGGGTAAAATGTGAATGGAACCGAGTGTGCTAAAAATGATGACAGCGGTTGGAGAATGTTTCTATGGATGGTTTAAGCAGCCAGCAGTAGCAGGCCAGCGACAAGACAAGCCCCTGGCAGACTTGAGCATGGAAACCGAATGCCATCCCATCGAGGTTCGCATCCCACCCTCATTCGTCGTCGGTCTGCGCAAGCATACGCTGCTATTACCGAGGAGCCAGTCAACGGCGGCCTTTTTACAACAGACGAGTGCTGCAAGAACCCTGGTCGGTGTGACCGCTGCATCTTGATCGAACAGACGTACCGTACTCCGTACACAGACAGTGGTAACATCCATGACTAGGGATGGCGCATATGTAGAAACTCACGGCTCTTGTTGCTTCCCCATCCCATCATGGCCCACAACCCGTTCTCGCCGAATCGCCCTCGTTAATCGCAGGCGGGTAGACTGCCATTTTGTGCCATTTCCTGCGTAGTAGCGCTGGCTCGATGCTGCCCAACCCCGGTCGGCGCCGGACACGATCCCGGTCATCCATGGCCGGAACACGGCACCTGATTCGCGGGCTTGGCATGCCACCTTTTGCCGGGGAAATCAAAAGCTTGTCCCGTCGTATCGAAGACAAGGCCTCGCTCCACTGGACAGGGAACTTCGGGAGGGTGTGAAGAGCCCGGTGGAGACCGCTTCCCACCGGCACACGACATCGTGCCTCGTCATTGCGCTCGTTAAGTCTGTTCCTCCAGCGAGCGAGCCAGGCCCCTTGCTAGCAACCGATGGCCGTGACGGGAGCGCTATTGGACGGGTATGTACCCCGCGTCTTGGCCCATAGTTACGCGGCGGGAGGGGACTTGGTAGTGAGAATGAACGACGTGGGATTGCGCCCGCGTCAGACTAACGTGCGGTACATGTACGGCGGGCGTCAAGGAGGGAGGTCAGTCAGTACTCAGCAGAAGAAGAGGAACAAGAAGGGCGAATAGGCAGGCTGCGAGCACGCTGCCGTTTTGGGATGGTTACAAAAGCACCTTTTTTCGCTGACCGACGTCAAGCAGGCCCCATATTGCTGCTTACTATCTGACCGTACTATGGAGACTTTGCCTTACATAGAAGCTCAACGGTGCATTTGCAGATGACGAACACCGGACCCAGTCTACGTGGGCTAAGGAGAGGACAAGAGAGAGCCAAGTGGACGCTTGTCTTAGGACTGAGAGCCTGTTATCTCTTCTCGCCAATCCCGAAGAGGAAATTCGATATGGTAGCCGCCAAGAGCACCTTGGGAACCTATGCATGCAACCCAAGACCTACTACGCAGTATGGGGGTCATCCGAGGCGTCGAGAAAGAGCTTGGCTTGAAACAATTTGGGGACTTTGGGTTACCAGCGAGCCCCTCGGCTTTTTCTTCTATGGGACCTTCGCACCCTTCGTTCTCTCGTTCTCTCTTCCCAAGGTGGTCGCGCGGTGGCGGGCCTCTGTCTGCGACACTACCTAATACTCGCACAGATTTGCGCTGTGCGACCGCCAAGACCGCCCATCGGTGCTTTGAAATTTGCAGAAACCACGAGGAAGCCAAGAGAATGGACTTGGCGGTTGTCTTAGCATTGCGGCTCTGGCACGCCAAGGATGGTGAATTCTGCCCATAGAGAGTTTAATGACTACAGATGCTTGGATGGACATTGGAATAAACATGGGATGCTCAAGGTTTCCTGGTCTTTGAACATGGTGAATGAGGGGCCACGGCTGGCCATCTCAGCTGACGTGCTCTCCAACTCCAACTCCAATGTCCTCGCCCTGCTGCGCCGTAATCATGTGTGTGTGCTATGAACGTACCGTCGCATACCTAGTCTCGTAGGTAGTAGACGTGCTTCTCTCAATCAGCATCGAGTTCCCTTACTCCAACTATGCCATCCAAAGATGTCCCTTCCCCGGCCGCATGTGATCTGCGATCCCGTTTTGTTCGCCACGCCCTTGCTCTCCCGCGCTCTACAGCCGTCCGGTGGGCTGCTAGTTTCAAATTGAGTTGGATAGACATACTACCTACCGCATACCACATTCAGTCCTCGGGCCTTATTTTTGGAGAAGAGACGGTCTTGGAGTTGCAGCACTTGTCACCCTTCCCAGGGGCTAGCTTGTTAACTTGACTGGTCTTCGTTCGCGGCGCGACTCCGCGCGAGGGGGGCATTACCACCGCACGAACGCCCATCCAGCCAAACTCCCACCAATGTGAACTGCTCGACGCTCAAATGACCAAGCCGTGATGAACTGCATTAGACCCGGTCACGTCGGCTAGTGAGGGGATCCCGAAAGTCGTCCGAAGGAGGGTACGGCAGTTTACTACGTTGTCGACGGTGATGTTGGTTGTACAGCCAGCCTCCATCCGTGATGTTTGTCGTAGCTCTGCGGCTGCTGCTGTATCTGGGATTGCTTGGCTCACGCCTCCCAAGGCCCTGACCCCTCACCTCCCAACCCTCCTTCACGGCTGCATGAGTGTTCACTGTGCGGCAGCGCAGGCGACTTCATCCCAGGTTGAGGTCGCGTTCTCATGTGGTCTGTGTTGCAACGGGAGGACTTGCGCAAGCGGGCAGCTGCAATGTGCGGATCAGATAGCAATGCATTCTCAAGCATAAAGAACACCTCCATCAGCATCACAGCGGGGCTGGATGGCTTGTTGTTATCTCTGCATTGTCAGAACATGAGTTGAAGAGGCCGGGAGTAGGGCCGACGACGATTGCACCATCATCTGTTATGAGAAGGATATAACCATCTCAACTGTTTGAAACCAACGTGTCTGTTCTCGAACGACCAAAGCAAACAGCTCAGACACCTCCTTCTCTTCTTTCTTTTCTGCTCCCGTTTTGGCAGACCTCGTTGTCAAGATGTTCAACTTCAAGGGAAAGATCGAACATGCTCAGGACGAGTTCGTGACGGACGCCAGCATCAGCCGGGCCCGCGACTTTGTTGTCTCAGGGGCACCCAAGCTGCCTTCCGCCGCGGGCGTCTACCTCCTCGAAAAGGTCCCAATCGTCCAGTGGCTGCCGAAATACCAGCCCAAATGGCTCATCACGGACTTCATCGCCGGTCTGACCGTCGGTGTGATGCTCATTCCGCAGTCTCTGGCCTACGCCAAGATTGCAACTATTCCCATCGCCAACGGTCTGTACTCAAGTTGGCTCCCAGCTGCCTTTGCGGTGATTATGGGAACCTCAAAAGGTCAGTTCATAGTGAAGAAATGGGACAGCATGTTTCATGGGGATTTTCTAACCTTGCCAAAACTTCAGATCTCTCAACCGGTCCAACCTCCATTTTGGGTCTCCTGACTGCGGAAATCGTACACGACCTCAGCGAAGAAGGCTTTGATATCACCAAGATTGCCACATCCGTCTCCCTCTTTGTCGGAGTCTACTCCCTCATCATTGGTCTCTTCGGCCTCGGTTTCCTCCTCGACTACGTCTCATTCCCGGTTCTCACAGGCTTCATCTCAGCCGCAGCTCTTGTCATTGCCTTTGGCCAGGTAGGCTCTCTCGTTGGACTGTCCAACGTGCCGTCAGGAGTTTTCAACGTCATTGGCGACGTTTTGAAGCGTCTTCCTGACTGGGATGGACCGACCTGCGGCGTTGGTCTCGGAACTCTCATCATCCTCATAGGTCTAGAGAAGGTCGGCAAGAAATGGGGCAAGAGGCACTTCGCCATCAAGCTCCTCGCCAACTCCCGTGCCGTCATCGTGCTCGTCATCTTCACGCTCATCAGCTACCTCGTCAACCGCGGCCGCGACAAGGCTGACTACGCCTGGAAGGTCAGCCAGGTTAGCACCCACGGCATCGCAAGACCCCATGTCCCTGAGTCAAGTCTTGTTGCGAAGGTGGCGACGAGAGCCGTGGCGCCCCTTGTGGCCAGCACTCTCGAGCACTTGGCCGTCGGCAAGGCTTTTGGCAGGAAGAACAACTACCAGATCGACCAGAGCCAGGAGTTGAACTATCTTGGTGTCGTCAACATCGCCAACAGCTTCTTCAGCACGATGCCCGTCGGTGGCGCCATGTCCCGTACCGCCGTCGCATCTGAGTGTGGTGTCAAGAGTCCCCTCAACGGACTGTTCACGGCTGGCTTCATCCTTCTGACTCTTTATGTCCTCTCCCCGGCTCTGTACTGGCTTCCTTCCACGACCCTGTCTGCCATTATTGTAGGTTTTTCTCGGACCAACAAAGACATACACAATACTGACAAAGCCCCCTTTTACAGATCATGGCTGTTGTCCATCTTTTCGGCCCCCTGTCACTCTTCTACCGCTTCTGGCGCATTTCCTTTGCCGATTTCGTCGCCTCCATGATTTCCTTCTGGGTCACCATCTTCGTCAGTGCCGAGATCGGCATCGGTGTCGCCGTCGCCTGGTCTGTTGCGTGGACAATGCTGCGTTCAACATTCGTCAAGCCCGTCATCCACTCCAGCTCCAACGAAATCACCACTTCCATCCCGCAGCCCATCACCCGCATCACTGCCAGCGGTCCCCGTCGCGGCAGCGCTCCCGCCACGGGCACCCAGACCGAGAACACGGGCATCTCAATCCCCGGCGACACCATCGTCGTGGACTTCAACGACGCCGTATTCTTCCCTAACGCCGAGCGCGCCAAGAACACGACTCTGACTGCGATCAAGCTGGTGTACCCCCGCGTCGAAAGCAGTCTCAGCCAAGACGACCGTGACAGGCATTGGAGCGTGGCGGCGGAGAAGCGGCTCGAGAGACTGCGCGCGCAGAAGCAGGTCCGCCTCAAAGAGACACCGCTTGCCGTTGTTGTATGGGACTTTACGATGGTGCCCTTCATCGACACCTCTGGTATTCTGACGCTGAAGGAATTGAAGGACGAGATTCGCGTGCACTCCGGCAAGAGTGTGCAGATTCGTATGGTGGGCATGTCGGACAAGGTTCGGAACCGGTTCTGGAGAGCGAAGTGGAACTTGGTTGATTTGGAGGAGTGGCGAGAGGAGGACGCCGACCTGGTGTACCCGTCCATGGAGTCGGCGATCTGGGATCGTGACAGCGAGTCGGGTGCTGATGCCTCAAGCGAGAAGAAGGGATAAAAGTCTGTGGCGGGAATACCGCGGTGGTTCGAGCAAAGGAAGGGCAATGAGCGATGATACGTATTTCCTAGTATGATGTTCAATAAGATACCTCTGTTCATTTCATCTGGCATCAACAGTCTTGTAGGAAAACACAGGATTGAATTCTCGATTGCTAAGGTCTCAGTAGCTCATGTGGACATTACACTGAAAAGGAATATCGATGCCTCCGGCGTATCATTTCAGTGACGGAATACGTGTCCGGTACTTGATTAAAGCTGGCCCTCAAAACCAAAAGAGCTTGACCTGAATAGCAGCAACAACGACAAGCAAAGCCAAGATCAATGCGCCGAACTTGTAGACCCTTGTGAAAGCCGCCTTTTCCCGCATCGTCATTTGGGTTTCCAGTTTGCCCATGCCGTCGTAAACTGTCTCGACATGGGTGCGCAAGAGACCGGTCAGTCCATGGAACTGCTTGTCCAGGCGATCGTTGAACAGATCCATCCGGGCCTCATTCACGGTGCTGGCGAGAGACAACTCCTTCTGGAAGCGACTATCGAGGGCCTTGATCACCTCAAGCTGAGTTGCGACGCTTCCCTCCAGCTTAGATTGACCTTGGCAAACATCTCCATAGCGACGGGCGAGAATCAACGCCTCCATTGCACGTTGGTTCGCAAGATCTTGGGCGTGGTCGACGTTACGGATGTGTCTGTCGAGGGTTTGAATATCTTTGATCATGCTGCGCTGTTTCTTGATCACGAGCTTCTGGATTTCGCGCATGTGTTTAACGTCGGTATCGGCAACGGTATTACCATCCAGGGTGTGATCGGGCGATATGGCAATCAGATCCGACTCCTTGAGTTTCATCAGTTTTCAGCAACGCGCAATATGGAAACAGCAGTACTAACCAATCCGGAGGGGGACGCAAGGCGAGGTCGGTTCTCTGGCGACATGGCTATCTGTTTCTTCACCCAGTCAGCAGGAGGAACCTACTGGTAAGTCACACTAGAAGTTCTCAAACGCAAATCTTGCCACACCCTGCATCCGTGATGTCGTCGCGTGTGCCTTCCAGTTCCCGACAAAGCGCACGAATCCCGAAGCCATGAGAGCCGGCGAAGCCATTCCATCCAGGGTCTCGCACCTGTTAGAGCTGTTGATTCCCTGACTGGGTATGACCACCGGACACATCCCAGACACACATTGAAGTGATTTGATCGAGACCGCCCCACAAGATCACCCCCCGAACGAGAGCATAGCGAATGACCTTCGGCTGGTTTAAGGTGCAACGAGACAAACGAACCATCCCGAGCCAGTAGTGGCTGAGGATCCCGACGCCATTGTCTGAAAAGAGAGCGTCTCTGAAGGACGATGCCCCGACTCACAGTTGAGTGGTTGACCGAGCCAAATGGTCCTGGCAATCGAGCATGCTCCAGAGCGGTATCTCAGGCCAAACCTCTCGACGACAATCGAGTCTTAGGGCTCAAAGTGGGACAGGCTAGGAAATGTGGAAAGAAGTGCAAGAAAAACGAGGCTGGGAATGGGCTTACCTAGCTGAAATTGCAACCCAGGATCTCTTCCAAGATCTCGTCGGGGACATCATCGCCGGGCTCCTTGATCATCTTGCACTGGCTCACTCCAGGAGATGACATGTTGTCGTGCTATTGCGAGAGGTCAGTAGGCTCGGATGACAAATGTGAAGGGGACTGAGGGGTGCGTACGGCGGATGGAAGACTTTGGAGATGGGTTGGCGGAAGTTGTAGGAAGAATGGAGAGTGGGAAAGACTGAGAGAGGCAAAGGTGGAAGAAGTAAGCAGGTGTCGGGAGAAGGGCAAGGGGAGGAGGGTTAGTATTGACCGACGCCCACGCACAAACGCAGACGAAAAAGAAAAAGAAAGGTCAAGTTGGAAACGAAGAGTCTCAAAAGTCCGAAGGTGAGAAAAGTGTGAAGTTTTTGAGTGCTGAGATTGGTGTGGGTGGGTAGTAAGAAGGCAGGAGCAGGAGCAGGAACTGGGCAGGAACGAACATGAGGAAGGTGAGAGGGGAGGAAGTTCGGCGCGCGGCTGGTTGACGCGACGCGAACCAGGGAGCAGAAAAATGAAGGACAAGTAAAAATCAAAATCCCGTAGGAAGAGAATCTGTTTCGCGGTATTTACCTCATCGCAATCTGAGAAGGTTGTCGGAAGGCGGGAAGCTCGAAATCGTGTACCACACCAAGCCCAGTGCGAGGCTTGGATGGTTTGCGGATGTTGTTGGTTTTGGGGGAAAGACGAAATCCGAAAGGTTTTCGAGGGGAAACGGATTTTGGCCGAAGAGGGAGACGCGTCAGGTCGCCAAAGTTGAAGAAGGTGGTAGGCAGTACAAGGAACCAAGTCTTGGAATGGAGCGAAGTGCAAAGTTTTCTTTCATTCTTTGATTTGTATTGACACAAACGGAAGGAGCAACCAAACTTGGGGTGATGAAAGCGATTAGCAGACTTTTCATAGAAGACACAAGATCAGCATGAGAGGTCCCAGGAAGTGCGCAAAGAATCACTCATGCCAAAATGAATAACGGAGACCACAATCTCATGATTCGAAGTGATGTCTACCTAGGAACAGCCCGTACAAAGTGCTGGTTCCAAAACTAGAGCTTGCGGCCCACAGCAAAGGCAGCAAGGACGAAGACAGTGAACCACGTAGCGAAGAACATCGTCTGCATGATAATCCGAATCCTCTGCTCTAAGCTGAACCAACGCTGCAACTGCTTCATTCCCTCCTCCAAATTGCGGAGGTCTCGCTCAAGGCTCTTCAGATTGTCATCCAGGGTGTTTATAGCAGCAATTTCCATGGCTTGCTCGCACCGGATGAGATCAATTTGATTCATCCAAGCATCGACAACATCCGGCTGGGGTCCAAGGTACGTGTGAGGGTGGTTGGTCGCGTTGAATGCAGCGGACTGGGCGGCCTCCCGTTGAAGCAGGGCGTTGAGCAGTGCCTAGTACACAACCAGTCAGCAAGAACACCAGAATCCCATCAAGACAAGCTCACAAATTCGCTGGCCGACATCTCGATCTCGTAGACTTCGTATTCAATAGCAGACTCTGGGATATTCTCGGTGGCATGAGTCTGCTCCTCCCTACGGGCTTGGATGCCAGGAGCACCCTGAACAGGGACGGCATCCTGCGGGCGAGATGCCATTCTGAGTTGAGTTTCGGTATGTCTGTGATGCCAGCAACATGTGAGCCGAGTTCCAAGTGAGTGTTACGGGTTGCTGGCTTACCTGGCGCTGATGCGACTGTTTGTAAATTATTGATTGGCAGCGATGTGATCGCGTTTGAATGGGCCGAAATCCGTTATGGGGCAAACAAAAAATAGTTAAGAAGGTGATTTGGATTGGGAGGAAACTGGTTTGCTTGGCTGGACCTCCGAAGACAGAAAGTCGCGTGTTGTGTTGTGGGATGTGGGCGGCCCAAAAGACCGTGCCCAGCCAAAGACGATTTCTGGCTGCAGGTGAAGTTGAAGTAAAAGCGAGGAAGGTGAGCTGAAATGGCAAACGCTTTTGCGTCCGGTGTTATGTCGTCAAGCCGTTCTCTGCGCTTGTGGTTGTGAAAGGGAAGAGATACCTTGGGCAAGGCAGGAGCGAAGGGAAAATTGGCAATAACGGTCTGCTCGAAGACTTCAAGGGGGCAGTCGGCTGAAGACACTGCGATCCTCGATAAATCGGATTGAATTTCAGGAGAGGTTCGTCATGGCGCGTCCTAGGGGCCAATGCTACGTACGATATCCATCAGAAACTCGTCAAACTACCGCCTCGGTCTCTGCAAAAGGAATTGTATTGTGTACACCCAAGGTGTTTCTCGTCCGAACCCGATCTTCCAAGCGACATCTCCATCCAGCTTTACCCCTCAAGCATATCAGTCGCGAGTGAGGTGAAGCAGGACATACATGGGGACCACCATGGCGAAGCCACCAAACAGCATGTGGTGCTTCTGTGGGAGCGCGGCCAACACGCTCTCCATGAGATCTTGGCGGTCAATGACACCTTTGAGCCGTCTCTGGAGAACGTTGTCCACCTCCTGGAGTCTGACAAGCTGATCACCAAAATGCTTCTTCAGGGCTTTGAGCTCGTGGGCATTGGACGCGGCGAGCCGATCGAACTTGTCATCGATTCGCTGACGATCGTATTCTTGACGTGTGCAGAGGCCACCAAGGTCTTCCTGCATTGTCGTGTGCACCATACGGATTGCTTCGATGGCGTCAGCGTTGACTGCGGATGACTCTGAAATGACTGCGTTGCCGGTCAAGGCCTCGAGAGCGCGCTTATCGGCCAGGTTAGCAAGCTCCTAGGCTTTAAACTATCTATAGATATCTACGTAGGTATATACCTATATAATCTATAGGTATAGAGGGGTACCTAAGTAAGTACTAATTAAGTATAAGTAATAAGTAAAACTTTCTTATTTAGATATTAAATAACTATTTTGAAAATATTTTCTTCTAAGAGAATTTATATATCTTAATAAACTTAGATTTTTATTTATTAAATTATAGCTTTTTATTTTACTTTACTTAAAGAATCTTAATTTTAATATTTTTATATTATTATTTTCTTTATATATTATCTTAATATTTAGATATTACTTTAATTAGTAAAACTTAGCTTCTATATTAGTTATATTATAAATTTACTTTTATATGTTTATTATATAAGGATTAATAAAATAATTTTTAATAGTGTTTTTTAATTAGCTTTATATCTAACAAAATAACTTATAAGAAAGATTATTATAGTAACCTTATAGATTAATATAATAATATTATAAGTATAAATTATAAATATATAATAGTAATAATATTCCTTAAAGTATACTATATAGTATAGATTAAAGATATTTTATAATAAGTATTTAGAGAGATATTTATCTTTCGTTTAGATATATTTTATTTTGATTATAAAAGAAAAAGAGATTATTTATAAATATAAAATTAATTTTAACTATATAGTATAGATATATAGATTATATTAATATATTATATAATTTTTATAAAGTAAATAGTTACTACTATAGTGGTAAAAATAGGTTAGTTATTTTTATTACCTACTAAATATATATATATACAACCTCTCTTTTTAATATTTACTATTTTATATATTTTTCTCTTTTTTTCTTTTATAATATGTTATAATTATAATCTTATTTAACTAGTTTATTTTATAAATAACTATATAAGTTTTATTATTTCTTTTATTTTTACTTATTTAGAATTTAATTTATTTTAGATATCTTAAATTATAATATTTTTACTTACTATATTATTTAGTAAAAATATAACTAAAAATGTACCGTTACTTAAATAGATTATTTATAAATATAACTGTAAAATTATTATTATAGCTACTAAAAAGACTAATAAAAAGACTATTAATATAGCTACTAAGAAGATTAAGTAGAAAACTATCTATAAAATCCTTATTTATATTATAAAAGAATATATATTTATTTACTACTATAAGCTTAAATATAAGTTAGATTATTATAATTTACTTTAATTTAATTATTATAATATTCATATTTTTTAGATTATACTTTATAGGAAACTTATTAATATTAAGCTTCTTATAATACCTTTATTATTAAAGCGCCTTTTTAGCGCTTTATTAAAGGAATTATATATAGTTAATTAAGTTAATAAATCTAATCTATCTTATTAGTAAACTATAGCTATAATAGCTTTTTAAGAAGCTGTTAAAGTAATTTTAGTAATTATATTTAAAAGTATATTTATCTATTTACTTTTTATTGTTTTATTAATTTACTTTTAATATCTCTATATATAGTAATCTATAATAAGAGAGTTATTATTAAACTTATAGATATTACCTTTATTAAAAAGATTTATATAATATCTTAAAATATAAAATATTTATAGCTTAATAATATTTATAAAATACTAAATTCTATTTTTATTTTATTTTATTATTTTATTTATATTTATTTAGTTTATTTTAATAAAGTTAAATAGAAATAAAAAGATATTATATATACTTAATTCTATTTTATAATTTATAATATCTTAAAACTAAATCTTATTATTCTATATAAATAAATAAATAAAATAATCCTTTTTTTAGAAACATAATAGAAAAAAGTAAGATATTATAAAGAAAACAAAGAGAACTATAATAAGAAAAGCTATATTAAAGCTAAAAAGAAAGAGAAGAACTAATTATAAAGATTTAATTTCTATTATTAGCTCTAATTATAAGAGTAATATAATTTCTAAAGATATTTTTATATATTTACTTTACATTAATAATTAGTTTAAAGATATTAAGCTTAATAATATCTCTGTTAGAAATCTTTATATTTTTAATATTATTAAAGAAATTACTTAGTATAGTAATATCTTTATAAGAAATACTAAAACTATTAATAATCTAAAATAAGATATTAAGACTATTAATAACCTAAAGTAAGATATTATAGCTATTAATAATTATATTAGAAACTTTAATGCTTTAATTACTACTAAAGAAAATCTCTTTAGTAGTAATATAATAAGTAATAATAATAGAGAAGAAGCTATTAGATATAGCTATAATTTTAAACGTGTTAAGTATTTTAAAATCTTTAATAACTAAAGAAAGTTTTAATCTTAAGTTAGTAGATATTTTTAAAAACAAATAATAGAAAATACTATATATTAGCTTAATATTAATAAATTAGTATTTTATAATACTTTTTAAAAATAAATAAATAAGTATTCTTAAATTAATAAGAATAAGATTAAAATTCAGATTTAATTAATAATAATAAAATAAAATAGTTATAAAACTATATAGTAAAAAATAGTTTAGTTTAAACAGATTATTTTAAGAATTTAGTAATGAGAGTATAATTATATTATATAAAAAGTATTTAAATAACTATAGAAATAACTTTTATAAGATTATTATAATAATTATTATAATATAAACTTATTTATTTTAAGATGAATAACTTATATTATTAGTAAAATAAATTTTATATAATTAATAGAATAATTAGTATAATACTTTATTATATCTATTAGAAGGTACATACTTTTAACTTATAAGTATAAATAGAATCTCTACTTATACCTATATTAATATCTATCTACATACTTAGTAAACCTATCTACCTATATTCTAAGTATACCTATAACCTAACCTATTTAGATAGGTACCTGTGGGTATCTATAGTATGGGTAATTTGAAGCTTATAAGCTCTGAGAGATCGGCCCACTTCTTGCTGAGGCTCTTTTTCCCCTGCTCGAACTCCTTTTTGAAGATGCGTCTCTGGATGACCTCTTGGTCCTGAACGAGAATGGTTCGTAGAATTCTGGCCTTCCACTTCGCGTTGAAGTCGTCGCCGCTGTCCTGGTCGCTTTCAAGTGGTCCGATACCATGCTCATCATTGGCCTCGCATCTGGTAAGTACTTGAACATGAGTTTCAAACATCAAAACAGTTGTAACTGACCTCAGGCTGAAGAGCAGCATGGATGAATTCATCAGAAATGCTGATATCTATGATGTTGGACGTGTCCTGTGTCTTCGACCCGTCAGCAGCCTTTCTTCAAAGGTCCTACAGGTAAGCCATTCTCGAGATCCTCAAATGCCCGTCTTCGGTGCTGTGCCCTGCATCTTTGCGCCATTCTGAAGTTTGTTCCACAAAGATCTGGACTCTTCGACGTTCCCGAAGCACGTCTCGTGCTTGGTTAGAGCAGAGACACTTCTCCAGAAACACACATTGAAGTGATTGTGCCGGGTGTGACTCAGACAAAACACGGCGAACCCCCCGAAACAGGAGATTGGGGGATCGCCTCAGAACCTGTTGCCCGTGACCACCATCGGGGCAGTCCAGAGTATGGCATTAACCCCGCTGGACCAACCCAAATCCCGCGAAGGGAATTGATGCAGGGATCTTTGCACCGTCGAGACTGAAGGTTGGCGCCCCAGCCCAGTGTAGGGTGGTTTGCAGCGACCAAGCATGCCTCAGCTTTTCCGGGCTCCCGACCATCCCTTTCTTAGGGCCCAGCAGGCCAAGACTGGCAGACCAGCGTGAAGACAGACAAGAAAAACGAGATCGGGTCCTCAAACAAAGTGAAATGCGGGCTTACCTCGGTGGCAGAATCGTCGGGGGAGGGATGGGCGTCACCCTCATCAGCGGCGCGGTTGCCGAGGCCGAGGCCAGGAATCAAGCTGGGTGGAGTCGAAGGCATCTCGAAGTCGATGGTTGCGATCAAATCGATAGATAGGGATTTGTCGTTGAGTCGCAAAGTGGTGACGGTTCGCGATGCTAAATTTCCTCAACCTTCAACCGCGTTTGGTGGTTAGCTGGTTGGACGGCTTGGGAGAAGATGAAAGGAGAAGATTGAGGAGGGTGAAGGAGAGAGAAAACGGCGAAGTTTGCTTTGTTTTTTGGGGGTCTCCTCGAAGAGGAGTGTCACGCGTGGGACGCGTATCCAGGTGAGAAACGCACTGGTGAAAGCGCGCGTCTGAACGGGGAGGTTGGGATGGAGAGCGGGAAGGGAAGTCGCGGAGCAGCTTGGGCAGAAAAGGATGTTCAACGGCGCCTTCCATCTGAAAGACCTCGCGACACTTGGGCACCGAAGAGAATGATAAAGACAGACTTACATAGATATTAGGCAACGAGGGGCAGAAAATGGGCAGAGTGGCGACGGAAGTTGAAGTGAATGGCCTCGTTCCGCAGCCCATTCCTCGCGAATGGATGTGAGGTCGCTCAGAGAAGAAGAAGAAAATCAGTTATCAGTCGGCCAGGCGGTCGTTGTCGATGGACAAATGAGAGGGAGACCGGTGGCCATGACCAGACTGGTTTGGGAGCTTCAAGGTGAGGCCTGAGGCGGCCGTAGGAGTCGACGCGGTGCCTTGGCAACGCGAAGATGGAGGACTGGTTGCGCGTGGATAGGTAGGTACCTTAGGTAGGGAGCTAGGTAGGCAGGTGCGGTGGTTTGAACGTGTGAAAGCTTCTGCCTGAACGGTTGGACGGTTGTAACCGTCTTATGGTCTCCCGGTCGTCCCTTGCTTGAGGTGAACAAGTCAAAATGCGTCCAAGAAAGCAGACTCGGCCTCATTTAAGGAAGGAGCGGTCGATCTGGATCTTCACCAACGTAAAGTGAAGCGAGCTTTTCACGGCAGATCATCATATCAGAAACTTGCATATACTTGATGATTTCTCTGTTGTCTCCCCTCGATCTCAACACATAGCTTTAGTGTTGTCCAGATACACGTTACGTAGGTGCCTACTCGCGGCGGCGGACATCCTTGATCGCAATGATGAAGGCCATGTCGATGATGGCAATAAGACCGGCTATGACCGCGAAGAGCCAAATGACCCGATCTAGGTGATCAACGCGCTTCTCAAGATCGTCGAGGCGCAGCTTCAGGAGATCATACTCATCGTCATGTTCAAACTCCAGCCATTCCGCTCTCTCCTCGCGACGCTTCTCTCGCTCTTCGTGGCGCTTCTCTCTCTCTTCATGACGCTTCTCCCGCTCCTCGTGGCGCTTCTCCCTCAGCTCATGGGCCTCCTCTCTGTGCTTCTGCTGGTCAAGAAAGTCCTCGATGGCGGTGTCGACGGGCTGGCTAGCGTTGGTGTTCTCATGGATGACGGTGGAGCTGCTTCTTGGGAGTCTCTGGGCTCTTTGGAAGACCTTGATGGCGAGCATCTCCTGCTGGTCATCAAGCGACTCCTTGCCGAACTCGAGTCGCTCCTGATTGATCTCCGCTAGCATATCGGCGAGGCCCACGGTAGGGCCGCGAAGCTCCTGGCAAGTGTCATTGCTGGTGTTGGTGAGGTGGCCCTGTACGAAAGAAAGCGAAAGTCAGCTTAATATTTCGCAGCGAGATATTTCTATCTCCTAGTTTTGAGACGGCAGGGGCAAAAGTCCCAGTAGGGTGTGGCGAAGACGTACCTCAGTGCTGGTCGACTGACGGCGATCACGACGACGGTGGCCAGCCTGGTTATCCAGGCGGCCAAAGCCTGAGAACTCAGACTGGCTAACTTGATCTTCCTGCATGGTGAACTTGTTGTCTGAGGTTGTCTTTCTGGGGTTTGGTGGCTCAGATCATGACTTCCAAAGTCAACGGATGCGTGGTGCTTGGCCAAGACTTAAGGGACTCAGAATCTGTGATAGCGCGGTTGAGAAACTCAAACGATTGGTCAAAGGAAGGAAATTTTCTGACTGGCTGTCGGCTTCTGGTGTGAGGAGCTTACTTGTTGTGTGCAACTTCGCTCGGAGGTCAGAGGACAGAGGTGGAGATGGAGGGAGAGAGTGGTGGCAGTCCAAGGGCAGAACAAAAGGAGGTCGGTCCACCACATAAAGGCCATAGCCTGGTGCTCAAGCAGAAGGAGCTATAAGTTGAATATCTTAAGCAAAGCTCCAGTGCCTATGACGTAAGCAGAGTAAACAAAGCTCTGTGATATGCTCAAGACGCGTGAGAGATGCTGAAGGTGAAATGCCAATTGGGTCCACGCAAGAGAGAAGTCACACTGATTTCCTCTCAAAGGAGCGCGTTCACCTCCATCACAAGTTTAGACCAAGGACAGTTGACTTGTCTGCCGACTCATTGTTTTTCCTTGCTGCCTTCCTCCCATCTCAGTTTCAGGCCACCACCAGGATCCCAAAAACCAACTTCATCTGGTCCTACTGTCACCTGCCTTACTCCCAGTCGTCACTAGACAATATTGCTATTGCTGACTTCACTGTCGTCAGGTACGTGCAAACTTTCATCTCGTCAATTTTCTTCCCTCAGGACAACGCGCAGTCCCATTGTATTTATCACCCATTGTTGACACGCAGAACAGCACCATGACCCAGATCAATGGCTCCGAGAACAAGGGACCTGCTGCCCGAGGCAGGGAGAAGACCATGGAAGACTATGCTTAGGAAGCGTTTGTCGCTGTAAATCTCCGCATGGCTCAGAATGTCAGTATTCTTCTTTTTCACTGAACCTTCCAATGGCTGACTGATCCGCAGGGCACCCCCCGTCCTCAGTCAGAGGTAGCTGCCCGCGTCATCGCTCATCTGCGCGACTTGCTCGACCGTCAGTGTGCCCAGATGGTCGCCCAAGAGATTGCCCATCAGCAACAGATCGCCGAGCTCAACAACAACTTCCGCAAGCAGTTGATGGAGCAGCAGGCCGTCGCCAAGGCCGAGATCAACCGTGCCTGGGAGCTTTGCGACACTCAGATGGCGGCCGTGGCCGACTTGATGGCTGAGCAGAACAAGAAGCAGAAGTAGGAGATGGGTGATTAGCAATACTATGATAGGTATCGACAATGGTACCCATGGAAGGCCGGCTGTGGTCTGAACAACCTTCTCTGTTAGCAACAAGTGGCAGTCGCACTTCATAGGAATACGTCAGCAGAAGAACCTTCCAATACTAAGCTGTTTTCAAGTTTTCACACATTTCTGAGGCATGTTTTTTTCCATCCGTTCCGCCTTCCAATGCCTACCTTGCTGGTTTCGGCTGGTACTCTCGCCTTCGAGATACCTCTTGGAATAAATCACAAAGGCTTTTTGCTTTGAAAGACGTCATCCTACCATGGTATTCCTGGTTCCGAGTCCAGCAGTGGGGACCAAAGTCCACACATGTCTGCTTCAGACCCAACCTTGGAAGTCTGGAACCCTTCAACGTTCGCTGCATCCATGGTGAACTTTGAAAAGCCACCTTTGCAACCAAGTCAAAGGTTCTATAAAACGATGCGAATTTTTACACAGACGCCTTTCTTTTTCTTCTCCTCTGCACATCCCCAACGCAATTTCGCAACTCCATTTCCGTGCTTCCCCCTTCCGTGAGTGCCGTCTGGACGCCATTTTGATACAAGGACAACAGATCCCATACGGCAATACGCCTAGAGCTTGGATGATCTTCTTCGCAGAAATCCTTGCTAACGAACCTCGTATTCAGATTGCCCCGCCCCAGCATACGGATACCCGAAACGAGACTGAAAGAAAGGTTTCTCACAGATGAGCAAGATGGAGACCCTCAACGACTTCGAAATCATCGATGTCGCCAAGTACACCGAGGCTCAGCTTGCGGCCAAGATTGCCGCCAAGGACCAAGAAATCGCTGCGCTGAAGCGTCGACACGAGGCCGAGTGCATCGAAATCGAATTGGCCAAGCTTTCCGAGGAGAACGAAGAGATTGCCGCGCTGAAGGAAGCGCAGGAAGCTGTGGTCGACAAATATAAGGAAATCCACGCCCTTAAGATGGCTCAGAAGAACACAGAAATCGCCGCGCTCGAGCAACAATACAACGACGAGCGCGCCGAAGCAGACGCTTTGATTGCTGAGAAGGACGAAGAAATCGCTAAGAAGAACGACGAAATTGCCGAGAAGAGTCAAGAGATTATCCATAAGAATGACGAGCTTGCTGAGATGAACGACGAAATGAATGAGATGTATGACGAACTGTTTGAGAAGACCGACCAAATCACTGAGAAGGACGAAGAGCTTGCCAACAAGAACGACGAAATTGATAGGATGCACGAAGATACTGTTCGGAGAAACGGAATAATTGCTGATCAAAACGACGAACTCATTGAGAAGAACCAAGAAATTACCGACAAGAACAACGAAATTGCTAAGAAGACCGAAGAAATCGCTGAGAAGAACCAAGAGATTACCGATCTGAACCATCAAATCGCTAAAAAGAACGAGGAGATTTTTAAGAAGAACGAAGAAATCGTTCAGGGGAACGAAGAGCTTAAAGACATGGAAATCGAAATTGACAGGATACGCGAAAGATTGAACGGAGTAATTGCCGATAAAGACAATAAACTTACCAAGAAGAACCAAGAGATTGCCGCCAAGAACGACGAAATCGCCAAGAAGGACGAACAGATTGCTACGCAGAAGCAACAGAAGGAAGCTGCATGCGCCAAGTACATGAAAATCTATACAGATGCGTTGGCCCAGAGGAATCAAGAAATCGCGAGGATGAGGAAAGAGCACCAAACCGGGATCGCCAAGTGCATCGAAGACGCAGCCGCCAAGCGCGCCGAAGAGCTTGAGAGATTCCAACACAATGCTCAAGAATATCTCGACCAACACAAAAAGGAGAGCGAGGAGTCCCAGAAGCTCATCCACAGCATCATCAATGCTCAGCTGGCCGAAAGCAAGGGCAAGCTCATCAAGGAGCGTTCAGATGCTGCGGATCTGAGACGTGAGCTTGAAGAGGAGCGTTCGACTTCTACGAAGCTGAGAAATGAGCTTGAAACCCAACGGAGCGAAAGCAGTGCTGCCGCGAACGCTCTTGAGAAGAAACGCAAGGAGTACGCCGAGTCTCTTAAATTCGACATTCAGAAGCCGGAAATTGCGCGGTCAAACTATTATAGTTATGATGACGACGACGAAGACATGAGCTTTGGTCTCTTTGATTAGCGCGTCTTCGTGTTAGATATCTAGTGGGGCGCAACACCTAGACTCATCCATGCCAAAGTGCGATGATCACAGGTTTCTGAGCCACTTCGCCCTTCAAATGCGTCGCATGAGACAATCGCTCTGAATAATAGCCTTCTGGCAACGTATTTAGCTTGTTCAGGACGGCCCGGAGCAACACACCAAAGTTTGCTTGCTTGACTGCTTTCCGAAAGGATGGGTCGATGAACGATAATTAGTGATAGTAAATCAACCATACATATCCTACGCAAACATTCTTCCAATCATCGTTGCGGCTCAGGCCAGACGTTGGCAGAGCGCTTCCCAGCAATGACGTTCACAAGGACTTGTCTGTGAGGTCTTTAGTATCATTCGAAGACATGAACATGACTTATTACAAACAGATGCCACAGGCTGGCCAAACGAGAGAAGCAGCATGATTTTCGACTCGACGATAGAAGGACAGATATTTCACTTGAACAACCCCTTTAGAGGTTTACAACAGCAAAAGTGTCATCTTCAGAGGCCATCCGCCAAATGCTAACAGCGCCGCATACATGCTCATCCGCGCCACCCAAAATCGAGTGCTGCCTTTGAGATTTTTCATGAGAGATATCAGTTTGGCGCAGTCTTCAATCTGTGTTCTGAATAAATACAGGAACGGACAGGACGGATATAATGGTAGGAGGCGTCGCCGGTGGAACCGGACTAGACTATCATTAACTCCGGACCGTGCCGCACAGCTGCGGGTTAGTACCGGTGCCGCTCCGGCGGGCTTCCTCTTGATATTTGGAGCAACTTACATGAGCCATTTCGATAAGAAAACCCGCTTGACAAGCCATCGCCTTCTGCTCTATACTCCATATCGAATTGCAAGCCTCATCTGCTTTCCAACCACCGCGACCGCCATGGCTGCAGCAGACAAGAAGCTCGTTTTTATCACCGGTAAGTCCTTTTCATGAGTACATGAAGCCAACCACTGACACGAGAACAATCTAAAGGTGGAAACCAAGGTGTGGGCTACGAGACGGCTAAGAATTTGCTGCTCTCCTCTGCCGATTACCATGTGATTCTCGGAAGTCGCGATTCGACCAAGGGCGACAAGGCTGCGATGGATTTGCTGTCCACTTCTGGAGTCAAAAGCACCGCTTCTTTCGTGCAGATAGACGTAACAGACGACGCTTCCATCAACGCAGCGGCGAGCAAAGTCGAGTCCGAATACGGGCGTCTCGATATCCTCGTCAACAATGCTGGCATCATATCGATGGCCAGCCCGCCTACCACTGCCGCATTTCGAAGAGTGCTGGATACGAACGTTGTTGGGGCTCTAGGCGTGACCGAGGCGTTCTTGCCTCTCCTCAAGAAGACTGCGCACACGCCCCCACGTCTTGTGTTCGTCAGCTCCAGCATGGGATCCATCACTCACGCCGCCGACCCCTCTTCTCCTTATTACAACCCGCACGGCACAGAATACCGAGTCAGCAAGGCCGCAGTCAATATGCTATTGAGCATGTACGCTGCTCGCCTGAAGCCTGACGGATTCCTTGTGCTCGGTGCCGATCCGGGATTGTGCGCTACCAACTTTACTGGCGATCCCACCTCTTTGAAGAATAGAGGTGCCGCGGAGCCGTCTGATGGTGGCGAACGCGTTGCTACTGTAATCAGAGGCGACAAGGAAGAAAATGCCGGTCGTGTGGTTGGAGTTTATGGAGTGTGTCCCTGGTAAAGCATCAATATTAGCCAATGACGAGCATTGCATGGTAGAAATGCCAATTCCGATGTTGTATAGCACGTATTTCCGCCTCGGTTCAAGATTCAAATCTTCAATTTGAAAATGATGGATCGCACCTATTGACTAGTTGTCTTAGAACATGATGTGGCGATGTAAAGCCTTGTGTATTTCTTTCGAGGAAGGCCGCGCAAAAGTACGGTGACCAAGATTTCGTATGCGAGCTCGAAACGTCAGGATGTCGCGTGTGTTTCGCGCTTGGTCATGCCGAGGTGAAAGAGGAAGTCGTTCGCGCTGGCAACGTGGCTGATCCGAGGAGCAGACCATCTTGCGCTGGCGCACGATGAATGGCTAGCAGCCAAGGTCCTCGGCACGGGGAGATTCCATGATTCATGAATGCCTCACGCATGCCACGCTCGGCGTGATGGCAGTCTCGCACCTGCTTCAAGGAGAGTATCATGGGTTTCTACCACGATATCAGTGATGTAGACACGCCGCAAGCGCTCGTACGGGGTCGAGCGAGCGAAAACCCTTGTGGCGAAGCTGTCAACCAACCCAGCGTCCTGGGCGATGCAGTCAGCGCCGACTTTTCGATCCCAGGAGATTTACAAGAAGGTCTTCAGTCCCATGCTGGAGGAAGAGGATTAGGCCAGCAGGTCCTTGATGTTACAACAAATCGGAGTGTACCCCCTATGGCGATCGAGTTGATGCGTTGGTCAAAACCTACGTTCGGGCTGGAGATAAGATCTTGGGCACGAGAACCCTCGGGGAATTGGGCGTTGTCGCAGTGCAGGGGCTGAAGACGATGTTTACCCAATCCTGGAAGGCCGCTATCATTGCAAACATCGAACGAGTTTGAATCGAGCAAAGATTTTGAAGACACACGTCGATGATGACCTTAAGTGATCTATTGTGAATGGTGGCATGTAAGTCAGCTGAGTGACGGCGAAGATATCATGGGCGACCCGGAAACCACGCCAGCTAGGTATTAACCGCAACGAACGTCGATGGGGCTGGACGTGCTGAGGTCTCCCCTCTACCGGCTGGCTGGCTCGTCAATGAGACCGCCGTAGCTTGAAGCTGGAGATGGAGAGAGGTGTGGCCAGCAGCAGCGAACCCAAGGGCAAGAGGCAAGTGACCCACTCGCTCCTTCTCTCCTTTCCTTCTTTCCTTCCTCCTTCCTCAGCGGTCCCGTCTCTCGTCTATTCTTCGTCCCATTCACCACAGCCTCAGCTATAAAACCCACCTCCCACTCACTCAACCTCCGGAAAATATTTCCTGCTTCCCACAACAACACCAACAAACTTTCCATCCAGATCACAATACACCCAAGACACTTCCAAACATTTCACACCACCAAAAAAGTAAGCTGCCTCTATCTGCCCACACGCTTGCCTTTCGCGCCTCTGTTCAGAATTACCTTACTGACGTTCAAACCTCTCTTGCGCGTGCAGACTCTCATCCTCGCCAACCGACAAAATGCTCTTTACTGGCAAGAACACTCCTAAGTCAACTGTGAGTACTGTCCTGTCCATTTTATCTACTCACTCTGCCCTTTGGTTGCTGTCCTTCATTCCTGCCATCTGCCTTTGTCGCCATTTTATTGAGTTCAAACACTCACAAGATGGATGCAAACCAGGAAGGCCTTGACGACTATGAACTTATCGAAGTCCCGCAGTGGTCCCAAGACCAACTTGACAGAATGATTCACGAATCTCGCGCCTCCCTCACCAAGGAGCTTGAGGACAAGTTCCAAGCCAAGGCCGATGAGACGAAGGCCCAAAGGGAGCGTGTCTTGAACTCCAAGGTCATTGACCTCAAGTCGCAACACGAGGTTAAGATTTACGAACTCAACCGCATTCACGACAAGGACGTTGCTGCCCTCAAGGTCCAGGTCGCGACACTCATCAAGGAGCAGGAAGGCCTTAAGAAGCAGCTGGCCGCCTGCAAGGGAGCTTATAAGCGCATTGAGAACCGCCTGGCCAATGAGTTTATCAAGAACTAGTGGAGGACCTTCTCAGTAGCCTTCAAGTCAGCTGGGCGTTTGGAGTTGTCACTGGTGGTAAAATGGGCATTGGAGTTGGGGTTTTGCATTCCTACATAGGCAGTGGAGATTGACGACTCGACGTGAAGAATACAAACAGCAAGCTTCTGTCACTCAAGGAATTGGCAGCTGGCCACATTGTTACCCAAGTGACATGCTGACACTGAAGACTTGCAAACATTTATGATATCTGGTCAAAGCCAGCTCACAGTCCTTTCTTTGCTCTGAAAAAGCCCTTCGTTCCTTCTTGTTGAACAAAAGAAGGATGACAACAGCTCGGATTAAAGACCCCCAGCAAGCAGAAGCGCCCAAAGTGTCTGGGTTGAATGACAGATCGGAAATACATATCGTGTACCCATTCGTCCCGTTCTACTCCAATTCGCCTGAAAATTCGATTCAGTATCAAGTGGGATGAAGTCGGACGTTGTCGCGGACGAACGCCAAGCCGGAGCCGGAGTGGAGGAAGGAGACATGGGGTGGAGGTACACGGCGATGTACCTTCCCTAACCCGACCGCTCCAGACTTTTAGGCGGTGACCCGATCTGGCGCCCCTGCACCTCCACACCGAGGTCGGCGGGGCAGTTTTCTCGGTGAACAACAATTTTATTTTCCCACCCCGCCCGCCTCAGCCAGCATCCTCATCACAGCCCGGCAAAACGAGAAGACCACCAAGATCCTCCCGACGCTCGTTCAACCACCCCAATCGCTGTCCAATTGAGCAGGATATGCTCAAGCCCCCTTCATAATGGCGTCCCACGAACAAAACATGCCGTTTATCAAAAACCTCGCCTCCAGCGGTTCGTCCATCTCCCGCGTCGCAAAGCTTCGCCCGCCCGACACGATTGAAGAGACCTCCCAAGCTGACCAAACTGCCCCCTCAAACCAGACCGCAAGCTCCGAACACAGGCCCTGACCTCCCTCCAAACCTTCCTCGGCTCCCACCGCTCCCTCACCCGCATCGACGCCCTCAAGCTCTGGAAGGGCCTCTTCTACGCAATGTGGATGTGCGACCGCGCCGTCCCGCAACAGAACCTCGCCGCCGAGCTCGCCTCCCTGACCGCCTGCCTCCAGAACGCCGACGTCCCGGCCTGGCTCTCCGCCTTCTACGAGACAATGTCCAAGAACTGGACCGACATCGACGTCCTGCGCATGGAAAAGTTCCTCCTCCTCGTCCGCCGCACCTTCGCCTCGGGCCTGACCTGGGTCAAGGAGGGCGACTACGCCGAGGGGCGTGCCGACGCGCTCGCCGGCGTGCTGGCCGAGTGGCCCTTCGAGGTCGAGGGCGACCTGCGCAAGGTGCCCATCGGTCTGCGCCTGCACGGCGTGGACATCTGGGTCGACGAGCTCGAGAGGACGGAGATTATCAAGGAGGACGCCAGCGAGAAGGCTGTCGCGTTCGCCAAGAGGGTCAGCAAGCTCGTCGAGCCGTTGAAGAGGTCGCCCATCAAGACTGTCCGCGTCAAGGCGGCCGAGTCGCTGGAGGACGACAGGCTGCCTTGGGTCGAGTCCCAGGAGGAGGACAAGGACGGCGCGGAAGAGGAGGACGACGGCGAGTGGGGTGGCTTTGACGACAAATGAGCGAAGGTTGCAGCATGACTTGGATCTTGTCTTTGCATTGTATGGTGAACACGGCGTTTTTTGGGTCTAGAACGGGAGGCGGCAAAATCACTTGGTATTGATCTGGGACTGCTTCAGAAGGGTGATGGGGACCGAAAAGAAAAGCAATTGTATGTGCTCAACGCTGTTCTATAGTATACATTGATATCCAATGGCTGCATTGCCGGCCGGGGGCCTGTCTTGGCCCGGCGGCGACGGTAACGCTTCTTCCCATCTTGGTCTATCTGGGTATCTCGACTTTTTGAAAAAACACTGCTCCCTACCGCTATTACCTCAGCCACTGCTGACCGTCAAAAGTAATCTTGAAAAAGTAACTGGGAAACGTGAGGCAAGCCACTATGCCATTGATGAAGGCGTGCAATTGTCTGCGGACGGCCTGGGCGACCCAAGCCACGGCTCGCGCCGTCACATCGATCGGTGCCACAACACCTAGTGCAACGAAAAGGGCTGCCTTCTTGCAGGTGGCTTCCTACGCCATGATCCTGTTACCGATAGTGATCTTGTCCCAGTTCGTGGGACCTGCTGCCTCGTAACCGCCGCGCTTCGAGATAACCTTGCCGAGGCCCTGGTGGATCTCTGCTTGGAATGGCTCGAAGGGCACCTTTTCGCCGTCAATGCTGATGTAACCGTCCTTCTGGTTGCGCGGGGTGATGCGGTAGGCCGTAATCTTCTTGTACGAGACGAGGGGGTTGTCGAAGAACTGGCCGTTCTCCACTGACAACAGCATGCTCAGTTGAGAGCCGACCGACACATCGCCGTCTACACAGACAAGGTCCATAAGGCCGTCGTTGGCGCAGGCTGCAGCAAAGAAGTTGGCATCGGCTGCCATGTACGCCATCTAGATCCAGTTAGCAACTGCGTGTTGTGAGGTTGGGAAGTAAACCTACGTTTCCACAGTAGAAATTGCCCATAGTGTCACTGGAAATCGACTCCCAGCCCTCCGGAAGGGCATCATTGATTGTACCATAACGCAGGGGCGGCAAACCTTGATGGGCATCTGGGCTCGACCCTGATTCGACAGATGCAGCATTGGGACCCTCACCCAGATTGGTTGCCGATGCGTTGCTCATCTTTTGCCTGTAATGCTCCTTGACCCCATGCTTATCCTCGATCTCGACCTTCACAGCAAGATCGCAAGGGTAGCACTTCTTCTGGAAGATCCTTTGCAAGAAGCCAACTGTGAAGCGCGCGCCGCCCATCCATCGCAGGTGCTCCGTTCCCAGATCGCTCTCAGCTACAACGCCGAGGGCCTGGCTCAAGAAGCTCAGCAACCGCCTATCCCCTTGCGTGATGCTGACGAGGTCAAAAGGCGTTTCAACTCCCTTGATGATGGCAAGCGCGGCCAACGAGGGCCGGTATGTACCGTAGAGGTTGCAGCTCATTGCATTGCCAGAACCACAAGGAATATGCGAGACAGCGATGGTCTGCAGAGCATGGAACGCGTCGGGGCGGTTGCCGAGTCCGTTGAAGACCTCGTGGGCCAGACCGTCGCCAGAGCAGGTAACAATGGTGTCGAAGGCGTCCACGTCGATGGTCTGCGCAATATCCACAGCTTGGCCCTGGCGTTCCGTCTTGACCACATCGATTGGCATACGCGCCGCCTTGAACAGAGGTTCACAGTCTACATCCCACTTCTTCTGCGCGCCTCCTGGACCGGCGTGAGGGTTCACTAGGACCTTGGCCCTCTTGCATCGCTTCGCCGGCCCGTACGCTCTGGTCAGGAGGTTGTCGGCCCATGTCTTGACGTCGGGGGTGTCGGCATCGGCGACGTGAAAGATCCACTGCGCAGCTTGCACTCTGTGCTTGCCAACATATTTGGCGTAATCGATAGTGAGGGTCTGGTCGGCGAATTCGACCCACAGGACGTTGTAAAGGGGGATCGTGGACGTCGGTGGTGCTGCTATGAAGGAGGGGGTTAGCCACCGCAGACGGACAATTCGGCTCGGGCAGGAGTGCCTACCTGGTGCGCCGAAAGAGGCGAAACTGCACGTACGACTGGTCTTCTTTGCTGTCGGGTCTTTGGACAGTCAGCGTCTCAGGCGCATCACGAAGCTACAGATCGACGCACCATTCAGGACGAGGTTCTCCGAGTCCAAGACAAGGGACTTGACGCCGTCGACTTTGATGACATCGGGCAGACCCCCTCGCGATGCGGGTTTGCCATAGGACTGGGAGGACTCGGAAATGGACTCGGGTACAGTCTGGGGGCTGCTCTGGTTGTTCGCCATGGCGGTGGTATCTCGACGGGCTCCGCGGAGCGCACTTCACATGCTACTGTGGACAGGGGCGCGGTCCGGACGGGGCTCTCTCTCGGACGGGCTCGAACGATTCGACTGCCTCAATAAGGATTTCGTATTTCTAGAGGCTGGACGGCAGGACGAAGAGGAGATTGAAGCGACAGACGAGAACAGAAGAATAGTAGTTTGACGTGGTGGTGAGGGGGTAAAAGGGAGCGATCAGTGTTAGCAGCGACGAGGCATTGTCAGTTATCGACTTTCTTTTCCTCGGGGGTCCTTGCTCGCTGGTTATCGTCCAATTGCGTGCGTCTTGTAACTGCAGCTGTCGCGTCGGGGGCCGTCGCAGGTCCTCTCGAGCATGAATGATCCAGGGAGGAAAAGGAATGAGGTCAAATTCGGGGGAGGGAGGAGGAGGAAGAGGCGAGGACAAAAGGGCGCCGAGCGCAGGAGCAACGCCGGCACAGGAACAGGTCAGAAGGAGCAAGTGCAAGTGCAAGTGCAAGTGCGAGTGCAGGTCCCGAGGCAGGAGACACTCAGAGCAGCAGCATCGCGGTGGAAGTGGAAGGCGCCAGGCCAAACAGAGACTGGTCTGCGCGTGGAAGGCGCCCTGGTGGGTGGCACGGTGGCACGGATGGATCGGAGATTGAGACGCGGACGGGGAAAGGGCGCCCTTCGTAGCGGTAGGGAACGACTTTTAGTGACCTCCCTCGGTCAGCGTAGCGGGCAGTGTGGGCCACGGTATCGTGCTAGCAGCACCTGAGGGCGCAGACACGAAGGCAAGGTACCTTTAGCTGTGATAAGCACCGGCACGAGGCACACGGATGCAGCATTGGCACCTCAGCATAAGGTAGCACGTCCTGCAGCGTGTCCAGTGACTCTCATGCGCCGGGCCCGCGGCGTCCGTGCCGTCGTTTGTCCTGGTCCAGGTCTTCTACCTACCTAGTCCAGGTCTTGCAGATACAGAAGAAGCAACAAGCTGTTCCTGGAACTGGAGAACCCCCTTGTCCAACTCCAACCAAGAGCCCAGCCCAGGAACAGAAGAGTTGCTCCTCTTCGGCCAGGGAGAAAAGAAGGCACCGCCTAAGTAAGTAAGCACCTTGTCGACCTCGGTGGTGTGAGTAAGCCTGCAAGGCACATGTTGTCGAAAAGCGCTTCTGGCTGCGCATCACCACCCACCTCACCCATCTGAGCAGCAGGTGCGTGGACGTCGACGTAAAAGGCAGTGTGCTCCGGACGGTCCTCGAGGCGTGGCGTGGCATTCATCCAGTCGAATCGCCCTGTAGGTGTTCTCGGACGTGCAGCCGCATTGTGGGATAAACAGAGTTGGAGAAACCAACAAAGCCTTGGACATGAACAAGACACACAAACGTCAGAGAAGAATGGAAACGAACGAGAACAATGGACGAGACCCCTCCTCCACCTCACCTCCCGTCCCCTTGCTTTTGAAGCCCCTCTACCAACGGCGAGAGATGGCATTCGGCGGTTTCCATTGCTCCAAGGGCCAAATGCAGAGTGCGGGAGCGGAGATTCCCTAACAGGCGACACCCACTTCGACACAGGTACACCAGCTCCAACGCTGTGACCCTGCAGAGCCAATCATGTCTCCCCGTGACAGCTCAATCTGGTAATAATTGACCAATCAGATGTGGGCCGCACCGGCTGCATGCCGACCTGACATCGGCACCGGTGAGTCTGCCCCCGGCCACGTCTATCAATCTATCAAGCCAATCTCACTCACACTCACCTTTGACTCACAACAGACAGCAGTGACTCAACACCAACCCGGATTTAACAGCTTCTCGAGCCAATTGATCCTTCAAGCCAACACTCCAGCTCTCACAACACACATCACACAAAATCACCCCCGCCGCAATGGCCGCTCAACCTCCGGTCGCGGGGTCCGACGACGCCTCACTGCCCCTCATCGACATCAAGCCCCTCCTCAAGAAACTCTGGCCCGTCCCGGACGGCGGCCTCGCCGTCACCCCGGATGAGATCGCCGATGCCATCTCTTACTTTTTTACCCACCAGGTCTCCGACGCCCAGGCCGCCTCCCTCCTCATCTCCCTGCACTTCACCAACCTCGACCGCCGCGCCGATGTAATGGCCCGCTCCGCCCACGTCATGCGCCTCGCCGCCGCAAAGGTCGATTTCGACGACCTCGCCGCCGTCGTCCGCAAAAAGAACCTCGCCGAGGGCGCCTACGCCGGCGGCCTCTGCGACATCGTCGGCACCGGCGGCGACTCCCACAACACCTTCAACATCAGCACCACCGCCAGCATCCTCGCCTCCTCCCTGCTCCTCGTCGCCAAGCACGGCAACCGCGCCAGCACCTCAAAGTCCGGCTCCGCAGACCTCGTCAACAACATGCAGCCCCGGCCCCCCGTCCTCATGGCCGTCTCCCCAAAGACAATCTCCCAGGTCTACGCCGCCACAAACTACGGCTTCCTCTTCGCCCCCGTCTTCCACCCGGGCATGCGCTACGTCGCCCCCATCCGCAAGGAGCTGCCCTGGAGGACAATCTTCAACCTCCTCGGCCCCCTCGCCAACCCCGTCGAGGACATCCTCGAGGCCCGCGTCATCGGCGTCGCCCGCAAGGAGCTCGGCCCCGTCTTCCTCGAGGCCCTGCGCATCGGCGGCTCCAAGAAGGCCATGATCATCTGTGGCGACGAGGAGCTCGACGAGGTGAGCTGCGCGGGGCCCACCCAGGTCTGGAGGCTCAGCGCCTCGCCCGACGGCAGCGGCGACGTCGTGCAGGACCACTTCAAGGTGCAGCCCAGCGACTTCGGCCTCGGCACGCACCCCCTGAACACCGTCTCTCCCGGCAAGGAGCCCGCAGAGAACGCCGAGATCCTGAGGAGGATACTGAGCGGCGAGATGGCTGATGACGATCCCATTCTGGAGTTCGTGCTCATGAACACGGCCACGCTGTTCGTGGCGTCGGGCATCTGCGAGGCCGAGTCAAGCAACATGGGCCCCGGCGATGACGGCAAGGTCATCGCGGAGCGGGGACCCGGCGGAGGACGGTGGAAGGAGGGCGTGCGGAGAGCGCGCTGGGCCGTCAAGAGCGGCAAGGCTCTCCAGCAGTGGACGTCTTTTGTCGACGTCACGAATTCGTTCGAGCAGTAAAGCTTTGCATAAAATCACATAATCACAGGGAAATGGTACAAAAGGGGTTGGTTATTGATCAGGGTTGGAGGCGGAAATGGATATCACGGCCTCGGTACGGATGCGACATACAAACATGCGCGATGGCTCCGGCAGAAATGGAGTCTCATAAGCTTTTGGTAGCCCTCTATCACAACTTTTTATGCACTGTATCCCGGACTCGATGACTTGCCTCGTCATCCCCGCCGTTGATGATGACCGCCGTCGTCCTGCTCCACCTTCCTCGCCGCCGTCTCCAGTCTCGAGACCATGACGTCGCAAGCCTCCTCTTGCTCGATTCATCTGGCGCTTATCACAACACACTCTTTATGCGGGCGCCTTGAACTCGGACTTGATGACTTCTTGGACCTTGGCTGGTAGGCTCTCCAGGGCGGGCTTGATGACCTCGGCGAACTTCTGGGCGCGCTCCTGAACGCCGGCGTTGGACTCGTCGAGAGCGCGCGCAGCGTTGAGAGAGCGCAGGGCAAGAATGTACTTTTCTGTGAACATGTTAGCGCTGGACATATGCCTGTCTTGGGTGGGGGAACCACTTACTGCGGCGCAAGTAGACGTCGAAACCGGCGAACTGGGCCTCGATGTTCTGGGGGCTGAATTGCAAAAGGGGAATGACAAAACGCATGGCGGCGCTCAAGGGCTCAGCATCCAGAAGCTTCAATCCCAACGGGTCGTCGTCCTTCTTCTTGGGCTCCTCACTCGCCTTGCCCTTGTTGGGGTCCTGCTTGGCTGCGCGCTCAGCTGCCTCGCGCTCCAGACGCTGTTGCTCCTTCTTGGCCTTCTTAGCCGCCTTCTTTCTCTCGGACGCATCGTCGCCGTTCGCAGCACCGTTGGCACCGTTGGTTGCCGGGCGATCAGCGCGCTTAAGGTAGATCTTAATAGCTTCAAGCGCCGCTTTTGAGTAGAAAGGATGGTCGCGCAGATGATCCTCCCACCTCACCATATCAATGTAGGCGCGGATCTGGCCCTTCCGAAGAGAAAAGCTGTGAAAGTCGAACTGGTCTTCTTGCCACACGTCAAAGATGTTGTGAACGGTGTGGAATCGCTTCAAGGCCAAGGCGTCATCTCCCAGTCTGGCAGCAGCCTCACCGTCCTCTGTCAAGAACCAGACACACTGCATGTCCAGGAGATCTGCGAGAGGCCCACCAACAGTGTCGGCCCTAGTGAAGAGGCCTACCGTCTTCAGAGCTTGCTCCCTCTCGTTGTTGCGCAGCTGGTACTTGGCGGCCTTCGTGTTGATGTAGCGATCCTTGGTATCCAGAAGGCGAGCCTGGTCCATGGTCTCAGAAGCCTTCTTGAGGTCGCCCTGGTGCTTGTATATCCTAGCCTTGGTCATGTGGAAGTCGACGCTGTCCTTGACCTTCTCAATGGCCTGGTCGATGTACTTGTGAGCTTGGTCCAGATCGCGGCTCAAATGGTAGTTGTAGTGCTGTGCCAGGAAGTATAAGGCGGCGGCCTCGCCCTTGGAGCGGTCGCCGTTGGCAGCTTCTGTGGCAGAGCTCTGCGATTTGATGTATTCCTGGGCGAGAGCCTCCAAGGCCTCCTTCTTGGCAGAGTCGGCGTAGAGGTGCTTCAGGTTGGCAAAGGTCGACGGAACGCCCTTGTTGAACATCAAAGTGAGGTACCCCTTGGCAGCCGCACGGAACTCGTCGCCTGCTGTCTGTTAGACGTCGAATCAAATGGCATATCCGTCAAACTTACCCGTGAGGAAGTTCAGAGGCAACCGGCGAGGGGCGTCTGAGCGAGGGAACTTCTTGGCGTATGTGTCGTAGACCTGCTTCCTGGCGTCCTTGTCACTGTCGGAGAAGGCGTGGGCCTTTTCCAAGCCCTCAAAATAAGCAGGCCGGTCAGCGTTGCGCTCGACGAGAGCTTCCCAGGCAGCAATGGCCTCCTCCTTCTTGCCCAACTCCAGCAGGTACTTGGCACGCAACTCCAGGTACTCCAGTCTGTCCAGGTTCTGCTTGGCGGCGGACTCGAGGTGCTCCAAAGCTCTTTGGTAGTCGCCCTGCTCGGCAATGATGGTGTTCTTGTACATGATAGCCTCGGAGTTCTCGTAGTCGGCGCGGGAGGGGGTGGCCTTCAGGGTTCCTTCGTAGGTGGTGAGGACGTTCTCGGCAGCGGAAAGGTCGCCCGAGAGGTGGTGAGCAATGGCCAGCGCAGTCCAGCTCTGGCGCAGCTGAGGACGAGCCTGGAGCATAGCTGTGCGGCTCTGGATGTAGCCGGCGTAATCGCGCATCTGGACCTGAAGGATGGCCAAGTCTCGCTGGATCTGGGCAGATTCGGGCTCGAGCCTGAGCGCGAACTTGTATGCCTTGATAGCCTCCTCGTAGTTCTTGTTGGCGCGGTACAGCAGGCCGTAGACGTGCCAGCAGATGTGCGACTTCATGTCGACGGTCAGGGCCTCCTTGCCGAGCGCAAAGGCCTCGTCGGTCTTGCCCTGAGCATTCATGATCAGGGCCTTCATGGCCATGGTGTCGCCATGCTTGGGAACCTTCTTCAAGATGAGGTCGGCGGACTTGAGGCCGCGCTTGTACTGCTTGTCCTCATAGGCGCGGATGACGGACCGAAAGAGGGAAGCCTCTTTCGCACTGAGAGGCTGTGGCATCGGGTTGGTGGTGGGGGGTAGATCGGCGCTCGACTCGGCAGGATTGCGATGGCAGTGAAAAGACAGCTGTCGAGGCGAATGTCTTGGACGAGGCTGAGGCACAATCTAGAGTCGTCGGAGGCAAAACTCTTCGGATGCGTTTGCGGCTGCGATGCGGGAGAGGGGTCCTCGTCGACGAAGGAGGGGCACTAATTTGGCTGCAGTCGGGTGACTGGACGGCTGTGCTCCTGGCAGAAATCGAAGAGGACGATTGAGATGCAGAGAGCAGGAGTCGGTTGTGTCGGGGACCGGGTCTCGTGCCTTGTGGGGGAGTGCGGTGGGATGGTGAGAGGTGACGAGAGAACGAGTCCACAATCGGAGCTGCAAAAGAGTCGAATCAACGGCAGCGATGAGGTTTGGGCCGGGTTGGAGACGCTTCGGCCACACAGATGTTCCAAGCCACACAGCGAGTAAAATGCACCGCTGTGGTCCCGTCTCGCCCGTGGTCTGTGGCTGCCGGCGGCAGGCGGGACTGTTTGGCGGCGGCGGCCCTGCTGAGAAACACGCTGTAGACACCTCAGTCTAGGTACCTCAGTGGGAGGGAGCGCCAAACCCGAGTCAAAACCGATGAGGTGAGCCACCGGGCGGCCAGGCAATGGTGGGGCAAACTGGCCTGACTGTTGGTGTTCCCCCTCATCCAATTCACATTCACCACCTCACCCCATATGCACCCCCGTTCCAGCCGCAACGGCACTGCCCAAACCACCACATCTTGGTGGGGGTGCAGTCCAAGGTTCATAAGCTGTAAGCTAACAAGTTGAGATGGCTGCTGTCGGCATGATCGGGAGCTTCAATGCTTAGGTAGGTGTCGTGCCTGCCAAGGCCAGAAGAGAGCTTGTGAGCCGCTGCATCAATCCCGATTCGTCCCTGAGCAATCCACGCTCATACTCCGAGTGGGGGTCTGTCTGCCAGTTTCCAAAAGTATTCTCATTGATCATTGTCGGGAATGGTGGTACAGTGATGATACACAAAGGTCCGTTATACGTGGATATTTACAAGCCTCTTGACGAGTGATGCAAGGGGACGGCTATCGGTTATCCCCCTTGACACCAGTCCTCTGTCGCCAACTCTCCAGTGCCTCCTCCCATGTGTTTGCGGACTCGCCGCATCGTTGCTTGACCATGTCCCAGGTCCTTGTCCGCACAATGTTCTCGACGCCCTTTTCCTGCCGGATCAGCATGGCAAGCTGCTCTGTCCGGGGTTCTCGTGGGAAGAACCTTCCAGAGTATGGGTCCAAACGCTCATCCACTACCCTCTCCTTGTCCTTGGCCGTCTCAATCTGTCGTAGCAGAGCCTCCGGGTCGTCGGGATCTGGACTCGTTGCGACTACGCCACAGTAGTGCAGCACCTCGGCTCGCGCGTGCCATGTCGGAAACAACGCTTGATCTTTGAAGTTCTGGCATGCTTGAGGGTCTATTTGTCGCGGAAATGTTCTCGGGGTGCGCTGTGAGGTTGATGATGGGTCGAAGCCGGCTCGAGATGGTGTTACCAGAGCATTGAGGTTCTGTGATATCGAGTCGTCGATACTTGCGCGGGACAGCCGGAGAAAGTCTATGAATGGGTATCAGCAGTGTTCTACGGCGCGCTCGAGAAGGTGAAGGTAAGGTGACCTCTGAGAGTCCCGGTCGAGAAGCAAAACTGAGGCGTGAGGTGTGGTACGGGTGGCGGTTGGGTCATGATGTCGGTGTATGGAGGTGGAGGCGGGTTGGAAGGATTTGCGACGACAGGAGCCACGGCGGAGGGCTCCTTTTTCCAGAATATGCCCGCCAGATTGAATACGTGCTTCGGTGGTAAAGTGGTCGTTTCCCTGAAGGTGCGCCGACTGGCTGGCCGTGAACCTGGAGAATGTTGTAGAACAAAGGCGATGCTCAGACGACAGGTGCAGGTGGGCTTGAATCAACTTCGATTACGTCGACGGAAGCCATCCGCAGTGGGCTAGCAGATGTACGGCGTCAGGTATCCGTACCTTACCTTTATTACCGGGGGGAGCTTGCCTGGAGCATGGGAATGCCTGGAGAGCACGCTAGTGGACGCGGGTGGACTGATTGTGTGAGGTGAGCACCTGGACGCGCTGGAGGCAGCACCTATCCAATTAGTCAGCAGCCAAAAGAAGATGGAATAAAATAAAAATAAAAAGCCCTCCGGAAGATCCTCGGTGACCACTAGAACGGATGGCCCGTGCTCGCCATGGCTTTGGTGGTCTGTGCTTGGTCCCCCGGTGGGTGGCCCAAGCTTCCCAAGAATTCCAGGGATTCGATTCGAAAACCGTCAAAATGTCTCGGCAGCTCACCTCGTCTGCCGTTTTCTTCCCACGTCTCCCCCACGTGTGCTCGCCTGAGCTAGAAAGCTGTCAATCTCCCACCAAACGGCACGAGCGCCGCTCTAGCCTCACGTCAGTTGTCGATAGTCTTCAAGCCACCGACCAGAAAAATAAAAACATGCCATCGCGCATCTTCCAACCCCGCGATCCAAGTCAAGTCTGTTCTCATCGTTCCTCGTCCCCGATTTGTCACGATCACGTACGACAAGCGTCAACCACACGGATCCCCTCCGCCCCTCCAAGAGCCCTGGGATTCCGGCTCCGGGCTCCATGCCCACGGGCAAAGTTGCTCCATCAGTCGATCTGCGCCCCTTCGTTTGTTGGTTCCCCTTGAGAGCACCACTCGATATCCCGGCCAATAATGCACGTCAAGCCATGTCCACTCGCAGTGTGATGGAACTGAGTAAGGCGCCGGCGCGTCTCCCGCCGCGATGATCCCAATTCCTTGCCGCCTGGGGACCAGCACCCGAATCGCCTCTCCCCATTTTCACCCGTCTCTCTCCCGTCCTTCTAGCTCGAAACCGACATCGATATTCATCACCTGGATTGACTTTCAGTACAATGGTGTCAGGTCGCGCACTAATCTGCCGCTACGCCCTTGGCGGCGATCCAGACACCTGGGTTCGCCAGTTGCCTCATTTCGCCAAATGGTCTCCAATAGTTTCCCCTGCCTAGCATCGCCCTAACTACCGTTTTGGGATCGACCACATCGTCCTGCTTTTTGGTTCGGAATGGGTCGTTTCCAGATTTGGCCCCCCTGGCCCCGCGATCACGCTGCTCATCTCCTCGAGCGAGTCCTCTGCTGCACAAAAGAGCTCCATCTTCTCTCGAAACCCTCACCTTGCTTCTTCTCGTTCTTGATGCCCTATCGTATCGATGCGTCTCGCCACCTAGGTCACCGGCGATGGACTCCCCGGGATGTCTGCCCGGTGCCGGCCTGGCCGACTTGATAAGGACAGCCCAGCTTCTCGCCGATCGATATGCTCAAATGTCGAACAGTCTCAACACTGCTCCCGTCACCTTGGCTGCGCTCGCCAAAGAATGCAAGGCTGTCACCGATGCTCTTCGACGATTCAAGTACCTCCGTCAGACTATTCCCGAGACCCTCGTATTCGACCCCGTTCTCCTCGACGAATCTTGCCACGAAGCCCTGGATGCCGTCGCGACCAATCTTTCACAGCTGGACTTCTACAGCGCGCGAATCCGCCCTGCCACGAGCGACAGCGCCGTCGACGTCTCCAATGGCCAACTCACCATTATCTGGAACGAAGACACTCTAAGGCAGATCCATCGCCAGCTAAGAACAAGCCGTCAATCTCTCGCTTTCCTATTGAACTGTGTTCCAAGGTAAATCAAATCCCCCCTCCCGGGCTTGCGATCGACACTCACACTCTCCAGCGAGCATGTGACGTCCAAGAACCACTCCACATTCATGCACTCATCCCGCCTCGTCCCTTGGGACTGTGCTATAAGCCCGGCTGTTTTGAACAAGGGCAGTCGATTGCGTCTGTCAACAATCGGGCCACGAAACCGTCCAGATGTCTCGTCTGTTTGCGACGTATCCGGAGTTCACTCCGCGCTGAGGAGACTCAGGCCAAAGCCCGGGACTCTTTTCAAACAGAGCATGCGAACAACCAAGGAGCTGCACGATGCCATCGATCGAGGGGACGAGGCCACTGTCGTGAAGCTTCTGCTGCAACGGATCGACCCGAATGCGCCTAGTTTTGGATCCAAGATCACCCCGCTACGTCGAGCTCTCAGCCGGCAGCTTCCATCGATTGCGACTTTCGTCGCCATCGCGGGAGCAGACCTGGAGCACCGCGGCGAGGATGGCGACACGGCGCTCATCACTGCTGTCAAACAAGATTTCTCAGACAAATACGTCTCCTTGCTCTGCGATCTCGGCGCTTCAGTCAATGCGGTAGACGCATTGGGGTGCTCAGCTCTTCACTATGCTGCCATGTCTTCAAACGAAGACGACGACACTCTAGCTGTTCTGATACATGCTGGAGCCGACGTTGACCGCCGAGACTTGGGTGGGCGGACGCCATTATTAGCAGCTGTGCAAAACTACCGTTTCAAGTCGATAGAGAGGCTCCTCGAGTTCGGCGCAGACTTGGAAGCTCGCTTGCACAATGGACGCACGGCACTCCACGTCGCCATCTCAATGCGCAGCTGCCCCTTGGTGGAGTTTCTCTCCGACCAAGGCGCCTATCTTGATCGGCGAGTCAACGAACACACCGCTCTGACCTTCGCGATCGCCGTGGCATGCCCTGATATTGCCGAGGTGCTGGTCCAGGCGGGCGCTAATGTTGACCACCCCAGCACAAAAGGGAACTTTCCGCTTCTCGCTGCCGCTGCTGCCGGCGACCTACGCACCATGAAGCTTTTGCTCTCTCGGGGCGCGAGGCTGGACGCCGTCGGCGGCGAAGGGTATCTACCCATCCACATGGCAGCCCACAAGAACCGAGTCGAGATCTTGCATCTTTTGTTCAAGTCCGACTCACCCATCGACCCCTTGACAGAGCACGGTGAGACTCCCCTCACTATAGCAATGCACTTGGGGTGTTACGAGGCGGCCCAGTTCCTGATTGAAATCGGAGCAAATGTCGACCACGCTGCACCTGGTGCAGAAAGAATCATCAGCCAGGCACTCAAAGCCGGAAACACGCGCATTGCAATGGCTCTCGTCCGAGGCGGAGCAGATCTCACTACACCCCTGAGACGAGAAACCAGCATGACCCCGATACATCAAGCAGCTCACCTAGGACAGAACGATGTGATTGCAACGATGATTAAGGCTGGTGTTGATCTCGACACAAGGACTTGGCCTGGGTACACACCTCTATTCTTTGCAGCGGAGGCTGGACACATTGCTACTGTCCGCCTTCTGCTCGCCGGCGGCGCCCACCTCCGAGAACGATCAAAGTCATGCGGAAACCTCCTCTTCGTGAGTACGGCCCATCCTGCGATGATGAAGTTCCTAATTGAGTTGGGCCTCGACCCCAACGAGCGCGATCACCACGGCGCCACGCCACTTCATTATGCAGCCCTAAATGGCCATGCTACTACGGTGAAGCTGCTCTTACAACGAGGCGCGAGGATGACGCATGCAAGTGCAGTCTTCGAGACACTAGCTGACTACAAGACAAAATCTACCTATCGACAAGGTACTCCTGCCGGCTTAGCCAGGCAGAAGGAACACATCAAAGTTGCTCGGCTGCTTGAAGGCTGGAAGTTCAAGAAACCCCCACATCCTGCATGAAGCAGTGTTTTACTCGGAACCTCGTTCCACTTTCACTTTAATCTCATTTCCTATGTCACTTGGAGGCTTGCTTGGACCAGAAGATACCCGGAGACTCCAGTGAGGCGTTCAGCCAAGGCTGGGCTATCCTATACCAACAAAACATTTCCTATCTATGTCGATCTGACGGAACTATCAGATGTATATTTCTCAATCTACCAACAATAATGCCGAGCTATTGCTCGAGGGCAAATGATCATCCATCCCCGCAACTGCTATCATTGAAAGTGAGGAAAGAAGGCAGAGAGCTCCGGCGTGTCGTACAACCCTGCGGGGGCTTGACGGAGGCTGATGAAAGCCTCCACAACCAAGAATATCCTTGCTACAGCAAATACCGCCAACACGGAACCCAAAACCCACGACTTCACCGATTTCATCCAGGGTTTCTGGTGGCCATAGCCTGTCAGACGTGACCCTGGAGCCGCCCCGGAAACAAATACGTCAAATCTTGGCCAAATTTGACGTGCGAGAAAGAAGATCCAAAGGATAGCCCCCGAGCATGCTATAGTCAGCGAAGAGACCAGCCAGAGCGTATGCTCAACCGGAGTAGGGAAGTGGTCCACCCAGCCAGAGAGGTGAAGCCCGCCGTAGGCTGCTGCTGTCAACGCAAGAACGGAACGCAAGACGTCGCGATGGACGTTGACTTGGCCAAGCCCCAAATTCGTCATGGACGGGAAATTGACAACGTGAGGTACGATGTAGTCGGTCTCGCCGAGGAAAACGCCAATAGTGGGCACCGAGGTAAAGTAGTAGGGGGCATACGACTGTCGATCGACGCATTGTGCCCATAGGACGTCTGCTGCTTGTGCAATCTGTTTCAAGAAGTCTGGATCGATTGGTTTGAAGCTTCTCTTCCCCTGTTGAACATCGGGGAATACCCTCCGACAGTAGATTCTGCTGTGATGCAGTGTGAGCTCTTCATACAGAGGCGCAAAGTACGTCTGGAGGCACTCTGTCGCGACAGTCTGCTTGCCCTGATCGATATGGTACTCATATGCAGACCGGGGCACAGTTCTTGTCTGGGGATTGAGAGCAGTCGGCGACCGACGCGGCCGAAGGTCGCTTACATCGAATCCAAGAAACCTAGATGGATCCCTGGAGCCAGGTGACCCAATCGACAAGTGAGTTGTCACGAGAACCCTCTTATCTTGGTGCAAGGCATCTCCCGCAACCCGCACTCCGCCGCCCTCCACCGAGCCTGCAGGCAAATAGATGAAACATCGAATATCGGTGACTCCGTCAACCGCGCTTACAGGCGAACACGCCGACATCAACGAAACCACATCCCCAAGTCCCTCACCCACAACCGTCGGGTCAAGGACATCCAAAGGTTTACTCCACCAAAGAAGATACAACAGCACCGCGCACGCAACATGGCCACACGTATTTATCTCCAACAGCGACACAGGCAACTGCTCAATCACGCGCCCAACGACCTGGGCAACCATCCACCCCGCCTGGATGCAAACCAGCAACTTGGCCATCCAGTCCGCCTTGCTCTTATCCTGTATCTGGGACTCGTGAATCTCGGGCAGCTTCCCCAGAAACGACAAGAGGCGAATCCCCTCTGGCGTGAGGGTGACCCTCTCGCCGCCGCTCTCCTCTCCACAAGCCGGTCTGTCGACCACAAACCCGCCCATCACGGCGTAAAAGCATTGCGTCATGTCCCACTTGTGCCTCGAAAGCCCATCGACATCTCCCCGGTGCGTAGCGTCCTTCTCAATCTCCCGCTTCAGCCATCGCGCGATGATGTACTGCGCCGCCGCCGTCGCGACGACAATCTCCGGCGCGAAGATGCCGTAGAGGACCCACTTGGCCCGCTCGAGCGCCCGGCTCCGGGCCGTGGAGCGCGCGGCGGGGACGTTGAGGTGGAGCGCCGTCCAGACGCAGATTGTGAGCGTCAGGATGCAGGAGCTCACAAGACTGAAGGTGCCGCGGCCGTTTGGTTCGGAGACCCAGGTTCTTGTCGCGGCGGGCTCGGCGGAGGTTGGCGTCGGGAGGAAGAGGGAGACGAGCAGGGTCAGCGTCATTGAAGGAAAGGGGTGTGAGCGCCGCTCGTGGGGCCGATGTGCGAAAACATTCTTGCGAGCTGAGATTTCAACTACGGATTCGTCTTTGGAGGGGGAGGTATGAGTCTGATTTTATCACTGCTACCCTGGGCTCCCGGAAGGGTGTGGTAGGGACCGCGTGACGCAGCTCTGAGATGCCGAACCTGCATGAGCTGAGAGTAGGGCATGGCCACCACCAACCAGGGGTCTGGAACCAATGACGCTTACCTTTTCTGCATCAAGATAAGACTATAGGCTTGATTGCAGTGAAAAATTAAAAGGCCTGCAAAGTTGTTCGGGAGGGGCAGTAACCTGAATTTCCGGGTACCACATTATCAACTCACTGACATACCACTCATGTTCACGCTTAACACCGCTTGAAGTCGGAGGGCTGGCGAAGAGTAACACATGTTTCCCCTTTAGAGTTACACAGTAGTCAAAAAGGTATGCCCGTACGCGGTAAACTACTACACGAAAGTTAAAAATAGTTAGAAGGGTTACCTATCTAGCTATCCACGTGGCTGGCGTTGTTCTCCTATTTGCAAGTTGGTAACCTTATTGTATTCCCTATCATAGTTGATGTCGCCACAATCGCTGTTTCTGTTGTTGCTGTCATCATAGCATAATTGTCATCTATAATCCCTCCGCGCGGGTAGTGAAACTCAACTTTCAAGGTTGACAACCCTCTATGCTTGAACTACGGTTTTTTTTACGATGAAGAAAAGTAATCAAACATCACTGGGGCTCGATTCTTTGAACGTTTGTCTCTGTTTCAGTGATCTTTTGGCCATGTTGTGCTGGCGTCTTCATATACACGCATTTCTCGAGGGAAGTGATTTCACACACTATCTCTTCCTGTAAAACTTATTCCATATGATCAACTCGATCAACAAGTGTTCATTTTCTCTTATTTACCCCTGCATCTAGAGACAAACAGCCTTGACGATCGGCTAGAATGAGACCTGACCCGGGAGCTGGGCAAGAAGACAGGCAAGCTTCTAACAGACCTCTTGAAGCCATACATAATCGGGTCGGGGTTCTTCATGCTTCAATACCTGAGGCAATGGCAAAAAAAGGCAGATCTTTGTCGTCCGCCACCGTCAGTGTCTGCAAAACTCAGCGGCCCTCATCTCCACCAAAGGCAAGCCCATCTACGACAGCTACTTACCGCCATTGGAGTTTTGGCAGGGCGAGATGCTACGTCAACTGATCTAGTATTATCGATACAGAGGTTTTTGCTGATTTAGAAAGGCTTTTAAGCAGACTAGATAGATTAATGATATTCTTACGAACCTAGATCAAAGCTTTCTAAGATATTATAAACAGCATCAGGTTACTTAGTAGGCATCTGTTCAAGTATAAACAGAATTTTTCATAGTGTGGCGTAAAACTCTACAAATTGGATGTTCAAACCGCTATGAGGGTCAGCAAGAAGACCTCTATGGCCGAGCTATGAGGTATATGAAGAGGGCTCGCAACCACGTCAAAGTCTTCCCTGCACCTTCAAATTCCTCCAAGTTCATCTTACATACTCGCTTTCACCAAGCTTCAAACCACCACAACCAGCCAAGATGCAGTTCACTGCCACTCTCACCCTTCTCATCACCGCCATCACCGCCATCACCGGCGCCAGCGCCTCGGTCGTCGGCGAACCCTACGGACATCCTCCTCTTCCCAAAGCTGCATCCCCGTAAGGACCAGTACGATGGCGTCGTCTGCAACATCGATCACCTCTCCAAGACGAATAAGATCTTTATGACAGCCCGCCACACACCCGGCGGCGCTTACCGGTACCTCAACGGCCTCAACGGCAAAGCCGTCCAAAGCGCTGGTCCCGGTCGCTGCACCCGCGTCTCCTGCGCCCACAATCTCGGCGTCTACTTCTGCAACGACAACCGCCACACGATCAAGGTGCCCTGGTCTAAGATTGCCAAGTACGCCAACGACATTGGCATGATCTGCGGCCGAACTGTCCACACGCCGAACAAGAAGGGGCAAAAAGACCCCTACGGCAGGGACCACTTTGGAAAGATCGTGCTTGGACGAGAATTATTATCAAAACGGCCAAAAGCACAGCAAAGACCGCTGGAGTGTGTTTGTCAACGGCGACCGGTGCTAAGGGGGTTCATGTATTGTTTGGGGGCGAATCATTGGTTTAGATCTCACACTCAATTAATGTTTCCGTCTACATACAATATACCAGTTCTGCATCATCTGTCTGAGGTTCAACACTAAAGTGATTCCAACGGAGATCTTCCCCTGCATCACCACAAGAAGCTAGGCGATTCTAAGCGCCTGGCGCTGGACATCTTCCGCTTACACCCGTAGCAGCCTAAACATGCAAAACATGTCAACGGCAACTCACACCCCTGTCGCTGGGGCTGAGCTGAAATCGAAAATCCCCGCGTCTTTGTTAGTCGCGCTCTTCTCCCCAAATGAAGCGGCTCTATGATCTTGAATTAGTCTAAACAAGGCATGGGACATTTAGAGGTGAGACAACTCGTTCAAAAGAGCTCGGTATCAGCATGGAGACTCCTGAGCAAGACGTAGTCGAGAGCTCCCTGAATACTTCACCGACCGGACACCGCCACACATGTGGCCATTGCACGTCGCTCTTGATATCGCCTTCGGAGGAGGATCGAAAGCGAAGAGCAACGTGAGTCACATTCGCTGTCATTTGCATCGAGGCTAATCATTGACAGAGTATGGCGCAATGACTTCCAGCGAGACATGGAGGCTGTCCACGAAGCTGCCGATGCCGGGTGTCCCTTCTTCGCCTGGCTCAGAGAGCATATTGCTAGATCCTCGTCACCGATTGAAAGGCTCTTGCAGGTCAAGATGAAGTTTATCTTGAACTCTTCTCGGGAAAACTTGGCGGATGTTTATCGCTGTGATTTAGTAGTGCGAATGACCGATGGCCAGCGCCACTACCTTCTGCCGATGCCGAGTCTTGATGTTGAGTCGGACGAAGGTGGGTTCCATGAACAGAGGTGGCAGTCGCTCGAGCTGAAAAGTTTCCAGGGGAGACCGTCACAGAACCAGCGTTTTTCCGAACCATCGATGGTAGCTCGGACGTAGAAAGCGGTGTTGGGCAGATCCGCCGTCGACTGGCTTGGTGTCTGGAATGTCATAAAGATGAATGCAGGCAGGAGACCGAGGTTCGCCCTCTGCGATTCATCTCCGTCGGTACTGGGGACATGACTTCTGTTCATATAACCAAATTGAGCAGTACAGGAACCGACCCCTATGTGGCACTCTCTTACTGCTGGGGCTCTGACCAGTTTGTGAAGACGACGAGTTTGAATCTTTCACAGCACGAAGACATGATCAAGATCACTTCATTACCAAAGACTATACAAGATGCCATCTTTGTCACGCGAAAACTGGGAATTGGTCTTCTCTGGGTAGACAGCCTTTGCATTGTACAGGATGACACCAAAAGTCTGGCGAAGGAAGTCCAACACATGGCAGATTACTACGCCAACTCCGTCTTAACAATCTCTGCGGCGAGAGCCAAGAGCTGTCACGATGGATTTCTTTCACGAAATAACAAGCGGGACACGAACATGCTGACCCAATTCTACTTTCCCGTACATTTCGGTGAAAAGAGAGACGTTGCCAGTTACCTCAAGCTCGTCCCGCCCACACAGCAAGAAGATCTCCCGATCGATGCCCGAGGTTGGACTTTCCAGGAATCAATCATGGCCACGAGGTTAGCCACCTTTGGGGAACGTCGGATCTGGTGGTCTTGCATGGCCAGAGGCGCAAATCAAACGCGATCGGTTGGCCACAACGTCCTTCGGACCGAGATATTCGATTATCGAAGAGACATGCATGTGGGTAGCCCTCAGTGGAGGCAAGAATACGGTATCCAGGCCTCTAAAAAACTTCCCATACTTGGTTCCTCGTCTGACGGGATCTCGCAGAACTACGAAGACTGACGTTATGGGCACGGCTTCTCAATGATTATACATCACGGGTCCTCTTCGTACCACAGGACCGACTGCCTGCCATCGCCGGCATCGCGCGCATGGCAGCGTCCTTCTTCAATAATCCGGAGAAACCAGCCTTGCCGTTGTATGTCGCAGGTTTGTGGAACACAAAGGAGCTGCCTCTGCAGCTCTTGTGGGTGCCCAGAAAGGAGCGCGCGTTGCATTCGTCCTACATAGCACCGTCGTGGTCGTGGGCCAGCTACACAGGACAAGTTTCCTGGAACTGGCCAAACTATACAACTCTCCCGGCGCAGGTAATTCCACGCTTAGATCGTCACGACCATAAGAGCTGACTTTGACGAGTCATATTTAGGAACCGATCGAGAATTGACAGATCCACGAGATCCAGACATCCAGGAAGTTTCGGTTAGCTTGTGCAACGACGTTGCGCCATACGGAGCCATCGCCGCTGGGTTCCTGAGGTTGAATTGCATTACTTTCGACCCAAGCCAGCTGACCAGAGGCCCTAGGAGACACCTCGAGTTACTCTTCGACGCGGATGGTAATGAGTCTACCTCCTTGGACGCTGTAGACTGGCCGTATTGGGACGAATATGGCGGTCTTCTCTGCATCCATGTGTCGAATTACGAGGGAGACTACCCCCGTGGTCTCATCCTTGCACCCAACGAAGACTGCACATATCGCCGTGTCGGTGTCTTCTTCAACTGGCGATCCGATCAACCATCAAGAGAATTAGAGCATCGCAAACAAGAGATCACGATTATATAACCTGCCATTTTGCGACTGCTCGATCTCTCTGAGAAAGAGAAAGGCGCATTCTCGCGAGTTGATTGCCAGGTCCGTCCCAGCCCGCTGCAATACGACGCTGCAATTCCCCTTTCCATGTTGACCTTTACCAGCAATGATTGGACCGCATGCCGTGACCAAACCCCCGGGGCCCTGACATACTTTGAGCCCACAACACCCATCGGCACTCGACGCGACGATTCTTGCTCAATGCCCGGTAGAAGGAAAGCTTGGCCCTTCGCCAAGGCCGTCGACGCAGGCCGGTGCATCTCAATTCCGCCTATCGGTCCTGGCACAATGACGTGTTGTACGAGGGGCAGATCTGTCGGATCTGGCATGCGCCCTGCTTTTATCCGGTCCCCCGCTGCGCGAACCCCGCGTCGGCCCATCTTCCGGACCCGAACGCCGGGCTGCGGCCGGAGATGTCGTTGCATGGAGGTGCATTTCCGTGTTCGGGGCCTGATATAAAGGGCGGGCTATATGTGATTTTCTCAGCTCTTGAGGTGGTCTTTGTTCATTGACCAAGATACCAATTGTCGCGATGAAGTTTCTCAGGGCCGCCGCAGCTCTGCTGCTCGCCGCGGGTGTCTCGGCCATCAAGAATCCAGTTCTCCCAGGGTAAACTCACTTTCGCCTCATCCTTTCCAAGCTTTTATTCTGCTGACAAGCGCCAGATGGAACCCGGATCCAGCCATCCTCCGCGTCGAGGACACGTACTACATGGCCGTCTCCTCCTTCACCTACTTTCCCGGCGTGCCAGTCTACAAGTCCAAAGACCTGGCGAACTGGGAACTCGTCTCTCACGTACTCAAAACCCCAGAGCACCTGCCCATATACGGCATATCCCACGGCGAAGGTGTCTGGGCCCCGTCATTTTCCTACCACGATGGCCTCTTCTACATCACCTCCATGACCCGCTGGGGCTCTGACCCGAACTGGCGTTCCTGGCCGCGCATCTGGTACATCTCGTCCCCGGACCTCGTCACCTGGTCAGACTACACGTGGGCGGAGCCCTACGGCATCGACCCGGACATCTTCCACGACGTCGACGCCGGCAAGACGTACCTCAGCCTCATGGGCGTGAACAACAATTACGACCGCTTCTGGGGCATCACGCAGTGCGAGATCAACCTGACCACCGGCAAGTGCGTAGGTCCGTACCGCAGCCTCTGGAACGGCACGCTCCCCAACATCGCCAGCGCCCGTCCCGAAGGCCCGAAGATGTTCAAGCGCGGCGATTACTACTACCTCCTGATCGCAGAGGGCGGCACGAGTACAGGCCACCGCGCGACGATCGGACGCTCAAAGTCGCCCGAGGGACCGTTCGAGGGTGCCCCAAACAACCCGCTCATCTACAACGGCGCCGACCAGAACCTCACCGTGCAGTCTACCGGGCACGCCACCTTCACCGACACCCCCGACGGCGAGTGGTACGCCTCCCTCCTGGCGCGCAGGAACGTGAACGGGAGGTCGGTGCTCGGCCGCGAGGCGTTCCTCGTCAAAGTCGACTGGGAAGACGACTGGCCGATGATGAACGGCGGGGAGCCCCTGATGCTGAGCCAGAGCATCGACGGGGGGCCCGACCAGCAACTTCCTAAGCCGAAGTGGACGGACAACTTTTCAGGGGCAGAGCTGGATCTGAGTTGGTACCAGGTCCGCACGCCATACACAGAGAACTTTCGTCTCAAGTCGTCGGCGGCGAGCAATGATAAGAGGATCGTGGCAAACGAGTCGTTGTCGGGCGGTCTCGTCTTCAACCCGAACGTTTTCACCCTCGGCGACCGCGACACGCCGGCCGCGGTCTTCCACAAGCAGACGTCGCTCAACATGACCTTCTCCGCGAAGCTGCTGCCGACAGAGAAGGGTCTCGGACCGAGGCAGTCCGTCGGCATCGCATCGTACCTAAGTGAGGTCAACCATCAGGACATTGGCGTTAGGGGCTGCTGGAACATGACCGGACTATGCTTGTACGTCGATCTGCTGCCGACGTCGGATGGGGCCAACACGCGGCCAAACGTAAGACCACCTTCCCTCTTCTCCCGCCCCATGAGGGAAACGGAGAGAAAACAAAATTTGTATCGTGGGCCAAAGCTGACACTTCCCAGTCAACCGAGTACCCTCTGGGCCAGTCGACGATTCCTTCGGACCTCACATTGCACATTCGCGCCGCTCCTCTGACATATTCCCTTGGATACTCCCGCGGCAGCAACTCGACCTCGCCGACGTGGGTGAAGGAGTTCAGCTCCCGGCAGATGAGCGCGAACCCCGGGTATCCCAACTTTGAGGGCGCCATGTTCGCGCTCTTTGCGAGCGGCAACGGCGAGCCGTGGCCGTACGACGCGCCTGACGTCGGCTTCAGCAGCGTCGAGGAGGTCTACTACGAGGAGAACCTGCCTGATTATGATGACTGGAATTAAGGTGAGGGGACGGGGGAGGGGCTGGGATGGGATCGGCGTCCGTACACAAGGCTCCGGCCGAGGGGTTACTGATCGTCTCCGGTCCGTGGCCGCGGGTTGTTCAATATGTAGCTCTTAATTTCACCCTTTGATATGCGTACGAGAGATTCCATGTGAAATTGTTATTTCACCTCGCAGTCGAGCTGCGAGCATCACCATGTTTTCGGCTGCCGCTTACACCCCTGAAGTTACTTGGCAAAATGTGAGGTTCTCTGCAAGCTTTTCTGTAAGCTTCAAATGACCGTTTGTTTGATTGCCAATGAACCATAACAGCCGTGATATCAATACTACAGGTCGGAAGAAGACCGAATCGAGGTTACGCGGTCCGTCGTTTTCGGCCATAAAAGCCGACATATTGGTGTGGCATCCAACATACGAAGAGGCAGAAAAAAAAAAAGAGGTGCGCCGTTTCTTAGTGATATTTGGGAACGGAACGATCTACCTTCGCAACCATCGGTGGTATGGAATGGAACCCTAGCAGTCGCTAAAAAAGTTCAATATCCCGGTAGTAGCACCAGCAGCAGCAGCTAGCTCCGGTTCGCGGCGGCAGCTGGGGCCGCCGAGAAGACGGGAAGACCAGGGCTACGACCGACATGAAAGAGACACAGGTGGGAAAGGATCTTCAGGTACGAGAGCCCCGGAAGCCAGGACGCGAGCATCCGTCATGCGAGGCGGCTGCCCGGCATAGGCCCGGTCGCGGCCGCCGACGTATGTACATATCTCTGGCAAGCAACGCGGATTTGGCCCGTCGGCAACGTGAGGGGAAAGAAGATTGAAAAGCCGAGATGCATGATTATGATTGAGCCCTACGCCACTGACCGCCAGTCTGGCTGCGTGGCGGCAGGCCTGCAGTCGAGAAAAGGGGATGCGATGCAAGGCCCCCAAGGCAAATGATGTTCTGGAAGCTCCCAGGGGAGATGAGATGAAGATGGCATCGGTGGGGGGCTGTCGAGGGCCGCTGCAATTCGTACCTACATATGTATTCGTGCGGCGGGGAAAGCAAGCCGGCTCGGTTCGAGGACACGCGCAGGATCAGAAGTCGAACTGTCAGCGACAGTGATGATCGCTCTCGGTCTAAGCCACACAACGACACACAAGCAAGCACCAGACATAAAAAAAGCTCCCGTCCGAGTTTGCGGGGAAACGAAGAGGTAAAATCGCGTTGTAACGTGGGCGATTAACGAAGCGAGGCGACATGACATGGTCCAGGAATGGTGCTGGCTGTGCAACCACAATGTCACCCTGGGACGTAAAGCCGTGGATCGTTTTGATGACATCTGGGTACGATGCAGCAATAGTGGCAGCAGGAGGCAGAGATTGCAAATGAGATTGACGAAGCATTGCCTACTGCCCAATGGTCAGAAGTAAGGTTGGCGAGGAGGCAGAGCTTGACCCTGGATGAACGCATGAAGAAGCACAGACGACTGGAGATGAGCCTCGAGAAGCCATTATTGGGTACGAGGTGCAGAGGCTGAAAGGGGATGCCGGTCATGTGGGTGGGCTGCGAGCATGTCGGACGCATGGATTATGCCCGATGAAAAGGAGACACGGGATTGGAGTGTTGTTTACAACGGGATGAAGTAAGCTGTTCCCAACGAGAACAATAGCTTGGGTTGTGCTTGATGGCGACTGCTGATGGAAAACCTCTCAAGGAATTGGAGCGAGTCGATTGACGGATAATCTCCAAGAGGCGGAATAGCGGGATATCAGTGAAGCATGCCATCTATGGACAACGCCCGGCATCACATGCCCTTCCTCGGAGCTTCAGGAGTAATGGGACTTGCAAGGCGTCAACTCGAGGTGCGCGTACGCCGTACTCCGTATCTTGCCAGGTGTCCATTTGATCAGTTGAGGCCGAGGATGACTCTCGAGTATGACTGCTCAGGTGCTGGCGAGGCAGTTTTTCTGCCTTGAAGAGGTTGGTTTTGCAGCGTGATGCGGCGGACTGAGTAAGACGTAGAAGGTTGACGGCCCCTAGAGATTGGAATACATTGGACCTGTGCAGGAGTCACCCGAATAGGCGGCCGGTCTGAGATTGTGGCCCTCTCTCTCTCTCTCTCTCTCTCTCTCGCTCGGTGTTCGGTGGTGATGGTGGTGAACAGGGCCAATGGCTCGGGATGCCCTGACAACTTTTAGCTGGGGGCGTGGGCATGTGAGGGGGGACAGGGGAGGAGGGAAAGACGGAGGCGCAGAAAGGGGGAGAGAGGAGACGGGCCTGTCGCGACGAGAGCAAACAGAGCAAGGTGTAGGTAGGACAGGGCAGGGTTTGACGGATTGGCGGTAGGGTCCGAGACGGCCCAGGTGTGTGGTCGCCAAAGGAAGGTTGCGAAGGGGGGGTGGGTGACGATGAACAAGAACCAAACCAAAAAAAAAAAAAAATGAGGAGCGGTGATGCAGATTGAGATGCGGAAGTTGGGGGTTGTCAGATGGTGATGTTCTGGAAGATGACGATGATGTCGATTCTGGCCGATAAAGCCCAGGGCTGAAATTGACCATCGACCAGGCCAAGGCAGCGCCTCAATGATCTGCTGCGCGTGTGGCTTTGGTGGAATTGCAAGTTCATGCGAAGAGGCTGGCAGAGGAGGGCAGAGGACGGGCTTTTGCTGCATTTGGGCCCAGGCGGTGAAATTGGATGGAGATTCGAGGAATCGAGTACCGTACCTTAGGTAGGAAGTGTACGTGGAGGAGACGCGACCGCGGTTGGTGGTGGAACAAGACGGAGCGGTAGCCGGTTACGTAACTCAGCTGCGAGACGAGGCTAAGGCAGGGCGAAGTGGACCTGACAGGCAGGTATCTCGGAGGCTGAAGGAAGGTCCTGCCAAAGTATCCTCTTTCCCTTTTTTGCTCTTTCCACATAGGTAGGTAAGGTAGTCACATAGTATCCCTCTCTCTGATGGAAGTGGGCAGGCATCGATAATGGGCAACACCTTCCCAATGGAATGCACCGTGACCTTATTCAGGCTTACTTTTTGGCTGATATTGATTATTGCCAGATTATTGCCCAGATGCAGGACGCAATTGCGTACTATCTAGCTTGTCACGGCCATATCTCCTTTTTCGACAGCGACTGATATCATCTGGAGAACACGGGAGAGTGAGTCCTGTCTCTTACGTGTGCGACTCTACCTACATTGGCACAGTAGCAGCAAAAGTAGCAGTGTAAGTGTTGTTGCACGGATATTAACATCAACATAGCTAGCGTCGGTACATCACCCAACGTTCCCTGTGAGCTGCCAGTGACTGCCTGCCCGCAGACGGTATGCAAAAGGACCGCTGGGGATTGGCCGGGGATGTTTGAGAGAGGGGGCCTCGGGGGGGGGGGGGGGGGGGGCAAATGGTTCGATGTTGTTCTGGCGTTAACAGTCTTGGGGGGGCATTCCAGCCACAGAAACGGGCCTTTTGGGGGCCGGCACGGGGCCGTCAGGAGTTGGGAGCCCCTCTTCCGAGTCGCAGATTCAGTGCTGGCTATCGTTGTGAAGCAGATTTCAGCAGAGTGAGAGCCGCCGTTTGATCGAAGGCGAGCGACTTGTTTGGTTAGAGCCAAGCCTTTTCGTGATGTTCTGTCCGAGGTAGAGGGAATACGGAGCATGATGCCACTTGGGAGTCGGAGAAGGAGGAGGAGACCTAAGCAGAAGGAGGAGGCGTGAGGCGCCCCGTGGCTCAAAGTCCGGGACGGAAGCTAACCGCCCCTGGAAGGTGAGGCACTTCAGTGGGATGGTCGGGACGGATTCCACTGAGCTAAAATCCCCTAGTGGTGCACAGCGCCCAAAGCAGATGCTGTCAGTGTCAAGATTCGCCCGCCCGGGCTAAGATACCTAGCAACAAGCCTAGCAAGCCTAGGTAGCAGCGGCCAGCTTCCATTAGCTTATTCGTACCTCCCTCCGTCCCTCCCACCAGCTCCAGAGTACGTACCTCTGTCGACTGTCGAGCCTGCAGCCAATGGCCATTGAGCATTACGTGTAATCCGATGGCCAGCAAGTGTTTTCCGAGGAAAGAGCTTCCCCAGCTGTTGCTTCCCTCCATTGCTTCTCCTGGCTTTCGCACCTGCACCTGGACCTGCACTTGCACTTGCACTGTACAAGGCAAGGCGGCACCCAACCCAACCCAAGGCATGGCTTGGCGCCGTTTTCTTATTCCACGCGGCTGGCATTTCCCTACCAGGCTCACCGTAAAACTCACCTTGACTCGAGTCCCATCTTGCTCTTCTTCTTCTACCTACCTGGTCAAGCTTGGTCCGTTAACCAACCATCAACACGTTAAATCTTAACCTTTATCCTTTGATTGGTCTTGTTCTCTCTGGCCCTCAGTGGTTTGCAAGTACGGATACTCGTACAAATGCAGATGAAAGCCTAGGCATATCCGATGCACCTAGGGATTCCACTTCTTCACCGCGCCCACCCACTCTGCTCCCGCCGGCGCACTTGATCTCGAACGGTCCCCTGCAATGGCCGACACAGTCGACTTGACCCTGACCCATCTGGCCTCTCAGGAGGCGCGGCTCTCTCCACCGTCCTGGGAACAGGTACCGGACGGAACGACAAACAGACAACGGGCACACGACAGGCATTGCACCCAGCCAGTGATCCAGGGCGCGCAGGCACAGGACAGGCACAGGCACAGGCACAGGGCCGCAAACCGTTCCCCTCCCCTCGTCGACTAGGAACAGGGCCATATCGAAGCGACTATTCCAGGCCCCAAACTCGCTCCACGCTGCCGGCCCGTCAACTGCGCCCTCGCCTGTACTTTCCGAGCAACTCGACCTCCCTGCTCTCAGTAGCACTGGGTAAGGTACTTCTGTTGCCAGTCCGAGCCAGCCTGAGCCTGAGCCTGAGCCTGAGCCTGAACTGACGTCTGCTACGGATACCTGAGCCTGCCTCTCTCAGTCTTCAGTCTCTCTGCCTGAACCTGAGCTTGAGTGAGCCCATAACGGAGGACCAGCAACAACTCCCCCGTAAAACGCA